CGAAGCAGGGAATCAAAATGCATTTGGATTTTATAACAAGGGAGCACGAGTACATGATGATAAATTTCACGGTGATAAAAAAAAAGAGAAGGAAACAGCAGCTGATGACAAAATAAACCCAGCAAGGCGCGACTACACTTAATCGACGTTTTCAGCAGTAGTCTCTACGCCCTCCTCATCAGCTTCACCTCCTCCATTCGCGCTAGAGCCCCCAGCCTCATCCGCAGCTCTATCGCGCCCCTCGCCTTCATCATTTCCCTCCTCATCCGACCCTTCTTCCGACTCCGAGTCTGAGTCCAGCGGTTTCTTCTCGCATAGCCAGGTCTGCACATGCTGAACCATGGCGCGAGTGTCCCATTGATACTCTGGATTCTCGGGCCGCACCTTCTTGCCAACTGCGACCACCGCCTTGGTCATTGCGTCCTCCATAATCTTCCCAAAAGCCAGGGAAGACTTATATTGTCGAACCGCAACGACCTATGCTTCGTGCACAGCCTCCGCCTTGGCAACGTCGTGAAGGCGGACCAGATCCTCTTTCTCTTTCTGGAACTCTCCCCGCGCCTGCTCCAGTTTCTCGGCATGGTCAGACTCTAGCCGCTTCATCTCCTGCTCCCGCTCTTCGGCCAGCCGCTTCTTCTCTTCTTCAAATTCAGCCCGTAGTTCACCGCGAACTCGCTCCCTCATGGCCTCCATCTGCTCGGTCAGTTTGCTCTGAACGATGTCGAGCTCTGTCAATGCATCGTTCGCCTTGGTCGTGGCGAGCTCCGCACGCCCCTCTGCCCCGGCCAGCTTACCCTCTAGCTGGACGATTCGGGATTCATCTTCCTTCATCTTCGCGCGGTCCCGACTACGCTCCCGTTGCGCGCGGAACATCGACATCAAACCCTACATCGACAGCGCTCTAATACTTAGTAAAAAAAAAAGAGGAGAACTAATACTTAGGTGAGGCAAAGACACAGACTAAGCATGGAACAAATGGCAAAGAGCCAACACAAGCTTACCCCGAAATGAACCTGCGCCAGGTCCTGCAATGGGTACGACTTCTCGAGGCGCGGCGGGACACTAATCATGGGTCCCAGCGCCTTAAGCGCAACATTCGCCGCGGCACTGTTACATGTCGCGCCTGTGTGAAACCGCACGTCGCGGTAGTAGTTCACAGCAGCGGTGGGAGTGCCCGCGAAACCTGCCATCTGCGGCAGCTTCTGCTGGACGGTAGCCCCCGTTGAGCTGCCAGCAGCGGTCCTCTCTGGGCGAGAGCTCTCACCCCCTCGAGAAGCAGGTTCCGAGACAACCAGGTCCCGCGCAGGCGGGTCAGCAACTCGCACCACCTTCGCGGGCCTCTCGACCGTCGATGGCCGCTCGATCTCCTTCCTCTTCGCGCTCTTTGGTTGCGCGCCTTCTCTCTTCTCTCTTCTTCCCTCGTGGCGGCCGCACGACGTCATCCAGTGACATCATGCTCGCGAGGCTAGAGAAGTCCACACCTGCGCCAAAAGGTCGTAAGAGAGCAGTTAATAAGATAGAATGCAAAAAGAAAGAAACACTACTAACCATCGTCATATAGCTCGGACAAAACTGCCTCGCGGACACCGTCCAAGTACAGATTGAACTTCTGCAGCATGACTGCGTCGTATTCTACGTCGATCCCGTCGTAACGACCCAAGTGCGACTCAAACTCACGCGTGCCGCCCTTCTTCCAAACGGTTGGCTCCTCCACAAACTCACTCGCCCATTCCTCGGGAGTCGGCTTAACGTAGAAAACACGTTCGAACCAAGTCTTTTTCAACTTGGGGGACCCATAAACGAACCCGTCGGGCCTCTTGTCACGGTGCTTAATCGACAGACAGTCGCTCTTCCGAGTCGGCTCCTTAATTTTGTATATCTGCAGGAAGAGCCCGTAAGTGGGCGCAATTTTGAGCCTTTTGCACGCGAGACGAAGGCAGCTCGCGTGCATCACCACGGAAGGAGAAAGTCTGCCGACCGAACAACCGAGCCGTCGGTAAAGCGAACAGAGCAGCGGATCGATGGAGAATTTAAATCCCATGATCTAGTACTCTGTATACACCCCGAACCAGCCCGGGTGGCAATTGCCAATCATGCTGCGCGTCGACGGTACCGCGTACTCCCAATTGGGGGGCAATCCCAACCCGCGTACTATGTCTTCAACGTCCTCACGCATGTATATCGAGGCGTGATCCGGCCCGCGCAGCAAGTTATCATGGGGCGCCGGTTGATCGCCCCACATCTCCGCCCAGTGGAGAACATTGTAGGCCGCGCCTACACCACGGAAGCCCAAGCGGCTCACCGCCTCGGTCACCCGCGCAACACATCGGGGCTCTGGTTGCACAACCGATCTTCCGCGCTCACCTCGCCGGATGATCAATACACCACGACCACCAGCGCCCGACGGCCCACCGGCGTCCACATCGCCGTCGGAATCCTGGACGTCCTCCTCCGACTCAGCTCCCAGGGACGACGCCACCGGAATCCCGCCGTCGTCCGCAGCGCCGTCGCCGCCATCGTTGCCGGAGTCAGCCAGATCCAGTGAAGGATCAGAAGAAACAGGGGAGAAAGAAGAAAGATTACCTTCTTCGCCTTGCACGCCCTCAGTCTCGTTGATATTCGTGCTAGCCATGGCTACACTCCACGAAGAATTGAGGCTGTAGAAGGAGGAGAGGAATCTCGGAGAACAGGAGCAAATGGAAAGAAAAGGAAAGACTAAGAACAACTCAATGGGAGCAAAATGAGAAGAATGCAAACCCCCGAAGACAGACACCTATTTATCACTACTGATGGGAAGGCGAGGGGTTAAAGTGACATGGGGAGTCGCAACCGTCAGGGATTTTCGAAATTCAAAACGGCCGCCAAAACCGCCCAATCACACGACGACACGTGGCAGACCACTTAACGTAGGCAATCATAACAACCATAGACAATAGCCGTTGACGCCACCAGTGTCGCACAACGCCTGGGGGGCATGGCATACCCGCGGAAGAGAAAAAAACCCAAGAAAACCGCACAGAGATCGCGCAGACATCACCGAGAAAGCATCACGGAGAATCCGAAGGATCCCACGGATCCCACCCACGGGCATCGCGCAGTCCCGAGTTGATCGCGCTAAAATCAAACAACCGCTCAAATAGCCGCGCACGCGAATCCGAAATCAAAAACATCTCAGAGCCTCATCCATGACCCAAGGTAGCACGCATGTTGGCAAGGAAACATCAAGCGAGGAAGTCAAAAGGACGCGCTCACTGACACGCAGTTAGCACAACCCCAGCAACGAGCGCCGCGGGTAACAAGCCCGGAAAAATATCATACGGGTCCGAGTCTATCAAGCGAAGGTCTCAACAGGTGGTGCTCGGAGAACACCCCCTGCTGGGGGGCAATTGTTGAGCATGTGACTCGGACCTCCCCGCGCCAAGGAGACATGTCCGGCTGCGCGACAATGGCGAAAGCTGTCGCCTGTCACGCGCGGACCAGACCAAGGAGCGGCGGAAAGCGTCATCGCGCTACCCAAGAGAAGGTCACATCAAGGTCCTAGGTATAGTCCTAGGTAAACCCCTGACAGGCCCTAAGTAGGGATATGGTCTAGGTAAAGGTAGGGTCGAAATTCCTGACATGACGTCAGTGGTCATGTCAAAGTACCATCATGTAATATGCCCACTCACCCACCATATAGCCTATAAATAAGGCATTTACTCCGGTGGGTGAGGAGATCGATTTTTGAACATTCTATCTCTATAAACATCAACTTCTCTCTCTAAGATTCAAGGCTCTGAATCTCACCTTTTCCGACCTCCGTTCCCCAGAAAAGGTCGATCCTCTCTCGTATATTCTTCTTGACCCACATCCTTCCCGGAGTCTCACTCCTACATTCAGTTAGGCTCACACAGTTATAACTAACCATGTTTAGTTATTGAGCTAACAGAGTAGAATTGGATTTTTTTTTAGAAAAGAGTAAGATTGTTTTGAGCAAGACAATTTCTGGCATATTCTCATGTATATTACCCAATAATAACCGACATAAATAGTGATTTTATATTTTCTTTTTCGTATCTTAACTTATACTAGAGTGCTTCATCCATACGTTAAAACTTGAAACTAGTGAGTATAAGACACTGACGGCTTATTATACTCACTCGACACTAACGGCATAGTTTTGAGATTTTTCCAGAAATAGCACTGTTAAAAAAAAAATTCAAAAATAGCACCCAACTACGAAAAATTCCAAAAATAGCACCCTTTTTGCAAAACCGCCACCCTTACCAGCGGTTTACGCGAAAACCGCCACCGGGGGCGCGGTTTGTTTGCAGACCGCACCCTCACGATGCGTTCTGTTTTTTTTTTTTTTTTTGGAAAAATCCTAACCTAGGTGGAAACTTCAAACGAACGTATCTTTATGTTCGGGTATCCGATCGTTGCGATTTTTTTTTTGATTCCGCATTACTTTTTGAGATCTTGCAAGCCGAAGACTGCCAAAGGTGGTTTGGTCCCGCCTTCGTCCCAAAAAATGTCGTTTGCTACCCCGAACGAGCTTTTTTCCGATTCCGTCAAACTTTGGAAAACCGTAACTTTGTGCTCCAAAATCCAAACGGCATGAATTTTTTTTTTATTTCGCATAACTTTTTAAGGACTACGGTCTGCAAACAAACCACATCGTGGGGGTGCGGTCTGCAACCAAACCGCATGGTGGGGGTGCGGTCTGCAAAACCGCCTCCTACCAGTGCGGTTTTCATCGAAAAACGCGCCCCAGGGTGGCGGTTTTCATCGAAAAACGCACCTCCGGGTAGCGGTTTTACAAAAAGGGTGCTATTTTGGAATTTTTCGAAGTTGGGTGCTATTTTTGAAATTTTTTTTTTTAAACAGTGCTATTTTTGGAAAAATCCCCATAATTTTGGCAACTTTGTTACCTCACAACAACAAGTATTAGCAACAAACAAGATCCTCCGATTCGACCATTGCCTACTACAGAGTCGCTTTCAAGTTTCAATATTTTGTTGCCGTAGTATTGGAATTTACACCGCAAAATCTGGGAAACGAAACAAAAACAGGACGGCCAGCTCATTTAAATATGACCAAGTGTCACATAATCACTTGCAGGCTGCAGCATAGAGATTATTTACAAGAGATTAACCAACTAAATTACAATTTTATTAAAAAAAATGCGGGAAAGAAAGCTAACTCACAAGTCACAACAACAATCGATTCGAGCAATTCCACTATCCTTTTGAGACTAGCCTGTAACCGTGAAGTAATTTTGTTGCATTCATGTGAATCAAGAGACTGGACGTACAACAACGTTACAAGTACAGCATGCGCTGAGGAGAAAGTGTCCATGGCCCCAGGTTTTTCCCTCAATCAACAACATGAACCGGCCCCATGAACTCGACCTCGCTCTTGAAAGTCTTGACGTGGCAGAGCTGGCCGCCAGCTTCGTCGGCGAATGATATCTTCCTCTTCTCCTTCTGGACGACGACGACATTTGCTGCTGGAGGAGCGGAACCGTTCTGGGCCAATTTCTGCAGGTTTCATTTTAGCGGGTAGCTATTAGTACAAGTACAGAGTCGCTGGCATTTTAGGAACCCCCATGGTATAAAGTCAGTTAGGGAAAAACAAACCATTAGTTTGCAGAAGCGATCGCAATCCCTTGCCATTGTGGAGAGCCATCTTCGCGCATTGTCTTCCACTCTTGCTGCTTTCTCTATGGCACTACTCGCCTGCAACAAGTAAAATCAAGAACCGATTGGATTGACGAGAGACGAGAGTTAGGCAGTCATTTGAGGTCCCTGACTATTTTCTTTTTATGTAAATACCTCTTGGTGGGTATATTTGGGGGAGTCGGATGGGTTGCCGTGCAATGTTGCTTCAGCAATTTCCTTCATGGACCTCAACTCCTTGGTGAGTTTGGTCGCCATGGATTCAAAGTCACGCATCTGGTTCTGCGAGAACGAGATGGCGCTCTCTGAACAGCTTTGTATTGAGGTGCACCCTGTACTGAAGCTCGGAGCACGAACAGGACGAGAAATGGCCTTGGGGGCATCATTAGGAGGAGTAATGGGTTTAGGGTTCTTGAGTTTCCTCATCAATTGCTGTGGACTGACTGTGTTTTCAGCAGCTCTCTTGGCCTGATTCACCCCATCAGGCCGGCTATTTTTTCTCTCCGGCTGCTTCTTTCCGTAGCATAATTTCCTTGCAAACTCTGCAGGCACACATGAGTTAGAAAGTTATTCTCTCAGGCTAACTGTGACATGGAAAGGGTGATAGTTCAATCTTTGTTTAATCCTCAAATTCAAACCTTTTGTGGTTTGAACTGCATAGACCTTGTTGGCATGTATATCGTTTGCAGACATGGAATCCCAAGTCCAAAAATGAGCCTTATGCTCAATCAGCTGTGGAACTCATCAAAATTGCCACAGAAACGGTAGAAGAGTTCTTTGAAACCCCCATTGGGATTACAGACGATCTCATTTGTGCCCTTGCAGAAGGTCTTGAGCAGTTGTTTCTAGAATATGCCAACTTTGTGACGGCTTGTGGTATGTATTCAAATCAATAACTCACTCAATATCTTACAATATTTGGAGTTGTTCTCACTGAATTCATGTACCACTTTGCAGGATCAAAACAAAGCTATCTTCCAACTCTTCCCCCACTAACCAGATGCAACCGAGACTCAAAATTCTTCAAAATTTGGAAAAAAGCAGCTCCTTGCACTGTGACAATAGAGGATCTTCACCAAAATGAGTTCAATGAAATTCATCATCCTCGAGCATCAACGAGCCGTGGGACACAACGTCTCTACATCCGACTCAACACATTGCATTACCTTGTTTCTCACCTGCACGCACTGGACAAGACCCTTGCCCTGGCTCCAAGGTCTAATTCGGCTCGAACACGTAATAGTCGTCGACAACACAGTATCTCCTCTTACTTTGAGCAAGCCCATGCATCCATCCAATCTGCATGTCAGCATGTATCAGAAGTGGCTGGTTATCGCTTGATATTCCTCGACTCGAGCTCGGTGATATATGAATCACTCTATGTCATCGATGTAGCCAATGCGAGGATCAAACCAGCACTCAGAATCCTCAAACAAAACATCACTCTCATGAGTGCAATCCTAACCGATCGAGCCCAATCCTTAGCCGTGAAAGAAGTAATGAAGGCCACATTCGAGGCCTTCCTCATGGTTTTGCTTGCCGGAGGGTGCTCCAGGGTGTTCTACAAAACTGATCATAACATGATTGAGGAAGATTTTCAAAGCTTGAAACGCATGTTCTGTACTTGTGGCGAAGGGCTGATGAATGAGGACCTCGTGGAAAGGGAAGGTGAGATTGTGGAAGGGGTGATTGCATTGATGGGTGAATCCACAGAGCAACTAATGGAATATTTCAGCAACGCTGCTTGCGAAACAAGCGGCATAGGAGCCTTGAGTTCAGGGCAGAAACTACCAATGCCACCAACTACAGGGAGATGGAATAGAGGGGATCCAAACACAATCTTGAGAGTTTTATGCCACAGGAATGATAGAGTAGCGAATCAATTCTTGAAGAAATCGTTCCAGTTAGCCAAAAGGAAGTGATGAGATGCGAAAACCAATTCGTGGATCTAGTCCCCTTTACATGATCTTCATTTCAGGAAGGCAAGGCAGCTACATAGATTTTTAATATTTAGTTGACCTTGATTACTAGAGTACATAAAAACAAGAGGAAAACAATGTAAAAGATGGCTCATTGTACTAATAGAAGTTAGAACAACTGACGGTTATTAGTACTAGGGAACTGATGTTAGAAACCTGTTTGGAAGAGGGTTTCTTTCTAGCACATAATCTTGGTCAATTCTACTTCTCCCTTTGAAAAGGGTTTTGAAATTTTCATGTCACTCATTATGTGATTGTTCGCTTATAAAAAGTTGTTTCTTTGACATTTGGGTGTTGTATAAACTATAAAGCATCAAAAAATCTGACATGGAAAGAAAGAACCTACAGGTGCAGATTTTGTTATGGTAGTTTAGAGCTGAAATGTTCAGCGGTAGCTAGTAGTCCAAGTCCATGCAAACACTACAAGTTAATCATTGAATGATTGTTCCCTTAATTGAGCATTCTCTTTCACTTATTTAGCGAGAATATGCATCGAATCTTAATCTTCAGCTTTGTAGACATAAAATCTAATCATGGCCAAGAAGAAGCTCAAGTTCAAGAAGTTGAGAACTGCCAATAAGGCATAGTAGTTGTCGAGATGAGAGGCAATCAAGTTGTTCATGATCCAACCTTCGTGTCTATGCCTCTTAGTGACATCAGAAATGGTTGACAAAAGGAATCTACTGGTATGATTGCTAATCCCTAGGCTAGTGGTGGATTAAGAAGTCCCCAAACTCGCGCTCTCTGGCGCCTGATCATAGAAGAAATCAATCTTGGCCACAAACACAAACTGAGGCAGCAAGACAAAGATGGACAGAGGAATTTGGCCTCCATTCTTGACCATACCATGCTTCTTCGCCTCACTTGGCATGTGCCTTGCTGTTAAGGAGGAATTTTACTTGGTGCTCAGGTTGAAAAAAATTACAATATAAACAGAACTTGTCCCTTTAACGTAACGACACAAATTAGGTTTGTACATATAAATTTTTTGTATAAATACATGGTACAAACTAAACTTGTACCTTTAACATTATGTTACAAGTTCAATGTACCTTGAAGCACCAATACATTAGAGCATAGTAGCAGGAGTACTCTTACATATTCCACTAGCATTATGACGATGTGGAACACGAGCCCAATTTTCATCATTTGGAGAAGCGTGATTCCTCGTGGGTTGTTGCCTTTTGTTACACTTCCTCACTAGTGGGATGAAAAACTTGTCGTATAGTATGAGGAAGATTAGCATTGACAAGGTGACAAATCCTGTGAGACTCACTAGAGGGATGTGGAAGTTTTCGATTTGGTGGTGCAGAGTGGTTCCTTGCTTGATGAACAAGGTATTGATTTTTGCAATAATCGTGATGGGTATGAAGGTTGCCACTAAGATTGTTATCATCCCCATATATTTTGTGTTTCTACTTGAGTCACCAGACAAAGTACCCATGGATCTTATCTGTCTCCGTTTAATCCATGGATTTTTATATGGATGTAGGTTGTCATTCACCACATCTTGATCACCCTTGCGCGTGCGTACAAGCCGATCTTTCAAATTGATAATCCTGGACAAAGAGCGTCTTGCATACAACTGTTCCAAGATTAACCACGCACTTCGAGAAGTAGAGGCTACAAAGACATATGGATAATTCGACTCAGATAAAGAGCATCAAAGAGTATGGAGAGTAAACTTATCTTGATGATACCACGTACGGTAAGCTGAATTGGGGATTCGGTGTCATTGACAAGGAGTATGTTTAGTGGAGCAGAACAATAATCATTGATATATCCGATAAGATCAAATCCCACTATGAATGATTCTATTTGAGATGTTGGAGGAGAAGTTCACTAGTGTGAGGTCGAGAGGGAGTTATGTGGCAGGATTGAACGTGATAAATGCATCCTCTGTTGGGGATAGACTGCCGGAAGCGGGTGAATTGACTGTGGAGCTCATGATAAAAAAGGGCTTATACCACTGGAAAACCCGATCTATCAAAAAAAGTGTCACTTGTGTCATGAACTATTCAATATTCCATATATGTCTTAAACTATTTTTCCGTTAAAATTGACCTTCTTTGACCTTTAGTTTTAACAAAAAGTCTAGTCATCACTAATGTGGCTAGGGGTGGAAATATGTACGATATCGGTAGCCAATACCAAATCCCGAATACCAAATTACATCCTAAAATCAATCCCAATCTCATTTCCTAAATAATTTTGGTATCCCAATCCCTAAATATTTCGGTATCTCAATCCCTAAATATTTCGGTATCCCAATCGGTATTATCAAATACAAAATTAGTTAAATTTACAATTAATAAACAAATATATAAATTAAATTTGATTATTTAATTTAGAACAAAGAGACTAACCAAGTAGTTGGAGTTTGGCTAGAGCTAGGATATTTGATTGTTTAATATTAGCTGCTTTCCATATAACTTGCCGATCGGGATTTGGAGATGAGAAAACTAAAGCTATATGGGCAGGAATAATTTCTCCATTTCTTGACCTGTTTTTGATGGTTTTCGCTTGCTTGCTCTTCGCCGAATTGATTAGCAATTGTGAATTGAGAGAGGCGAACTGGGAGAAGATACTGACCTAGATTTTTTTTAGTGGAATGAGAGTAGGTGTGGCGCGTGGATTGGCCGCTAGCTGTCCCGTACTAGTCATATGAATTTTCAAAGTCGGAAAGAGTATGGTTGGGCTTTGTAATATTGTATGGGTCATTTAAATTTGGTAATGGGTTATGCATATTTCAGTTGGCAATTAACGGCCGGTAAAAATGTGTGAGGACTGAGGAGAGATTAGCTTAAAGCTTAAAATGCACCACTCTTTTATATTATTTTTTGGTACTATTCGGTATTTCGGTATATACCAACCCCAATCCAATAATCCCTAATACCAAATTACACTTGAAATTCAATCCCAATCCCATGAAAAAATTCATGTATTCGGTAATACCAAATATCGACAAATTCGGTTTATCAAATATGGATACCAAACTTCCAGTCCTAAATGTGGCATCTGACGTGGAATTTATAATATTAATTTATAATTATTTTCCATATAAAAGAATGTCTGGTTTTTATTTAATTTTGAATTAAAAATATGAGGTGTCAATGACGTGACATCCATGTGGCTGCCATGTTTTTGCCACATCATCAAAAGTCAATGTCAAGTTGAACACCGTCTGGTCAACCGTTATTTATAACGGTCAACGAAATCGCCAGGACATAAATGACACACAACCATAATAGGTTGGGACATTTTCGGAATATTAAATAGTTCGGGACATAAATGACACTTTCTTGATAATTTTGGTTTCCCAAATGTATTAGCGGTTGTCAACCCGCGGGTTGACCCGGACCCGGTTGAGCTAGTGGGTCAAGGGTTAATGGGTCAACCGTTTTAGCCCGGTTTGACCCGGAAATATAGAAAGAGTCATTATATTGCACTTATCCTCATAAATTATATCAAATCTTATCTAACATATGAGTTATAACATATAATATTACACCAAAATAACATATCGTACTTAGATCCAACATATAGTGAAAATTCACATACACTTTTATAACATAAATATTCAAATGTTCAACTTAGTATTCCAAAGATTGAGTTAGGCGAAAAGAAAAATTGGAAAATAGGCGCATTTCGTAAACTAAAGAAAAAAACGACACAATTTGACCTCCAACCCGGTACCTAATAGCGGTCAGCCCGCGGGTGCATGCGGCCCATTTTTTTCACCGGGTCAGGGTCAAATTGGGTCGACCCGTGGGTCAACCCGCGGGTTGACAGCCCTAACAAAACACAAACATGTGATTAGCAGTAAAGGAAAAAAGAGATCGTAACTGGAAGTTTCTCAAAAATGAAAAAAAATGAATGGATCGGGTCAAGTTGAACGTTACTAGCTCTGATACCATAGTAAGGAATATATTTGCAGGAGTTAAACGTAATTTCCATTGATGTATCATGAGCTATTTATACACTGTACATAGAAGTTCATGACTGTACATAGGTTTACAAATCTGAATTGCTATTTGGTCACTTGGATTACTAAATCATGTCATGTTTAGTCACTAAAAAAAATTAATATCAAATTTGGTCACTCGAATTACTGAAACATGTCACATTTAGTCACTCCCCCTTAGTTTTCGTCCAACTCCATTAACGGAGTTGGACGGAGGCTAACGAAGAGTGACCAAATGTGACATGTTTCAGTAATTCGAGTGACATTCTAAAAAAAAGTAATTCTAGTGACCGCAGTTGGATGGAGGCTAATGAGAGAGTGACTAAATGTGACCTGCTTTAGTAATTCGAGTGACCAAAATTGTTATTAATTTTTTCTAATGACTAAACATGACACGATTTAGTAATCTCAATGACAAATGTGACATTTACCCATAGATAAATACGATAGGATATCAACACAAATGGAAAAAGAATAAAATTCTTTATTCCTTAGCCTTAATATGCTTATCCCAACTCATGGTTTGACATGAATCCATTGGAGACAATGAGTTACTTTAAGTGTTGGGTGTAGTTATACTTGGTTACTAATACTTGTATGTTTTTCATGTATTTATGGTCTATCGATTGTGAATGGATTACATGTTCTGCATTTATGGTTTGCGTTGGGATCTTTTAAGTGCTGGGGCGTAGTTATTCTTGTTTACTAATACTGGTATATTTTCATGCATTTATGGTTTTATTGATTGTGAATGGATTACATATTCGACATGCTTTGTGAGGTGATTGTAAATGATGAGTTTGCATATTTGTATGTGTTGGGAGCCTTTTATGTTGCCATTTTGCTCTTCAAATTGGCTTAGCTTGTAGCTCCTTGTGTGTTTTAACTTATGTTTTCTTGATTGTTTAATGTTTGAGATGAGGAGAGTGTAGTGTTATGAGTGAATATACTTAAAGTTTAAATACTTAATCTTCAGATGTCTAGAGCAGTGTGCATGTTTAGTATGGTAGAGTGTATGTGTGCGAACCATTTGGTATGCAAGATCACCTTTGCCACCACATAGCATCATGAAGTGGCAAAGGTAGAGGAAACATTTCTTCGAGATGATTACATGCTTTGGCTATAAATAAAAGAGAGGGTCGATTAATGCAAGGTTCGCAAAACTACAACTTTGACATACATGTGAAGTTATTATCTTTTTGTGAAAATTAGCCATGTTAGTAGTTTCTGGAACTCTCGTTGCGCCTCTATAGATTTTAGGAGTAAGTGTAATTTGACGTAGATTGTCAAGGAACACAAATACATAAATATCGAACATCCTTATGTGTTTGAAGATGTGTGAACTGTGTAATTAATCTTTGTTGAAAGAATTTAAAATTGTATTAATTGTGTACAAATTTCATTTTCTTTTAGGTAGTTGTCTTTTTTTTTTTTTTTGTGTGAAAAAGGTAGTTGTCTATTTATTTTGAAGTGAATAATTTCTCCGAATAGTACCGTCTACTTCATGGTTGTCATGTAAGTTACATGCCAACTAGTAGCGGTTGCAGAACCGACTAGAATGTCCCCAATATTACAGTCATGACCGATTCCCGACCTTAAAACAAAAAGTTGTCCTTTCGAGAATTCAATTAACAAAAAGGAAATCTAATTTATTTCTTAAATTTGAAAGTTAAGTGTTGATGTTATTTGTACACTTTTAGATGTTGGCGTTAAATAATGAATTTAAATATTTTTTCATTTTGTTTGAAATGGTGTATTTTAGGAAGATTGTCTTCATATATGTTACTAGCTTTTTACCCAGGCCCGTTGGCCGGAGAGTTTCATTTTATCGTTGACATTAATTCAATGTTATCTATGTGTTTAAACTATTTTAGACCTTCTAAATTTATTATATTTGTATTGATAAGTGAGTATGTGGTGTGTCTATATATTGCTTCAAATTCTCAATAATTGGCAACATTCACTTATAATGTTTGAATTCTCTAATCATAAACCATGTCACGAAGGTATACCACGTCCCATGTACAATTTTTTTCTCTATCTTATATGAATCCACGTTGTCAAATAGAGGACATCTTAGTTAGAGTTTCTTTGCACATATACTTCATTATTGGATAATTTCTTCATCCCAATTAAAAGTTGACACTTTTGGAGTTCATGAAGTTTACTGTAAGATCTTATTTGTATTTAGTCTCTTATACAATATGTATCAATTGCTAATTTCTGAAATTTAATTTGGACTAACTGAGACTCATTGTCGTTGTTATATGTTATTTTAGAATCTCAATCCAAGATACTCACATACGGATTTTGATCTTAATATGGTGTGTTAGTGTATAATTTTACAACTTGTAGAACCTTCGTTTTCTAAAATTCATTTATGTTTGGTATTTGTTTAGGAATAAAAATTTCATTACTTATACTAATATATGCATTTTTCTGTATGACCACATTTATTGTCAATATATAGCATATATATTAAAAAGAGTTTAATTATTTTTAAGTGTAATTAATACTTGTCTTTTACCGGGATTTGTAAAATGTTAAGAAAATAAGGGGAAATATGAACAATTGTAAAAGAAAAATAGGGATGAAAGTACATGTTATAAGTGAGAGAAAAATTATTCTTACTTATCATCTTCATTTATCAAATTATTTTATTCCGTAAATATATTATTAGTTATGCATGTGTTTTATTGCAAAAAAAATGCATGTGTTTGCTAAGAAAGATCATACCGATGATCAACTTCTCTAATCTTGCATCATTTTCATGTGAATGTTCATGAAGTCTCCTAACGATCTTATGTTAACATATGTCTATCAAGAGACCCAAATTTAGTATATTATATAACAGAGTAAATACATTTTATTAACCAAATCTTTCAAAAAAAATTCAAAATACAAAGTATTAGCCAAACGTTAACTCCCCGTTAGCATTTTTGTTAGTAATGTTGACTCAACAACACGATGATGAGTTGGAAGAGACACGTGACGGTCTATAATCCAATTTAGTATTTTAATTAAAAAAGAGTTACAAAATTATTAATGATAACAAACAAATGGTTAATATTTTGATGTGATACAAAATATTTGGCTAATCATATTGTAGTTCGAAAGGTTTGGCTAATAATTAAAAAAAATGAAAGGTTTAGCTATTTAAATGTTATTTACTCAATATGTATCAATTGCTAAGTTGTCTCCTCCCACATTTTGTCACGCCCGCTACTGAAGTTCTATACCAGATCTGCTCTGTCCAATCCTCACCTTTGTCCACCAATTCATGGCCCATATAGTAACATCGTCAGCTGAATTTTAAATTGTCCTCCTGCATCATTTCTCACATGCGCCACCAAATTGTTGACATAGTTAGTTTCGTCTACCCGGGTATCTCCACTCCCTATTGCATTTAACACCCGTTATTTGATTTGTTTTTCTTCACTCAAAATTTCTTCTCCTAACGAAAAATCAAAAGGTAATGGCCTAACACCTACTTAGCATATGACGTAAACTGAAAATTCACTTAATAAGATTTATTCAAATATTTTTGTTTAAACAATCACGATGCATGTCAGCCTCCAAACATTAGTATACTGCTGCTACACATATATACTACAAAAGGTACAAATGAATTATTAAATAAAAACAAAAGGAAACATTAAATGAAGATAGAGATAGCTACATAAATTGAGCATTAACTTACTTTTGTGTTTGTAAAAAAAGTGTCAACCATGATAATTTGTAAATTCTTCAAGTGCTTATGTGGCAACAAACTATTGTTGAATTGCCATAGATAGATAGATAGACAAACAGATAGATTTTAAACCTTTATTTGATTAATGCATAGGTCAGTGGTTGATGAACAGATGATGTTTAACATACAGTTTAGCAAAGATTTATCTAATTTTCACATGTATCATTTTTAATGTATCTCGTGTCTCATCTTAAGATATGAAGTCAAGTTCATAAACAATCATACCGAAGTCATTTTGAAAATTTTGATTTATAATCCTTGAAAATTTATTACTCCAAGTTTGAAAATTAAATTTCTTAACATATGGCGTAAAACTTCAATAGAGTTTGCTCAATTAACACGATCTAGAGCAAAAATGCAAAATATTAGTAATTTGAACTTAGGATACATTGTACATTATTGCACCTATGATTCATATTTCTTCACTTAATTAGAATGAATAAGGTTTTTATTTAAGAAATAGATTTTATTGCTTGGTCAAGTTTCTATTCAAACGTTTCTTGTTTTCTCACATTAATTTCCATCTTTATTTTATCGCGGTAAAATGTTATTATGTATGTGTGTTTGTATAAATTGTTCATTAAAATGTAACATCTTTGTAAATTATTGTAAAAGTGAGTTAAAAATTTACTTAGTGAGCTTTAATAAGATATTTTTTGGTTGAGAAAAAAGTTATATGTGTGACTCAAAGACATTAGTCTATTGTTGCGTACATCGATACAATGCAAAAGTAAAAACAAAAACATAAAGAAAGTATTGGAAAAGAAAAATAAATATTAAAAAAGTTAGAGATAATATATGACATTTTTCATACATTATTTATTATTGTGTACGTTGATATAATAAAAAAAAGGATAAAAGAGAAATGAAATATTAAATGAAGAGAGAGATGACTCCATAAACATATCAATACTATTTTTCTTTTTGTAAAAATATTGTCCACCTTGGCAATTTGTGAACTCTCCAAGTGCTTAGGTGGCAAACAATTACTTTTGAATTGCCATAATATTATGTATAGATAGATAGATAGATAGATAGATAGATAGATAGATATGCCTAATTCATTTCTTGTTAATAATTTTTCTCTTTTCTACATGTTTACTAAACCGACATGAAGTGATATAAATCGGTTTTTTTCACCAATTGGATCATATAACTACTGGGAGTTGCTAAAGGTCGCCCTTAAAATTGCTAAAGGTCGCCCTAAAAAACATCAAAGTTACAAATTTAACCTTTTAGCTTCTTTACTCTTCCTTTAGCAAACAAACACAACTTAGTAAAGAAAATAAAACATTATTCAAAAGAGAGAATCCATCATCGTCATTCTGGAGTTGGAATCGTCGATATGATGTCTGGAGCATGACTAGCGACTCTGAATCGGTAAAGTTCACTAAAAAAATTGAAAAAAAAAAAACAAAAAAAGGGAACCGTAGCTCATTTGCGGTTGCACCATGGACCAACCGTAAGTGAGTTGCGGTTGCACCATGGACCAACTGTAACTTGCCTTAGGTTGAGCATTTTTTTGGAAATTTCGTTAGAGAACGGGCGACGACGAACTGGTGCGTCAAGAGGGATTCGCGAAGAAGGCAGATGAGAGGTTCAGTTTGAGGGGTTAGGGATTGTTTAAATTTTGAAATTTTATTGGGGGTATATAAGTCATTTATCATTAGAGTTAGGGCGACCATTAGCAATTTTAAAGACGACATTTAGCGATTCAGTAACTAATCACTTGGCCAACTGGTTGAACGGTATTAACCGGTTTAGCAACGTTGGTCCACTGTGATTGCCTGATTGGAAAAAGAAGAAGAAAAGGGGAATTTGGAAAAAGACTGCGGAGTGCCGGAGTACTGTGAAATGTGAATACCTCTTTTCCCCTTCTACAGCTAGGTTAGGTTTCCTGGATTTCGACCCTACTGGACTTATCCTCCCTCCTCCATCCACACTTGCGAATTCCTGCTGCTGCTGCTGCTGTTGCTGCTTTGGCCTCCCGCGTCCGCCATGCGATTGTACTGCCCTATCTCTGAGCAATTCCCAGGTAAAGCTTCCTCCTCCCGTTCAGCCTTTCCCCTTTCCAAGATTCTGCAGCTGTGGATTGATGATGCCATCAAGAATTGATTTTGATTCAAATCCCTTTTCCCTTTGCTTCTTAGTTTTGGGGGAGACTTCACTGCGGGTGTTTTCGATAATGTCACTGCTGGGCAGTGCCTGAATGGTTTTCGTGTTACTTTAGGAGGCTAGGAATTAGTATCAGTAGGCGCAATGAGTGGGCATGGTCGGCGTAAAGAAGATTATGGGGTGAGTAGTGAGAGCTCCCTGGGAAGCGATGGAGAGGAAACCTCTGCACGAACAAGACCGTTCAGCTTTGATGAGATAATGAACAGAAGAAAATTGAAAAAACTGGCCGAGACAGATGAAAGCGCAGAAGCTGTGGCACTTGTTTCTGGGGATCAATTGGAAAGGGTTAATGGGCATGGCAAGGCTTCATCGTCTGCTGTACCAGAGAGCTCAGTGGCTGAACATGTGAAGTCAAGCTCTTCGCCGAAAGAATTGAAGACTTTGGTTAAAGATGAGTGTCGAGTTGAAAGAAGGGATAGAGAAATCCAACCTGCAAGTGTCGGACGTAAGTTGATGTCCCAGATTAACAGAGATGTGGTGATGCCTGAAACCAGAAGCCAGGATGACAGAAAAACCCATCGCGGGAGAAAAGATGATGACCAGCGGCTGAGAGATTCGGTACAGGACAGATATGTTGATGGAAGGAGAGGACAATATCGAAGGGCGGATGATGCTGGCAGGAGGCAACCTCAGAAGCGCTCTTTTGATATTTCTGGGAATGAACCTGCTAAGAAGCATTCCGGGAACTTGGTGGAAATGAAGAGGCATGGGGATGTGAGTAGGGGTAGAGCTGAGAAGGCATCAGATATAACTCTTAGAAGCAGAGAACACGATCGGCGGTCTGAAAATGTTACGGAAAGTGAAGTGCGAAAGCATCATTCAAGAGATTATATGCAGAGGGACAAACATACAGATGAAAACAGGCGAAAGCTTGAAAACAGAAAACCGCAAAATGAGGTGCAAGAACTTGTAAAGAAATATGACTCTGTCAAAGATTCTTCTGAGAGAGATGGTAGGAAGGAATTGTCAAAATCTCATTACAGAGAGTCGGGTTTTAAGCGAAGACGGTCTAGGAGTAGAGAACATGAGGAAACAAATCAGAGTTCTTCTTCTATCTCATTACGAAAGGAGAAGCGTGATTCTTACCATACAAGGGGCCGTGATGGTCTGTCCTCTCATTCTAAGGGCAGGTCTGAGAGACAGCATCTTAATGATGAAGAGAGAAATATTGTTAATGGCAAACACAACGCTGCTAGTGGGCTTGGTGGCTATTCCCCAAGGAAAAGGAAAAGTGAGGCAGCTGTTAGAACTCCTTCCCCAACCAAGCGCTCTCCTGAAAAGAAAAGTGCTAGATGGGATCTTGCACCAAAAGTAAACAGTAAAACGTCATCTGCCTCTCTTCCTACTAACAATTTGCTATCTAGTCAGCAATTATCTTCGATTATGCGTGAACTAGTCAATACTGTTCCTAGTTCGTTAGATGCAGGAAAGGCCATCTCTGGGGCATCACCTAGCACTCTATTAACAAACAAGAATACTTCCATTGACTCTATTCAACTAACACAATCTACTCGTCCTATACGGAGACTTTATGTGGAAAATGTACCAGCCTCTGCCTCAGAGAAAGCTATTATGGACTTTCTTAGCAACTGTTTGATTTCTTATGGTGTTAATCATGTTCCCGGATCACAACCATGTATCAGCTGCATTGTAAGTCACTTTACTTCTTGGTGAATAAAATAGATTAATTTTTCCAAGGATTTTGTCTGAAATTTGCCGATATAAAATAATCTTCGCAGATCAATAAAGAAAAAGGTCAAGCACTTGTTGAATTTCTGACAGCGGAGGATGCTTCAGCAGCTCTTTCTTTCAATGGTAGCTATTTCTCTGGGTCTTCAATCAAAATCAGACGTCCCAAGGACTATGTTGAAGTGGCTGTAAGAAATACTATCTACTCCTTTGTTTATATTTTGTCGTAAGTTTAATTATTACTTTGGTGGTTAAATATAGTGAAGGCATGATAGACTTTGGAGAAAGGAATCCTTCAGTATAAGGGTCAAGAAATAGTTACTATTAGAAATCCAGATTAACATTTACAAAAATCTCTTGACCCTTGTACGGGGAACCACTTGTTCGGAATCAATCTTGCCTCAACTTGTTAAGCTTACTATTTTACATTATTCTTCACTTGTCTAATATGTATCTGGTCAGATCAGTCCATTAAAGTAATCACACCTAAAACAGCCTATAGTGGCATCTGTGTTTCTTTCTTGCCTAAGTCAACTCTTGTCAGGGGATCCATAAATCTTTGCTGGCTCGTTTGTTGTAAAGTGATATGGTTTAGCTTATTGTTGTTTTGATGGTATTTGCTTGAGTATAGTGTTACTATGTAACATCATACCCTTTAATCCGTTGAAGCAATTGCAATCTTAGTTAATGGAAAGGCTTGGTTAAGATGATAGAAATGCTAACCAAATGTCAGATATGCCAGTAATATAGCACTTGAACCCTATGAGCTGTTACAAAACCCTTGTTAAGATAGACCTGATGGCTTGATGCCAACAGTCAATGGGTGTCTTGGATAAGGGCTACTGTAGGATACTATTTAATGTTAATTGTATCCCTCTCAGTATAATTTTGTGCTCAAGCTTTGCTAATATCTAATGGATCAAATGATAAGTGCCAAATTTGATACTACAACATGAGATGATAAACAAACACTTCATTGGTTGATATAAAGTGAATTAATGCTTTCAAGTAACTTAGATTGCTTTAGTGTTGAGTGCTTGGATTGCATATCTGATGTATTTTATGCTAATGGTGCCAAAAATCTATGTCATGCTGCTAAATTTTGCCATCAGATATGAAAATAGATACACCTAGTTTTGTTTGAAATTCTCAAGAAAAATATGCCAAAACTGCCTTTTATTTTGGAGTGCTCTCGAGTTGGAGAATTACGTCACAATTGCTTAATCCTTAGGATAAACGGATGTATTGTCACACAGTTTGTTGGCACTATCACTTTTATGTGCTGGATTCTTTTCTTTTTCCTCTTCTTTTTCTTGCATTGATTCAGATTGTTTATTGATCTAACTGCTAAGGATTTTATGCTTTAAATATACAAACTTATCAAATCTCTGTTTGTCTAGTACGTGAGATTTATTCTGACTGTCATGTTGGAATATCTTAAATAGGGTATTTATATTGCGTGTATCGTAATTCACGTACTGGCTGGTGATGAAGCTGTCTCCTAATAAGAGGATATCCAGGTGTAGTGAACAAGTTTGATGTCCATGGAGCTTCTTTTACTGGCATTCACTTTTGGTAACTGATCTAGGTATCCGGGATAGTAACATTGGCCTAGCAGAATGTGATGCAGCACTTTCATCATTTGATTCATGCTCACAATATTGCTCGAAATATTGCATGTGTTGTTCCATTTTCAATCATATGCATCTGAATTTTATTTACTTTCGATTTTCTTAAAAATATATGATCAACATCTGTTGCTGCTGATCTCTTATGTTAGTTGTACCTTTGTGTCCTTTTTCATTTTCTAAATTCATGCATGTAGCTTTCTCTGAGTAAAGGGAATCGGAAATAGTTCGTTGATACTGTAATATGTTAAAACTGGCTATTAAGTTTCCTCTTGGTCAGTTAATATTACATCAATTAAGATTCTTATATCTACCTGAATCTATGCAGTGTTGTCTTGGCTTAGGGAAGTTATCTTCGAACTAAAAGTAACACTAAGTGTGTTTTTCTTCCAAGTGTATGCAGCTTTGAGAAAAATGTTCAAAAACTGGAAATGTTCGTGCCAATTTAGTGAAGAGTTGCCTCTTTCCAGTCATACTGGAGTTTAGAACATAAAACTATGAATGTGAGATACAGTTAACAGTTACATTTGCAATGCACTGTCCTTTTTGTTTGATCGTATTACTTGCTTGCTTTGGGTGCCTATGGACCCTGTTCTTATCAACACATATGCATATGCTGAAAATGTGTTTGTTCTTATTGTTGATAATGTCTGAGTTAGTTGAAAAAGATAAAAGGAAGGCTTCCTATTTTTTTCGTGTTCCTCCATTTCTTACTCCCAGTTGCCTGTTTGGCACCTCTCTGCTCGTGCGGCGATTAAGGCTTATGACATTATTGATCTTTCCTTTTCTCCTCTTATCAATGAACGGATAGCTTTTAGCTCTGATAAATATTCAGTTGTGAATAAGTATGAAAATCTGGTTGATCTCATTTGCTTTTGATTTACAGTGGAGCTATAATCCCTCCGAGGATTATTCAATTGCTGCATCCTCCTCTGAGATATACTGTGGTTACCGTCCATGTAGCGGGTTTTCAGTCGGTTGCTATTTTTATGCAGACTGTTGAAGCAAAAAAGTCGGTTGCCGTGGTTCAGGCAATAACTGATATTGTTAAGGATTCGCCCCACAAGGTTGTGTTCTTTCTCATTCATTGTTGTTTTATTGCTTCAGTTATATCACAAAGGGATCTGAAAGACCATTTTGTTGTCTTGATTATTCTTGACTGCGAGACGTCCGATTTGCTGTCAGGGTCTTTTTCAGTTAAACTCTGTCCAGTGCTACATGATTATTGTGTTCATGCAGAGAGCTTCCATTTGTTTTTGTTTCGACCGTCTCCCTGCTTTGAAAATTATTTGTAGAAATTGTTGATGCAGTCCTCCTGTCGATGAGTTACAAATTTTAATAAATAAATAAAGTACAGAGCCGTCATGTTAGTTCACTTACTTCCTTTGCGATAGTTGTGTAGGTGGTTCGCCAACTGTTTGGAAATTACTCTTTTAAGGCCTATAAAGCTCATCGCTTTCTTCTTGAGTCATTGCAGATCTTCGTTGGTGGAATTTCAAGTGTCCTTTCCTCCAAAATGGTAATTTGCCTTCAAATGTGTAACATTGCAAATGCTCTTGGTCTCAAGGGTCAAGACTGACAACTGGGATGGTTCATCCCATGCCTAACATTCTCTTATTTTATTTTATTTTATTTTATTTTATTTTATTTCTGATGCCCTTTCTAGTTCTGCACTTCTGTGACTGTTCATTTAAAGTATTTGGTTTGCCTTCACAGCTTATGGAGATTGCTAGCGCCTTCGGACCTTTGAAGGGATTCCAGCTTCTCAACAATAAGGAACGTGATGGCCCACATGCTTTCCTTGAGGTAAGAAAACCATTTGTGTCGGTTGCTTTCATTCAGAGAGGCGCGTGGTTTCTTGTTGCCACTGAGGATTTCTATATGTACAAGTCCTGATCTTGGTGCTGCTCATAAATACCTCTTAACTCTTGGTCGTAGCGGTAGTGAAGGGCTAATTTGTAACTTTAATATCAGTATGCAGACGAGACAGTCACTCTTAAAGCTTGTGCTGGTTTGAATGGTATGAAAATAGGAGGGCAAGTATTAACTGCGGTTCAAGCTGTGCAAGATCCTTCAGTCATGGTATTTCATTTGAAACCCTTTTCCTTTTCTTCTTTTTATCTGGAAAGGGAAGAGTGCTCTAATCGGGCGGATTGACTTGGTAGGCAAGCAATGGGAGTCCACCATTCCATGGGATCCCTGAACATGCAAAGTCACTTCTTGAGAAGCCTACAGAAGTTCTGAAACTTCTGAATGTGGTACACGTTCATGCACTTGAACTTTTTAGCTATTGTGATGCTTTTTATTTTGTGTAATTTGTTGTTTAAAATCTCATTCGAGACTTCTCAATGTCACTTGCCATAAAATATGGAACAGCTCCAACCAGAGGTCCTTCCCTCGATGTCCAGTGCAGAAATTGAGGAAGTATTAGAAGATGTACGACTAGAGTGCGCCAGGTATATAGAGGGGCGTTGCTTCTTTGTTTTAAAGCCTTTGCCTCGTAGTAGCAGCTTAAGCATTGTTTGCTTTTCAAATGAAATTTACAGGTTTGGTGCTGTGAAGTCGATTAATGTTGTCAAGCATACTGCAATTCATTCCACCTCAGAAAAATCTTCCGCGCATGACAACAAGGTGTCAGCTGCTGGTGGTCAGCAGGACATGAACGGTGAAAAAATCCCAATAACTGAAACAGAACAACCAACTGGTTCAGTTGCTGCTGAAAGTCACGTGAAGGAGACACCGATGGAAGATGAACCAATGGGCAAAGAGTTGTCGAGCATGGACGAAAGCAGAGGGATTGCAGAAACAAACAAGGAGAAGGCTTCTTCAGCAGCTTCTTGCAATGACACAACTTCCCCTACAGCTTCAGATTCTGGTGCCCAGGAGGGTGGCGACCAAACTGCAGCAGAGAAAGATATTGAAACTGGAGGCAGTTTCGAGGCGGGTTGCGTGTTGGTGGAGTTTAGAAGGACGGAAGCCTCTTGCATGGCAGCACACTGCTTGCATGGCAGATCATTTGATGATCGTACCGTCACAGCAGAATATGTACCTCTTGATCTTTACAAGGCTAGGTTCCAGAATCAATAGGGATATGCTGTTAGATACCTCCCTGAGCGCCATTGGGCTGGCATTCTGAGCTGCTTCTGTTATAGAGAGATTGATGTTAGAGATAGGCACCAGGAACCCTTTTACCCCATAGAGAATGGGATCATTACTTCATTAGAGAGGAAAGATGGAATGTTTTTGCTGTGCGTGTCCATTGTTATGAAAATACTTATCACTAACTTCTGGTTCTGGAAAATTTTATGAGGAAATGTTCTACTTCGTGCTTGCTGTTGATTCCCTTGGTGGGTTAAAATAGGGGTCGAGGGAGCATTGTGGAATCTTATTGGAAGATTATATCTGAAAAGTCAATGTTTTTGTATTATTATTAATATTTGATTTTAGCGAACAAGAGTATGGTTTAGTGGTAGTAGGCTAGTAGCACTAATCTTGAATTTTGAGGTGTTGGGAACGAATTCCTCAAATAACAACAAATATGTATGTATACCCTTATCGAGAAAAAAAAAAACAAATATATATGTATAATCCTTATAAAAAAAATAGCAAGTTGATGGTTATGTTTTCTTTTTCTTTCTAATAAGGGTGATAAATGATTTTGTTATTTTCGTCCATTTTTCCATTCAAACGTTCACACATCACCCAAATTTATAAATGAAATGTTGTAGATATGATATTGACAACCCAAACCAACCTTGAACCCATAAGAAGTTCCAAGATTTAGTGACCGTCTTGTTAGCACTCCAAATATAAGTGATCCTTTATGCTATTGACCAATTGTGATGGTTATTCAAGAAGCAAAGACGCATTAATTTCATTAAATAAATCAGAGTGGCGCAGCGGAAGCGTGGTGGGTCCATAACCCACAGGTCCCTGGATCGAAACCAGGCTCTGATAATTTTTTAGCCCTCTTCTTTTTCCCACTCGTTTTCACCAGACTTTCGCGGGCCGACGCAACATTTCAATAGGCCGAACCAAGCCCATAAAAGCTTTTCTCCAGCCCAATACGGTCATACTCGAAATCCCAGAATTCCATTATCCATTCCCACCACAGACGCCGTCCTCTGTTTCCAGAGATAGAACATTACCAGACGATGAGATAAGTTTTCATTTTCTCCTTTCTCCGCATCTCCAACTAGAAAAACACTCCCAAATTCTCAAACAATGGCGACGGCGTCAGCAACAACAGGAGTTTTGCTGGGAAACACGGTGAATTTTCGCCTCTCCAGCAACAACGCCCGCTTCCCAAGGCCGCCGCTGCCCACTTCTTCCTTCTCCAATTCCGCCGCCGCTTCAGACCTCAGCTCCCTCACTTCCCAATTGAGCGGCATTCGCATCTCCTCCGAATCTCCCTGCTCCTTCCAACCCTTCAAGACGGCTCTCCAGCCCGTTGTCGCCCGTGAGTCTGCCATTCCTGCTTCGGTCTGAGTAGATTGGGGGAAATTGAAAATGGTCAATTGAATTCTGATTGATTCTTTGTTGGTTTTGGGTATTTTTTTTTTTTTTTTGCAGGGAGAATCTGTCCGTTCACAGGGAAGAAAGCGAACAGGGCGAACAAGGTGTCCTTCTCCAACCACAAGACCAAGACGCAGCAGTTCGTGAACTTGCAGTACAAGAGGGTTTGGTGGGAGGCAGGGAAGCGCTGGGTGAAGCTCCGTTTGTCCACCAAGGCTTTGAAGACCATCGAGAAGAATGGCCTCGACGCCGTCGCTAAGAAGGCCGGCATTGATCTTCGCAAGTTGTAATCCACTCAGAAAGCAAGTTTCTTTCTTTAAGCTTTTCAAGGTTGCCCATTACATTCAGCAGGTTTCGTACCTAGAAGACTCCAATGTACTGAAGTTCAAATTTATGTTTCTAGTCAGTTGCTGCTACTTTCCTTTTGGAGGCAAAATTGTTGTAATCCTTCTAATTGAGTGCAGAAGAGATCGATCGCCTTTGTTTTTGACGAGAGCTGTTTGCAATTTGATATCTAGGCGGAGGATGAACTATGGGGTTCTGTCATCCTCTGCAACACAGGTAGAGGTGACCCAGAAGCATGATCAGAAAAAAGACCATAAGAGATGATGAACAAGGTAAACTGTTGATAGTGTCAACTTACATATGTATTGGAAAAGATTGATGAGATGTGGTGGAACGCAATCGAAGGCAGGGGTTTACGATTTCGAGTACACGAGCACAGGAGCACTGCTATCGGGTGCTAGTCCTGTGGATTCTGGGGATTCTCGGAACTCAGATGGCGACTTGAGCTCATTCAAATGCACTGCTGGGTTTTCACTCTCAAACTCTGATGAAGTGGAGAATGGGTTCGAAGTGATTTACTCTTATCTTTTTATTACCTTGTGAGTGGCTGCAAGTCTCAAGTCTGCAACTACTATGAAATGGAATGCCATGAGGTTTCGCTGCAACTGCGAGAGCATGTTCATTGTTCAACGCGACTGTCCTATGATCCTGCCTTCACACTCAGTATGAGCTCCAACCACAACCTGCACCTCAAACAGGAAGCCTCTTTCTGAGTTTAAGCCAGTACTGCATCATATTTGAACAACTTGTGATCGATATAGTCAGTGCCTCACCATGATCGCTCCAGAAATCATGGCAGATACTGCTGAATCTGTTATCACAGTTTGTCCTAAAACATCAGGCAGTTAGATCTCAGCTGAGCAGGAGGATCCTTTGTTACCTAAGTGGTAGCCAAATTGTTAACGGATCAGTTGTGATGAACAATTACACAACTAAGAGGAGAAAAAATGACATTGCGGAGTTAACAGCAGGGAGTTTCAGACTTTGGAGCTACTTCAGCGACAAAAACCCTGAAAAATCTGTTCTTTGCAGCACAAGAACAAAGGGTTATTTGTTAGAGTAACTCTCAAGTTAAAGAGTTATTATTAGTATTCAACGTTAGGGTGTTCTTGGGTTTGCTTGTGGTGGAATGAGTTGTTAGTACGGATCTGCCAGCAGCACCTTTGACTGTATTAATGTCTAGAGTGACGGTGTTAGCTTTACACCTTTAAATCAATGATTTATATTTTGAGAATGAAATTCAATTCTTTTTAAAAAAAATTAATTTCAAACTGGCTTCAAATACACTCTTCTTTCCTAATCTTATGATGTAAATGGAGGGTTAATTGCACCGGGTGCCATTTAACTTTTATAATTGGACGTCCTAACTTTTCTTAAAATTAAGAATTAAATGGGTTTACATTTTACAACCCCTAAAATTCAAACATAAGCAATTGGTTAAAGTTGCATCTAGATTGTCAACTATGGTGTGATTTGTAGTATAGATTCAATGAATCTATAGATTAAGCATAAAATTATGTTTTTTCCTGTGTTTTTTTTATCGTGAATGTTATTTTTAGAGATTTCAAATATCCAAAGTTGATAAATATAAAACCACGCATAACCATATAGTTTTTTTTAATAGTAATATAGATTTTATATCTTGATTTGCGAGACATTTTTTCTATTTTACCCCTTTCTATTTTTATTCCTTTTTTTTTTGACAAAAGGTAATCATATATTAGATCAAAAAGATAGTTACATCCTGGAGATCAGCCAGGTCTGATAATCAAAATGACGGTTCATAGCCGGGTACAGAGAGAGGGCCTTACGAGCCACTAAATGGGCTACCCTATTGGCACGCCGACCTATAAACCGAACAGAAAACCCTTGATTGCGGGACAAATAATGCAGCACCTCCTTCAGTATAGCTCCTATCCTGCCATCTCTATCATCCATCAGTTGGAGCTTCTCAATAACAACCTTGGCATCTCCCTCGAATCGCACACTAGAGAACCCATGTCCAATGCACCAGAGAATTGCTTCTCGCAAGACCAGCAGTTCCACCACCAGAGAATCATCAATGACGGGAATCTGTAACCCAGTGGCCATTAGGAGGTCTCGGTTCGGGGTCATTAGCACCACACCTCCTGCTGAATGCGATCCTCTCCGAGTAGCCTCATCCCAACCACAGATATCCCCTGGCATCTCGTCCTGGTTCGAACGGTGGGCCGCCGCATCAGTATGGACCGCGCTAGATTTATCAACCGGGAGGCACATCCACTCCTCGTATTGCTGCGTGAACTGGTGCATCAGTGCATCCACTCTGTACTGCTGGCCTTCAAAGACCACCCAATTACGAGATCGCCAAATACGCCAGAGGACGGCCACAACAGCCATGAACAGAGCAGGGCACTGGATGAGAGCCATGACCTTCTTAAGAAACAAGGGAAAAGAATGGCGCGGCAGTCCCTCCTCGATATGCTCTAGACCCGCAGCACCCCATAGTGCTCTGGCTACCTGTCAATCCAAAAACAGGTGTTCCATAGTCTCTTTGTCTTCCCAACAAACCGGGCAGCGAGGATGGACCACGATCTTTCTTTCTAGCAAGGCCTCTGCTGTATGAAGGATTCGATGAAAAATCTGCCAGAGAAACACCTTTAATTTCGGCGGGATGTTAGCCTCCCAAAGGCGGATCCAGCTTTGTCGATCCATCCAGTCTACCCCAGCCCTCCAACGACCCCTGCGCCTGTCCAAGGCGACTGCCAGATGGTAAGCAGATTTCACCGAAAATTCACCATCTGCCGTGTCATGCCAGATGAGCCTATCCTCCACATTCGTACAAGGGAGAGGAATAGCCTTAATAATACGACAGGTAGCAGGGTCAAACCATTGGTTAAGCTTGAGGTCACACCAGCGACCTTCCCCTTGACAAATAAGCTCCGAAACTGGGGGATCCCCTCCTACTGGCAAGATTAGTGGGTTATATCGAAGAGGCTCAAACTGATTCTGGGGAACCCAAGTAGAGTACAACATGGATGCCGACGACCATTCCCAATTTGCCATCGAAGCCCCATCTCTAAGAGTTTCCGCCCGTGTAGAATACTTTGCCAACCCCACGAGGGTCGCGAGCGAGCCTTCGCAGTGAGGAAATGGCCGTTAGGGAAGTATTTCCCTTTGTAAACTTGGGCAAGCAAGGAGTGGGGCTCCAGGAGGATACGCCAGCCAATCTTAGCCAAAAGGGCTTGATTGAAGTGTTCAAACCGTCGGAAGCCCATCCCCCCATCATGTTTACTCCGGCACATGTCCCGCCAAGATATCCATCGTACTTTCGAATGATTATCATCATCTCCCCACCAGAAGCGGGCAACATGCTTGTCCAGAAGGCGGCACAGGGCCAGAGGCAGCTTGAAATAGGACATCACATGAAGGGGTAAAGCCATTGCCACCGATTTTATCAAGGTCTCTTTAGCCGCCCAGGATAAAGTTCTCTGCTTCCATCCCTACAGGCGTTCCAGGAGTTTCTCCTCTAAATAACGGAAGGTTTCCATTTTCGATCTAGCTATCAGGGATGGGAGCCCAAGGTATTTATCATGGACCCCGACTGCCCCTACCCCCATAATCGCGGCTAGGAATTCCTGGTCCGGTATCGTAATATTTCGACTGAAGCACACCGCTGATTTTGCCAGGTTCACTCTTTGGCCACTCAGTTCCTCATATTCATTCAAAACTTCGATTAGATTTTCACATTCTTGGAGCGTTCCACGCAAGAATAAATATGAGTCATCAGCAAAGAATAAATGCGAGATCCTCGGGGCTCTGGGAGCCACCTTAATCCCCGCCAATTTCTTGTATGAGATAGCCTTCTTCAAGAGAGCCGCAAACCCCTCTGTGCATAGCACAAATAAAAGGGGCGACAGGGGGTCACCCTGTCTAAGTCCCCTGGAGGGAGTGAAGTAGCCAGACGGAGTACCATTCATCATCACCGTAAAGGATGTAGACCGAAGACACTCCTGAATCCAACCCCTCCATACAGAATTAAAACCCATCTTTTCCAAAACCGTAAGGAGAAAAGTCCATTCGACTCTATTATAGGCCTTTTCCATGTCAACCTTTAGAGCCATGTACCCTTTCTTCCCACGTTTTTTGATTTTCAGGTAATGCATAAGTTCATGTCCGAGGAGGATATTTTCGACAATCTGTCTTTCTCGAATAAAAGCATTTTGACCAGCCGAGACAATCGTAGGTAAAATACAGGCCAGCCGCTCAGCCAGAATTTTGGTTATAATTTTGTACACAAATTGGCATAGGCTGATAGGACGCAAATGCCTCATTGATTCAACATTATCCACTTTTGGGATTAGAGTAAGCCAGGTATGATTGAAACTACGAAGCATCTTTCCCGTTGAGAAGAACGAGCAGACAGCTTCAATCACTGAAGGCCTCACAATATCCCAAAAGGATTTGAAGAATTTGCCCGTAAACCCATCCGATCCCGGCGCATGTTTTGATCCCATAGCAAAAACTGTCTTACGTACTTCCTCCGGGAGTATAGCCGCAGTTAAGGTATCATTCATAGCAGGAGTAACATTTTGGTCAATGGGCAGAGAAAAGACACGATCTCTCATATTAGGGACCTGCCACTAAATACCATTACTTATAAATTATCAATATTTCTTCAACCATCCTAATTTTTGGTTAAGGATAAACATGTCTATAATTTTTATTTTTCATTGAGGTAAACAATCATAGTTACCAAATGAAAATTTTAAAACCTTTTCCAACAATCAAAAGTTTAGACTTTTTTTAATCTAGAAATTCATACCACAATTCTCCAAACGAGCTCTAAAGGGAGGGTTGAAGAATTATGTTAGGGCTTTGGATGACTTTTTTCCCCGGATTGAGGACGAAGTATGAATTAGCACTTCAACCCACATACACTCGACCGTCATCTATATCGTAGTTGCATGTCAAATGCTTAATTTCGATTAAAAGATCATCTTTCAATCATGTTCAAAGAATTTGACTTTGTCGTATATCGGATTAACCCAATCACTGAAACGAATTGGAAAGAACTAAGACCCCACTTAGAAAAATAAAGTTAGGTATACATAGTTATCCATTTTTGTACGAGTAAAATTTCCATGCTAGACCACATAAGTTAAAAACCTCAACTCAAGAGTTCAATACAAGCAAATAAGTGCAACTATTTGTCAACCTAACTGAAAACTCCTCAATTTCCCAATTCTTACTCCTCAGTTAAGGAAAACTCTTGTTCTCATGCGGTCAAATATTCAAAAGCCTCCTCAGTCCATGTGATCAAAACACACTTATAAATTCTACTCGGGACCAATTTCTTGGATAAAAATAGATTTTTATCCTTCCTTTCATGCCGAATCATCCGAGGTTAAAAATTGAAAGAAATTGATGAGACATCCATAAAAAACAGTGGAGATAAATGGTATAAAATGTATTTATCTTCTATTTACTTCTACAACTAAAAGCTTTCTTATTGTCACCGCTAGTGATATAATGAGTAGAGTTGGGTCAGATTTCTCTAACTCAAATCCAATTTAGCGGGTGCATATAAAAAACATTCCGTAATGGATTTTAGAAGAGAAACTCAACTCAATCCAATGGATACTAACAAATGCATGTGTACGTATGTGTTCACGAATATAATCCTACATTATTCTCATGAATATAATCCTATATTATAAAAAAATTCTACAAATATATTTGCATAAAGACTAATAATATTCATAAATAATTAATATTATTATGACTATATTTTCATAAAGACTAAAAAAACATCCATAAATTTATTCATAGTGTTAACGTTAGACACAAAATGATGTCATTGTGCTTTCTGGGTGGATCAGGTGAAAAACGGGTTGAGTTTTGAACAAAATATGTCCCAAATGCAATATTATACAATTTCTTAATCTATTATAATATTTTTTATTTTTTAAAGGGACTTCACTACTCAAATTCTTTTTTCTTTGGCAGTTGGGCTCAAAGTTCGAACTAATAGTGTGGTGGATGTTCTCATCCCAAATTACGAGTGGGCCAGTCCCTTGAGAAAAAAAAATGCTATTATTGGAATTTGAATCCAGGTTACTCAAATGAAAAAAGAACACTATAACCAGCTAGTAGGGTTGAAAGTTTGGAACCGGTATATGGGATATACCGAATATCGTATCGAATTTGTCGATATTTGATATTACTGAATACACATATTATTTCTTGGGATTCAGATTGAATTTCAAGGGTTATTTGGTATTAGGAATTACGGGATTGTGATTTGTATTTACCGAAATACTGATCAATAGCGAAATATAAGCTTGTGTGTATTTTATCCCTTTGAACTAAACTATCTCACTCACTACTATCAGACCTTCAACCGCCAAGATGATCACTTTAATTTACATAGCTCATTCCCACACTATGTGACAACCAATACCAAGCTTTGTTAATTGTAGTACGTTTATGGGTTGCTTAGTCATCCCATGTGTCCAGTTTGTTAATGTGCTCTTAGGCATCACATTTTTCTAGTATGTTGTCATTATACTTGAGATTTATTATCATTTGTTTTGCAAGAGTGTTAGCACCACACCATTGTTGTTTTTATATATTTTGAGAATGAGTTATGGAGCTAGCATTTGCCTTTGTATATTGAATTCATAATTTTGAAGGAAATAAATTTTACATTTGGTATATACCGATAGCGAACAAAAATTTAGGGATTGGAATACCGAATTTATGGCACTATTTTGTATCTCGAGTTTTCGGTGTTTGATATTGCAATACCGATATCGTACTAATTTCCATTTTCCACCTTAAGCCCATACTTAAATGGACGACAGTCCATCCTACTCGCCAAAAAGTAGGCCTCCAATTTGTTGGGCCCAGCATAGCATAACGACGAAGAGGATAAGATTCTGAGGGCATATCCGTCATTTAACCCCACCAAGGACATGCTCGTCATTTCGCTCCTCAACTCCCAAATCCAATGGCATTCTCCTTATTCCTCAATCAAGCCGACCGTATATAAACCGCTCTCCCCATCCCCAATTTTCTTTCGCCCCATTTTTCCTTTCCTCTTCGTTCTCCTCCTCCTCCTCCTCCTCCTCGCGCCCACTCCAATCTCCTCTTCTTCCCCCTTCTCTCCCGCTCCAATTTCTCCCCGGCAATTCGAAGCTTCCCGATTCGTTAGCTCCGACCGCCGCCGCCGGCGAGTTCCTCCGATTTGGTTCCCGTTTTTATTACTCTGCTCATAAATAGCCTCTCTCTCTCTCTCTCTCTCCCCACTTCGCTTTCCAATTATACCGGTTTCTTGTTCTTTCCCCCCCCCCCCCCCCCCCCCCCCCGCCTCCAAATCCGATCCTTAAGATGCTGCCACCTGGCGAGTCTAGGAAGCGAAAAGACAGAGAATCAACGCCAGCGTTTTATCCAGCTGCCAAACCATCGGCTCGGCTCGACTACCTCCACAAGCCGCCGCCGCCGCCGCCGTCGACGCCAAATCCTTCAACCAACAACAACGGGCTACTGGCCGGGTACTTGGCTTACGAGTTCCTAACGAGAGGGACGATTCTCGGGGAGAAGTTCGATCCGGCGAAGTCGACGGATGCGGCGGTGCCTCTCGCGCTGCCGTCGAGAATCAGGAAAGGCGGAGCAGTACCGGCCGCCGAGGAGGGGAGGAAGAAGAACAAGGAAGACGAGGAGAAGAGCTATGCGGAGGTGGCGAGCTTATTGAAGACGGAACGTGCCCACATTCCCGGGATTGTGAACCCTACTCAGCTTGCCCGCTGGATTCGGATGTGAAGAGAAACAGAGAAATGCTGGAGAGAAAATGGAATTGGGATTGAAGCCGAGTTCGTGTAAACTTGCTGTACAAGAAGGTTTGGTGGGAAGGAGACAGGGCAAGCTCGATTCCGTCAAGCTTCGACTCTCCACTAATGCTTTGAAGACCGTCGGGAAGAATGGAGTCGACGGCCGGCGTTGATCTTCGCAAGGTGTAAAGATCCCAATAAGAAAGTTCCTTTTCTTGAAAACTTTCAGTAGTAGATTCTTTCCATATTCTCTTCTGTATGAAATGTCAAGGTTTCCCATTACATTCAATATGTTTCTTGTCAACAAAATCCAATGTATCAAAGTTCATAACAGCCAAACTGTTCGGCATTGGTCCAATGTATTAAAGTTCTTGTTTCCAGTGAATTGAATCTAGGCGGCAAAACTGTTCTAATTCTTCAAATCGAGTGCAGAAGATCGATCGCCTTTGTTTCGACGGCTTGAGCTGTTGACAATTTACTAATTTTTCAGAGGATGAGATCCTCGGCAGAGTAGTAGTCAGCAATCAACCTGTACATGAACGACGGGTTGTGTCCGCCTCTGCAAACAAAATCAAAATCAGAAAAGACCATACGAGTAAAACTTAAAATGGGTGATTGAGGAACCAGGTAAATTATGGTCCTTTTGAACTTACATGTCTGTAATGAAAAGCTTGATGAGCTGTGGTGGAACGTAATCGAACGCAGGGTTTACGACGTTCAGCACACAAGCGCTGCTATCGGGTGCTAGTTCCATTCATTCTGAGAATTCTCCAAACTGGAGGAGATCAGATGGCGACTTGAGTTCATTCAACCGAACTACTGGGTTTTCTGGGTACAAAGGGCATAACCAACGGGGTGCAGAATCAAAACTCATAATCAGATGAAAATGGGAAATGAGTTCATTCCTCCTTTTTTTTTTGTTATTACCTTTGTGAGTGGCGGCAACTACAACGAATGGAACACCATGTTGTTTGGCTGCAAGTGCGAGCATGTTCAACCCAACTGGACCTATGATCCCACCATTGGCCATCACAGTATGAGCTCCGACCACAACCTGTTCCAGAAATAGTAAACATCTAAGTTCAAACCACTCATGCATTACATTTTACGACTTGTGATGGGAATAGATTAGTCGCTGCCTCACCATGTTCACCCGTGAAATCATGGCAAATACTGCAGAATCTGTGATCAAAGTGGTCTTAAAACCTTCTGCAGATAGATCCTTCGCAAAGCAGTGTCCTTGGTACCTAAGTGATTGCCAAAATTGTTAATGGATCAGTCCTGATAAAGAAATAACCAAGAGAAGATTAGAGAAAAAGAAAAAAGGCATTGCAAAGTAAACTGCTGGGAGTTTCAAACTTGGGAACTCCTTCAGCAACGTAAACCCTGAATGATCTTTTCTTCTTCGCGGTACATAAAAACTCCACCACGGTTTTTGACTGTCCTAAAGTTAGTATCACCTCGCTGCAGAAAAACAAAGGGCTCTTGTCAGAGTAACTCTCATTGTTGTGTAGATACTATTCAAGCTAAGATTGTTAATTTGGTATTGAGTTTACTTGTGATGAATGAACTCTAATGCTCGCTCTGCAATCTGTTGGCGGCAACTACTTATCTCTTCAACAAGCTCATTAATTGTCTCCATCACGCTACGCTTCAACCTCCAGGCTTTTGCATTCCTATCAGCAGCTGCTGCAAACCATTTGGGCAAGGCTGAGAATCTTAAAACTATTCAACATAAAAGCATCTCGCTTGAAATACATAATCAGATATGATCATACCTTTCCTTTTGCCTTCCATATCGTCCATAGGTGCACGGTCAAGTAAACGGTGCAGTGAAGGAGCTTGCAATAACCTTCTAGTAGCCAACACATCAGCACTTGAATCTTGACCATCCGTGTAATCAGCTGTCTCTTTGTTATCCCCATCGGATGGCAAACCATCTGTTACTCCAGACACGTCTTCATCTCTAATGATCCGCAACACCCTCCTTACAGTGTTCCCCACAGAAAGCTCTGAAGTACAAAAGTTCCCATTATAATTATGAACATTTGTAAAGACAACAAACACATACAGCTCCTGACAAGAGGGATTTTCAATAGCTCACAGTTTCACGGTAACGACAAATCACTTGGAATTCTAACTAAAACGCAAGTCTCCTAAAGATGAAGTGAAAAGGACTGAAAAATGTACCAACGGGATTAGCAGCAATTAACTCCTTGCCCAACTTTCTCACAGTTTCAACAAGAACATGAGCCTCAGCGGCCCTCAGTTGAGATATGGCAGTCCGAAGCAACTCTGCTGTTAGTTGAGCGGTCGCTTGCGAACCCTCCACTTCCCTGCGGAATGAAAACGTACCCAGAAAATGAATTAACCCATAAACCTTGCCAATCGTACAATTCATTCAGTTGGATGCCCAGGATCACGAGAGTAGCTCGTTCAGGAAAAAACCCCATCTCCCCCAAGAACATGATCAGTGGTGGAAAAGCAACATAAGTAAAGGAATCGAAATTCCGTCGAGAAAAAAGGGTCAATTGCCGAAATGAGAAAGGAGGAAGCTGCTAACTCTTGTTAACCAGAGCAATTATGTGCAAAGAAACTCACCGTTTCCGAAGCTGGGAGACGAACTCGTCCACGAGAAGTTGAGGTTCTGGCATGCTGAATGAGAGTGATCAAACTTCAAACCCACCACAACCCAGAGTAAGCGCAGAAAATGTGTGTTAAAATGGAGAAGCAGTAGAGATTTGAGATTCCAGAATCGACGCGCAAGTCTGGATTCTAGGAGCTGGAAGCGTAGCGAGGGAAGAAAGTGATTTGGGACGAAGGCATGGCCATGATCAGGCTGGCTAGCCGGACAAGAAATAGTTTCCTCGGTTTCTCTCTCTAGGGTTTATGGACGGTTATTACTCAATTTTCCCGGGTTAGAAAGGGAGGGAACTTTTCCACGAAGAATGGAAGTTTGGGCCGGGGTTCCTATCTTTGGAATTTGTTTTCACTATGGGCCTCTTGGGCTTTTCTGGGCCTGGCTAAATAATGATATGGTTTTCTGGGCCGGGCTAAATGATAGATATGGTTTTCTATCCAACAAAGAAACTAATTAACGACATCGATACAAATAAATTTGTAATCTAATATGAAATGATCCTATGTGGGGGCAATAAATTAATTTAACCTAAGCTAATTATGTGAGTATATTGCTCCGACCTTATTCGAACACAAAAAAACTAACTAACAACATCGATACAAATAAATTTTTAAGCTAATATGAAAAGATTCGATGGGGGAGAAATACATTAATTTAACCTAAACTAATGTGAGCTATATAGCTCCGACCTTATTCAAACACAAATAACTAGAAAATAATTCTAAAAAAAAAAACCTACTGCATTTACCACTTTGCCCAGTATTGATCTCTATTCTCTTGAATAATTCTAAGATAAACACCGTCCTCCTCCGCAACCCAAAAAATGTTCTCCTTGTGCTCCCTCCTCCCTTCGCCCAGATCTTCCCAATACGAATCGAAGCTAGCACGACGACCATCATCGGTGGACACCTCACACATCCACTTGGTCGTCCCGAAGATGTTGGGCTTGAACCTCCACGTAAACTCCGTCCCGACAGCCACATCGTGGAACCCTCTGTCGTCGTTCCTGGACCAGCAGTGAACGTGCAGGTCGCCATTGTACGTGGTCAGCTCATTGCTTACGTGGACATGCTTGTACGGCCACAGGCTCCATGCCGATGAAGCTCCGACAAGCGTTGTCGTCACGAGCAGCACCAGAAGCAGCGATGACGTGGTGAGAGCGTTGACCATGGCTGACTTCCTCGTTTCTCTCTCTTTTTTTTCTATCTTTTCTTGCTTTTGTGTGTGGTTTGTGTTCTTATTGGGGTTTAGTACTAGGATTGGAGGGTTTATATAGGAAGAGAAATGGCACATATATGACATATTAATGAGTATCATCAGAAATTTACAACCGAAGTAAAGAAGGGAAATTGGGTAAGTTAATCTTAGCCGCGTGATCATTATGACAATGTTGGTCGAGATGGAACCTTATTTACAAGTCCGCTTATTTGTGATATTGCCATTGTGATGATATAATAATCTCAATATTAAGTGGGTTTGAAAGCTAATGATATAATGAGGATCAAATATGTTTAAGGCCATTTCACTACTCCAAGGATTTCCACCCCTTTATAGTAAATCTGCAAGTTTATTATGTGTTAACTCTTAACTATAATCAAGATATTACATTTTAGGTAAAAAAAAACCCAATCGCTAAATGTCGCCCTTAAAATTGCTAACGGCCGCCCTAACTCTAATGATAAATTACTTATATACTCCCAATAAAATTTTAAAATTTAAACAATCCCTAACTCCTCAAATTGAACGCCTCATCTGCTTTCTTCGTGAATCCCTCTCGACGCACCAGTCCGCCGGCGCCTTTCCCGCCGCCGTCGTCGCCCGTTCTCTACCAAAATTTCCAAAAAAACGCTCAACCTAAGGTAAGTTACGGTTGGTCCATGGTGCAACCGCAGCTCACTTGCGGTTGGCCCATGGTGTAACCGCAAGTGAGTTGCGGTTGGCCCATGGTGGAACCGCAAGTGAGCTGCGGTTGCACCATGGACCAACCGTAGCTCATTTGCGGTTGCACCATGGACCAACCGCAAATGAGCTACGGTTCCCTTTTTTTCAATTTTTGGAGTGAACTTTACCGATTAAGAGTCGCTAGTCATGATCCAGACGTCCTATTGACGATTCCAACTCCAGAATGGCGATGATGGATTCTCTCTTTTGAATAATATTTTATTTTTTTTACTAAGTGGTGTTTGTTTGCTAAAGGGAAAGTAAAGAAGCTAAAAGGTTAAATTTGTAACTTTAATATTTTTTAGGGCGACATTTAGCAATTTTAAGGGCGACCTTTAGCAACTCCCTAAAAATACTAGCTCGATAAAAGTACACGCTCAATTTGTACCATAAAAGAATTTGTAAAGGTATAGGTATAAACCATTTATATCATAACGTTAAAGTTAATGGTACAACTTGTATCATATAAAAATTTGTAAAAAAATGAATAAATACAAATTAAATTTGTTACTATAACGTTTAAGGTACAAGTGTTATGATCACCGACATGATATGACACATCAGTGACGTGGTGAGAGCGTTGGCCAAAATTGACTTCCTCGTTTGTCTTATCTTCTTCTGGGATCTTTTATTGCTCAATTTGTATGTGGTTCGTGTTTTTTAGGGTTTGTATAGGATGAGAAATAAAACGACATTTTAATGTGTATCATCAGAAATTTCAATCTTGATGCTGTATTAATGAAGGAAATTGGCAAAGTCAACCTTAGCCATATGATCATAATGACAATTTCGATTGGATAATTGTGGAGATACTGTCGACATCGAGACAATAGTCTATCTAGGGCACAAAGGTTGTTGGATTCTGATACAAATTTACACCCATTCTTTTCTGTTATCAATCATACATCTGCTTATCGAAATCTTTCGGGTAAATTGCATGGTTGGTCACTCGAATTACTAAAAACGTTTATGTATGGTCACTAAAAATATTTAATTTCATTCGTAGTCACTCGAATTAATCAAACAGTCCAAGTTTGGTCACTCTCCGTTACCTTCCGTCAGCCTCTGTTAACACCGTCAGTCATTTGCTGACGTGGCTAACAGAAGTGCTGACTAACCTAATTTTAACCTGCCACATCACCAAATTCAACCCTCCGCGTCATTAAAAATTGCCTTGTCATTTTCCTAACCCAACCCATTCCTTCCCAACTGTGACCCAGCCGGCCAACCCGCAACAAGCCCACTAGACTTTGATTCCGATGATTCTTTCCCAAATCCAGAGTTCCCCAAGTTTTCCGCCGCCATGAACCCCCCTCTTCCCTCCATCTCCGCCAGAGAGTCCTCCTCCTCCACTATAGCAACTTCCTCGCTCTAGTCACCTCCGATTCCTCGCTCGTCGACCTCCATTCCACTTGCAATCAACCCGACCTCCAGCCACCTCCGATCTTCTTTCTAGCTTTTATTATCTCCACCATCTCCTGCTCCGACTTAGAGCTCGTGAAGAACAACATGATTTCACCGTTGACGCAGCCGTCGATGGAGTCTTGTTGAGGCAAACCACGAGATTCCAGGTTGGAATGTAATGATTATCTGGGTTTGTTATTTTTAAACAATGCGCGGGTAGCTAGATCTACGACTAGGTCAATTTCAACAAAAACGACTCCATGAATGGCTTTCACGGCTTCGACAACAAAACCAATTTTTTCTCTAATTGGTTTGGAATCCTTCATTCTACCCAAAAGAGAGTATTGGGACATGTGGGACTGGATTAGGACTGATTGGGATCTCTAATTCCAGATCCTCACCTCGTGTTAGCGGGGGAGATATCAGCAGTAACAGCAACCCTGAAATCTCCCTCCACTTTTTTTTGACTTGTCTTCGGTAAACTCCGCCATCTCCCCGCTGCCGAAATTGAAAATCCTAAAATCCTTTTGTCGACTAGAAAAGCAAAATCGCAAGAATTTGACTCCAAGATGTCACTGTGGTTCGTCAGGCTTTCCGCCTTGAAGCCGACCTTCTTCAATCCATGGGGAATCAAGCTCTGGCAGCGCCCGATTCCAGAACAAACCGACAAGTTCGAAGCCGTGGAAATCCTCCATGAGGCGTTGGCGTACGACAGAGAGCTGCGGTCTCATCACCTCCCAATCTCTCGGCCGGATTTCACTGAGTCACCGCCGGAGGAGCAGGGGGATGAATCGGCCGTTGAAAACCTCCGCCAGTGTCGCGATGAACAGTGCAAATTTGTACCCTCGATTTGTCTTAGAATTGAGGGAGTGGAGAGGGAGGCGGAGGCGGAGGCGGAGGCGGAGGCAAAGTCAGAGTGGATGAGAAATGATAAGACTGGGAGGAAGAAAGAGAGCCAGAGGCGGATCTGATTTTGGGGAAGTAGGGATTTTTTTCCTTTTGCCGTTAGAGTGTTAGACCAGCTAAAGGAAGAAGAGGAAGGGTCGGGTAAGGGTTGGATACTTTGTAAGGGTTGGAATGGGTTGGGTACTTTGTAAGGGTTGGAATGGGTTGGGTGCTGATTTTATGACGTGGCAGGTTAGGTATTTTTTTTATAGTTAAAATTAGCTGATTAGGTACTTCTGTTAGCCACGTCAGCAAAAAACTGACGGCGTTAACGGAAGGTAACGGAGAGTGACCAAACTTGAACTGTTAGATTAATTCGAGTGACTACGAATAGAATTAAATATTTTAGTGACCAAACATGAACGTTTTTAATAATTTGAGTGACCAACCATGCAATTTACCCAAATATTTCACAACAAAAGGGGAACTAAATAAATCACTCAAACCTGTGAAAAATAGACAACAATGCCAAATATTGATTCATCATTGTTTCCTCTTTTCTTTTCCCCTTCTATTTGGTACTATAATATGTATATCATCATATACTAATGCCTGACAGATTATATGGGGGGAAATGCATCTTCAAAGTTACAATGTACACCTTAACTGTGCTTAATTATAGAGCGCCACAAAGCTGCACCTAGCCGGGGTCATCTGAATGGTTCCACAGGTGCAGTTTCTTCCAGCATAGCAGCAGCCTCGAAGCATTCCAAGGCATCGGTTGCTGATGCACTCGGATCAGCCTGGTTGATCAATCCAAGCTGGTACCATGCAGAATGGTTCAGTTTGTCGAATCGAAGGGCATCGGTGATGAAGCTCTTGATGACCGGCAATGAGTTGACCCCGAGGCATTTGAGGACACAAGCAGTGGATATCAGGCTCGGGACATGGGTTGGCTCGGCATCTAATGCTGCTTTATATGCTTCCAGTGCTTCTTGGTGCATTCCCTTCGCCTCATACAGTACGCCTGTAGAAGAAATTGGTAATACCATGAGGGTTTTGGAAAGGGAGGGAAATGGAGGGTTTGTGAGAAGAAACTGATTACCTGTGGAGTGCCATCGTGACGCAGAAAACGGGTTGATAACCATGGATTTCGAAAGGCAGACCTCAGCATCTCGCAATTGAGACATGCTCGTGTATACGTTAGCTAGATCATGCCAGGTCTCCATCTCCAGCTTCCTATCACTGTTCCTGCTACTCTGCAAGAATCAACATGGGAAAAAGTTTATCTCCAATATCCTATCACCCTTGTCCTTAAGAAAATACTTCAATTACAATGTGTCTGCATAATGGGATGACAATAGGCTGGTCTGGTCTATCTCAACAGTCATCCTTCTCTAATATTACTCATATCTTTTTTGTTAGGTCTGAGTATATTACTCATATCTATGCTATTTTAATTACTCTATAAATTAATACAGCTATGACTTAATACGAGCCTCCATCTCTTTCATAATTTGGGGTCATTAGTTATGTAATTCCATTCCCTTCTTATTCAGAAAGCCTTTTCTCACAACTTTTCATATTTAAATTGAGATGTTTGCATATGTTTTTTTTCCAGTCACATGTCGGAATGAGCTGACCTGTGTCTCACGGATATTTCCCAACCAGAACATGCTTAGTGCGGTGAGGGTGTGTTATTAAGATAGCCACCCCATTGTCATTCTTACTGCATAAAGAGTGCCAAGTAAGTCACCATACCTTGTGAGGTTTCTTCTCCATGCCAGAGTTTTTAGTTCGAACTTGGAGAATGGCAAGAAGGTGAGTGTATGTCTCAATTGCACTCTTTAAGTGGCCCTGTGCTACTTGGATTTTCGCCTTTGTTCTCAGCAGCTCACTGTGATCCCACCTACCGGTCTGATCTATAGCAGCACAGATCACAGTCTCAGCATCAACAAACCTTTTTTGAGCAGACAGTATTCTAGCCAAAAGCACGTAAGTTTTTGTGGAAGACCCAGCTTCCAGTCTTAAAGCCTGCTTTGCATAAGTCAGTGCAGCATCTAACTTCCTCTGCTCAGCATTTTCTAGCGCCAGATGAAATACAACATACGGGTCTTTCTCTTTCATCGTCCGCTCTGCAAGTTCAAGCTTCTCAATTGCCTCAGACTGCTTTACAACCCTTTCGGAATCAGAAGCAACCAATCTTGACTTATTCGATAGTAAAAGACCCAAGAGGCAGTTACTAATGCTTGCTATTTGGACACATCTTCCAGGGTCACAAAGAGCTCTGCATGCATAATTAATCCCTTCATCAACTTGCATTGAATTCTCTGCACATATCTTAGAAGCAAGCAATAGTTCCATGTTGCAGTTCTTACTCTCTCTGTCCTTCAGGAAATTCTTCAGAAGATTTAGGGCAACTTCATTATCACCTTCTCCATGATAGCAAAGAGCCAAAGTACAAAATCTCTCTTGCCTTTCGGTAGTCCCTGGAAGCAACTCTTCCACCTGATAAGCAAGCGCCCTTAGGTCCCCCGAGACAGATAATGCAAAAGATATATGATCCATGACTGTTGGATCCCATACGATCTTCCTGAGAGCAAATTTTCTCAACAGAATCAGCAACAGAAGGACTGCCTCTTCAATGTTGTTTCTTGGGACAAAAGAACCTTCCATTTGGAAACGCAACGTTGGAGGAATTGCATCCGTCCCACTATACAAAAGGAAAATGGCAAATTCTTTCTGTATCCTAGCAGTCGTTTCTGTATCCAGATTCCAGTAATAGAGGAGGGCACGTCGGTACGCTACTATAGCTTCTTCAGGTGACCCAGCAAGCTTACACAGCTCAGGTTGCAACTCAACAGCTTTGTTCAGAATCTCTTGCAGCTTGAAATCTGCAGCAACTTGTTCTGATACACCATCTGGCAATGCAGACTCAACAGTGTCCAAAATTATTTTGCAAGACTGGGAAGCCTCTGCACAAAACATAACAAAAATGAAAATGAGCAAAGCAAACAGTACCAGTTCCAATCTTAGGAATAAGAACCAAAACATAGCAAAACATTTAAACCAGAAATTTGAAAGTCAAATGAGAGATGATGAATTATACCTGAAAACCTTCCAAGACCCTGCAATGATTTTGCCTTGAGAAGAACAGCCTCGAGAAGCAAGCTGATGGCATGCATGGACATGGGTGGAGCAGGATCACTTTGGGACCGGCGCCTATTCTGATGATCCAATTTCTTAGATAATGCGACTTTCATCCTAGAAGTCACTGCAGCTATGTCTATTCCTTCAAAGACATGAAGTGCACCTTCAATATTTCCCTTTTGATACTCCAGCCTCCCTAACAATGCTCTTGCTTCCTAAATATTTGGGGGAAGCCAAAATTAGCATCATGAATAGTAGAAAGATGAATCCTGCCAAAAGATTTCTTCATTCAAAACCAAAACTATGTTATAAACTGAGCAAGCACTATCCAAGTCAAGAATGCCGCCTGCTATTTGTTATAAGATGACAACAACGATGCTCTTCTGCTACTCACCAAGGGGTTGTTAATCATTCTTTGCGTAGAACATGAACTTGTTAAAGAAAAACTTGATTCAACACTGTACCTCATAATTTAGAAACCCACTCTCACGAAGGGACGACTCTGCTTCTTCAATGTTGCTATTATCAAGCTTGGAATCAACCTCAGCAGCCCGAGACGAATAGCCACTTGCTGAATAGTCCCTAGTTGCTAAAGACTCAGAAGACGAAGCAGCCATATCATCGACTCCCAACTGCTCCACAGAGCGCATACACTTCATCATTTTCCTGAACCTCACACTAAATCGAAGCTTCCAGTTTTGAACCCGAGACTTAAGTGTCATTATCTCTCAAAACCCTGGGAACTCTTTCAATTGACAGCAGAAACAGGAACCAAATAGAAGAAGAAGAGAAAAGGAACAGCAATTAGAGTACTGTCAGGAACTGAAAACCATATAGTTAAGTTCATAAGAACCATGGACCCTAAATTCCAATTCTGGAGACGACATCAGACCCATCTAGAGAACACCATAGCCCCCCCAATTGCCAGTTCTTCTTGCTCATCCTATTCCTCAATCAACCACACTGAACCCCATACCATGACCAACAATTACATCATTCAAATTGCCTCTCCATAGCCTAAGGCGCAGCGGGATTTCAACCCCAAAGCTTCTGAACTCACGCAATAAACACATGATCAACATACAACAAACACAGAAGTAAATGGGGGGATAGAAGGTTGAGAACCCAGGAACTCTAAACAGATAGAGATGTTTGTTTCGTGGAAGAATTGAAGCCAAACCCAGATGAAATACAGGAGGAATCCGGCAAAAAAATATCACAACTTTGGAAAGAAACCGAAATGGGTAGGAGACTAGAACCATAAACAATTGACTTAAAAAACACACATCAAGGAAAACGCGAATTAGGGGAATCAAATCAAGAGCTCATCCAAAGAAGGAAAAGAAAGAAAGTACCTTTCATATCCGAAAAGCATCGAATGAGCCCACAACCCATCAATCCCACCACCACAGTACATCTCCACGACCGAGAATCCAAAGCTAATACACTGCTTTCTATCTTTCTTCCCCAAAAGTTTTGTTTTTTTCGGCGTCTCCTACCTCTGCCTCTTTTTCTTCTCCCCCTCTCCCTCGCCTTCCCCAAATCCGCCCAACTTGTGTTTTCAAACAACGGAATTCTTTAACAAGCTGGAAAATCTCCGCATTAAATTACGAAATCTAATGCTTTCAGAGTGAGACAGAGAGAGAGAGAGAGAAAGTGAGGTGTTGATGTACACAGTAGCAGGCAGCAATGAGCAGAGCAAACAGGGAAATTGATTTTTCTATTCAAATCACCTGCCACAGGGGAATTTTCACACTGCAGATCACAGGGAAAGAGGTGGGGAAAAGAAGACCCAGAATATGATTAAAGTTTTTAACCAAGTGGGATGGGACCGGCAATTGAATTAGTCAAATTTTGCCCGGCCTCCTCTGCTCTGCCCATCAGCGGCAGACCAAAATGGTCCGGCCGGCACACAACTATTTGGTCTCACAATTCACCCATTTTGGAGGATAATTAATGATGGGGGAAAGCTAGTTTTCGGTTTACCTGCTGTAAATGCAAGTGGTGGGCAAAAAAAAAAAGCCATGATGGAAGGAAGAATTAGCCCTACAATACAGCTGGTGACGAGCTGTTGTTGTTTCGTGGAACAACTTTGAACGCTGTGTGGCGGAGAAGAAGAGGGAACTGGACAGTGGAAGCTACTGCTTTACTTGTCCATTTTCTTTGCCCAACTGGCTGCCTTTCTAAAGATCTTCTCTTTTTCTTGAACTTGTCATCATAAGGGTTGGCGAATTTGGCTGTCATTGTTACAGAGAGCAAGGGAGAACATTTTGATTTTCCCGTCCTATTTCGTTTAGAAAGAAAAAGAAAAGGGGGTTTTACCGGCACAAGTTATTTTTTACCCAATGCATTAGTGACGATCAAGCGGATTATGTGATAGCGTATCTCAAATTTATATGTGTTTGTGTTATATGATCAAGGTTGTCGAACCAATATTTGGCTGGTCGGTTCGATTTTGTCCAACCGGCATGGTCATATGAACGGTTGAAATAGACGGTGGATTGGTGTCTAAAAAAATACAAAATCGGGTTAAATTAGTCAAAATCAGCTAATCTTATCGTGTTTGAAGATGAGGATGGATAATTTGGTAATAAGTATATTTATTGCGGAAATTTATTTGGTAATATATTAATGTAGATTAGTGAGTTTGTTTTAAAATATGTCATACATGATACATATACATAATTGGTATCAGAGGTTTTCTCACGTATTCTATCAAACCCAACTTAAACTAGTTGAACCCACCCGATCCAATCATTGAACCTCAAACTACTCGTGAAACCTCCTTAATGATTTCCGATTTGACAACCTTTTATAACATAAAGGCATATAAATAGAACCGCAAACGAGTCGAGTTTGAGAACGCGCAACGCATTAGCAATCGCAAAATTAAAGCGGAAAAGGAAAACTCCAAAAAAAATTTGTTTTTGCCAATCAATCACTCTCATTCAGAGATTCATAAATAGATCCCGTTCATGACCTGATACAAAACCTATCTATATCTTTAACCACGCTAAGTAATCGAACCTCGATTGAGAATGAAGTGACAAAGACAGAGCCTGTCGAGCCACTAAAATGAGCTTACTCTGTTTCAAAAATGACCCACAAAGATCACCTGAACTACCCCCAATAGAATCACAAAGTCTGGAAATTTTACTGTCCCTTGAATCTCTGATTCACACATTTGTCAACGATAATCTTCGTATCGCCTGCAACTAATTAGTAACTACCGAATCAAAGGCCTGAGGCCCAATTCCTACAGAGCTTAATGGACCACTGTTTTCGGCTTCCCACGGGGAACAGCCCAGTCTATCTTTTACCCATGAATTAATTTTCAATCACAATAATGACGATAGGCCACTCTGTCTGTTCTAGACACAACACCAGGCTTTAAATGCACTCTCCCATTTGGGCCCATCTCCCATAATTCCCCACACCTACCATTCCAAAGCCCAACATTCCTGCTTCAATTTCCTCACCAATTTTCTTCATTTTATTTTTTTATTTTTTAACCATATTATGCTCATTAATATGCATGTGGCATGGTAGTTGTGGTAAGTGTGGTGTGCAAGTAGGTGTGATATTGATTACTTCTTCAAATAAACAACGAGAGATTATAATTTTATAATATAAAACATTTTTAGTCGAATTACAATAACTCTTAGTCTCTTACAAATTACAATACAGGTGATAAAATAAAAGAAAGAAACACATGAATTGCGAATGGGAATAATTATTAATTAACGACTGTAAATCCCTTTTTTGTTCAGTTCCTCGTTGGATTGGATCTCCTCATGAGCTCCTCTTATCAAATGCGTGCATGCATGCATGCACGACAGGAGAGGGGGACGTGATCACCGCCGTTTTACTAATGTCCGCCGCCCCACCCGCCTCCGGCACCGCCGCCACCACCGAATCCACCCCCTGCTCCGCCGCCTCCTCCAAACCCACCTCCACCTCCGCTCCCGCCGCCCACTCCTCCACCAATCCCGCCGCCTTTCCCGAATCCTCCCCCAATTCCTCCACCCGAGCCGCCGCCGAACCCTCCTCCACCGCCGGCACCTCCTCCTACTCCTCCACCAGCCCCGCCGCCGGCTCCACCGCCGAATCCACCTCCCTTGCCGATTCCTCCTCCTATTCCTCCACCCTTTCCAAACCCACCTCCAGCACCTCCGCCGGCTCCACCACCAGCACCACCGCCGAGTCCTCCTCCCTTGCCAAACCCACCACCAGCACCTCCGCCGGCTCCACCACCAAGTCCTCCGCCCTTGCCAAATCCGCCACCTGCTCCGCCGCCAAGTCCCCCGCCCTTCCCACCGCCGGCACCGCCCCCAAGCCCACCTCCCTTACCTATTCCGCCACCTAGACCTCCACCTTTTCCGATCCCACCACCTGCTCCGCCGCCAAGTCCTCCACCTTTTCCGATCCCACCGCCGATTCCCCCGCCCTTGCCAATGCCGCCGCCTAGTCCACCACCCTTACCAATCCCACCGCCTAAACCGCCGCCGCCTCCTAACCCGCCGCCGCCGCCCAACCCGCCGCCGCCACCAGCACCTCCGCCAAACCCGCCCCCTGCACCCGCTCCACCCCCGCCTCCCAGCCCGCCACCACCGCCCAACCCTCCGCCTCCACCAAACCCGCCGCCGCCGCCGAACCCGCCGCCGAGCCCGCCGCCCCTACGGAACCCCTTCTTCTCCTCCTCATACTTCCCCACAAAATCCCTGGCCAAAACACTCCCCGCCAGAACCTGAAAGCAAACCAAACACAACACCACAGCAGCAATCCTCTTCCCACTTCCCTTCCCCATATTCTCTCGCCTTTCTGTTTTTTTTTTTTTTTTTGGGAAACTTGGTTTGGGAAAGTCTGATGAGAATGGGGTCTTTTTATAACCCCAAAAAGCTAGCGTCGTGGTTTTGATTTGAGAGAGCATTGAAGTCCCTCAACAACCAACTGTTGGCCACATTCAAACTGTATTGGAAATCTCAGTAGATTTGTTTTTATTATTCAAATTAATAAATTGTAAACTAAGATTGTGAAAAATTAATTAAACCCCCTCTAGCTACTAGGGTAACTGCTGCTGCTAGCTAGCTAGCTACCTCCCCACCGGTCCGGTCAATTGCGTGAATTGATGAATCCGCGTTGGAGTCGCTGAGCTTCTGCCTTCTTTAATTTGGTAGATGGCAATTTCTCTTGTGGCTGATTTTGGGTTATTACACGCCATATTTGTTGTATTCGCGTCGTATTTTGTTTCGTTCGTTCACGTTTTATATTTGCGTTATTCATGTAAGCGTATGTGTTGATTATTCACGCAACCAAATAATGTCAGGTCACGCAACCCGATGTTCATTCGCGCGCGCCTATTGTTAATTATTCACGACGTTGTAAAATAGAGAAAAAAAAAATTTAGACTTTGAAATATATCGAAATGGATGTCATTGTGTAGATTATGATCAATGCAACATATTTTTGCAGTTTAATTGATAATCCAAAATTTTATTCCATAAAATATAGCCAATACAAATTATTAGAGGGGAAATGTGTGAATTTCTATTTACTTGAAAAACACTCTTACGTAAATCACCATTTACGTGGATGAGCATAAAACGGTATGAATGAACACAAAATGACGTAAATGAGCTGGCTAGACAAAGCATGTGACATTATATCGATCAGGCCGTAAGCCGTTCTATTCCTTGTGGTGTCACTTTCAGCCTGTTCGAATTAGTTGTTCAAGTCATTATGACTTGCAAAGTTGCAATCCCTATCCTCAAAAGTCTCTGAATTATTGAGGATTCATTTCATTGCAAACAATTACTAGCCTAGCCTAGTTGGCGAAACGACACACGATAATTCGAGAGGCTAGCGATTGAAAACTGGTGACAGACGGCAGTGATTCGTTCCGTCTTTAATTATACTCTAATGTTGGAGGGCCCTGGACTTAGAGGTGGTTGTTTGAGTTGTGCACCCACTAAGTGTGGCAGCGCACACAAAGTGTTGTCGTACTGATCACGTTTGTATTCTGGATTACCAAAAATGCCTGGAAATTAAAGCCTTCGCTTAATCACCCGGTTCCTAATATCGGCTGTCCCAGGGCTGCAAACCCGAATTTTGACCTGCCAACGAATTCACTGTCAGCACCGACCGCAAATAAGGGTTCTCCTTCGTCAAAAAAGAATCTAAACTCGTGAACGAAATGTAGTAATTACTAATTTCAATATTAATAATCTGGACAGAAATATTATTGAAGGAATTAAAATTGCAGAGGCTAACTATAGTCTTATATCATTAAAAGTATAACGGCTAAAAACAACTGGCACTGTACATCTAGAAACCTTTTCACTGCTCATTTAGACCTAATTTTCCTGTTCACTCTCTTTTGATTGGTTGCTGAGATGTAGTGGGCCCTTTGTGTTCTCCTGCCGTCGTTTTGCTTCATCTGGTATCTTTGCAGGGCTTTGAGTCTGACGCGAAACCCTTTGCGAGAACTGAAGGAGGCTGAGGGAAAAATCGCATTGGTCACAGATCGGCTGACTAGACACGGTAAGGCCATAAAGCAGCCTGGGTTTGCTGATGGGATGGATGTGTGATGTCTGCTCTCTTTTGATTTCTTTGGCTTCTCTGAATTGGGGCTCAGTTCTCTATGCGTTGATCGCAGAGAGGCTTTGGTTAGACGAGAGGAGCAATGAGAACATTGGTGAGCTGTGAGGGAAGTATACTTGGTGAAATAGAAGCCACGTTGTTGTTTATGTTGCCACACATCAGAGGAGGATAAAGAAAGGATTTTTAGCAACTTCTTCCATCATTGCTTTCGAACCACTCACTCTTTATCTTTCTTCCTCCTCTCACTTCTTCTCTCTGTTTAGCTTTCTCTTCTCACTTCTGCTTAATCTATTTTCTTGGTCTTTTAGGCGGTGAGAGAATCATAGCAATCAATGGCGGATATAGATGGGTCTGCCAAAGGTACTGAGGGGGGCCATACTCACAAGTTCCGTTTGATTAGAGGTGATTATGAGAAGTGAAATTGTTCAAGGTTTACAATATCAGTTTTATGCCTACCATGTTGCTGAGTGTTTTCGCTGTTCGATTTTGACGATCTTTCTTTGATTTTGTGCTTTGAAGCTTTGGGTTGAGGTTGTGGGAGCTTCCAGATAGCGGTGGTCTGTGAGAAGCGGAGGATTGTTGCTGGCGAGCCCTCAAAATGCTGCTACGCCTTCTTTGGACCTACACGTTTCTTGGATCGCTTTCTATTAAAGGTGATTGGCATTTGGTCTCTTTCCCACTTTCACAATTGGGTTTGCTTTGTCTTTGTATGGTTTTGATGTCTCATTTCCTCATTTGGTGTATGGGTGGTTGAAGGAACCAGCGGAGTGAAGCTTGGTAACTAATGTCGCTAATGATGGATAGATGGGCGGCGGAAACTTTTGTTTGGCGCTGATGAGAATCGCACTACAATATAGAGAATCGTCGACACACAGAGTCTCTAGATAGAAACGATTGTAGGGAAGCTCAAGTCCTTCACGAGCGCTTTTAATAAACTCAGTTGCAATCTGAGTCACTTTCCTCTGATTTGATGCAGCATTTACTCAACCAGTTAATAGCATATTGTGGACAAGTATACTTAGTCTATCTTCCAGGTGCGTTGCGGGCAGAGTCAAGGTAATGGTCGTATCAATCGGTGAGGTCCCGATCTCTTGCTCTCTTGATGACTTTCCTCTTTACCTTCATTCATAATTTTGGATTTGAGTTCTCCGATCTAACTGTTGTGTGTAGGGAACTCAACTCCGGCGAGCGCTTGGTGCCAATCTGATTGTCAGCTATTTTTACATGCGCTAGGTATTTTTGTTTCAATGAGTATCAGAGAAGTTTAGTATTGGAATTGACTTTTTTCATTCTTTCATTGCTTTGGATGGTTGCTGGTGCTTGAAAACCAGTTTCTATACTTATATTTATTTTTTTATTTTGTCATTAAGCTGTCACTACAAATATGTTGATGCGTGCTGATGCTTTGAAACTTCTGTGATTTTCCTTTCCCTGGTAGCTGTTATGTCTATTTATTGAAGAATTTCCATGTTGTGTCCTTTAATGGGTTTATATTCAGAACTGGAGGGTTTACAGAGGGAGCCTTACACATAGAGAGAGTAGCATTGTGTATATTTGAACACTGTATCAAATCATGCTAGAGAAAGTAGGCAGGATGGTTGCATCTTGGCAATTTGTTCTTAGCAGGGTGATTATGAATATTTGTGGTTTGCACGTATTTTGAACTTCAAGTTGTAATAACATGGCAGTCACTTATTAGGTTCTTCATAGAACTTCAGTGTGATACTTATGTCGTTGTGGGTAAGTGTCATAGTCCCCTGTTTAGTCTTCTTAGGTAGCCTTGATCTTTGTTGTTTTCTAAATTCCCATCAGATTGTAAAGCAATACATTTGTTTATTTCTTTCTCTCTATTTGTTTGCAACAAAGGTATAGAAGGATGTATAAATAAACTTTTTCAGTTTTGTTCTATAATAGTAGGCAAATGCATAATCTAATTTTTCCCCATTTTTGTTTCAGTTATCTGCAAAGAGAAATGGTGGCAGCCCAGTGGATGAGAGTAAATTTGATAATTCTGGCAAGGGACGGTTAAATTGAAGATTAGAGTACCTTAATTGGAGATTGGGCAATGTTGTTACAATCATGTTAATTAATAAGCAAACTAAAGACATGTACTTTTTGTGATTTCATGCTATGCTATTACTTGGTGAAAGCCTCACCTTTCAAACTGTAATACTTAAACTACCGGAGAGTGTTTTATAGATTCAATATTGTGTGTTTATGTGTTATCAACTAAATAAGTTGTTTTTGTTTTCTCTCAATCTACTTAAATAGAACACTTATCCCGACGCGGAGCGCGGGCAAGGATGCTAGTATATATAATAATTAATGGAACTAAATTTGCAACTGGGCATCTACAGATATATTTTTTTTTTTTGATTCGTTGGAGGCCGAAGCCAAGAAAGAGTTACAATAAAGAGTGGTGCTCAGACAAAAAAGGTGAGAAGATAGGAACTTCACACCCGCAAAAAGAAAATACAATAAGTGACGAACCGCTCAAACAAAATGACTTTTGTGAGAAAACTCTAAATACCAAGAATTGACATGGAGACCAAAGGACAAAGGAAAAATCATAGAGAAAGAGTTCATGCATCCGTCGGGATGACTCTTTAAGCGTTCGTTGGATCGGGGTTTATAGCTATAGATGATTCAACCCCTTCCTCTGATAGAGCATGGTTCATCGTGTGCTTGTTGATGAAGTTGGCATTTAACACTTCTAAGTCTTGAAGGGTTATGGGGATAGATTGCTCCATACCTTTAGTATGCTTTTTCTTCTTCGTCACCAAACCCAAAATGGGTTTTTTGTTGTCGTTGTTCTTCAGTGAGATTCCCTGCTTCTGATGTTGGTTACTGCTCCGTACCTTCTTCATTCTCTCCGTTATTGACGGGCTTCCTTTGTTCGAAGTCCGAGCTTCTAGCGGTTGCACTTCGATTATGTGAATTGTAGTTCCATTTGGACCTGTAATTGTGCGAACCGGCGGGGGAACGATAGTTTGAACGGAAGAGTTAGTGGAGCTGGATGTATGGCTTGGCCCGAACTCTTCTTTGGATGTAGATGGAGCGTTGATAGCATGCATATATGAACATGACATGAACTTCCACAGCAGCAAAGCATGTGCCCGGTAGATGCAAATATTTATTGCTTTCATTATTTGTCCGATAACAAATCTCGTCTGTGTTCAGTCGCGTTCAAACTTCAATCCAAAAGAAGAATACATAAAGTGAGTATTAGAGGAAAAAAAAGTCTATGAAGTTTTCCCACAATGTACCAAACTAACTAGCAATAACTGTGGGCAGTTCAGCTACCTACTTGTCTCACTTATTATGGCATGTATAGTTCCTTCCATAAGTCACAACAATACGTGCATACTATATTATGGAGTTTTGATGAATCAAGAACGAAAATCAGTTTGTATACAAGAAAGTAAACCGTCAATTGAAGAATTTGGGAAGTTTGAGAATTACAGCTTGACTCTTTGTTTTTTCATGCTCGTTACAACTCAACTAACTATACAGTCAAACCCCTGACCTATGTCATCGGTTCTTGAAACATTGAAATTGAATTTTAATTGCTAACATTTAATCTAACAATGATGGTATAACGTTTACCATATCTCAAGGTTATCAACTCGTGGGTTGACCCGGACCCGGTCGGTCTAGTGCGTCAAGGGTTAATGGGTCACCCGGTTTAGCTCGGTTTAGCCTGGAAAGATGGAAAGAGTCATTATATTGTACTTATCCTGATAAATTATATCAAATCTCATCTGACATATGAGTTATAACATGTAATATTTCATCAAAATAACATGTCGTACTTAGATCCAACATATAGTGAAAATTTACACACTTATATAACATTAACATTTATATTCAAATGTTCAACTTAGAATTCCAAAGATTGAGTTAGGCGAAAAGAAAAGTCGGAAAATAAGTGCATTTTGTAAACAAAAAAAAATGACACAATTTGACCTCCAACCTGGTACCTTGTAACGGTTGACCCAGCGAATGCGTGCGACCCGTTTTTCTCATTGAGTCAGGATCAAAGTAGGTCAACCCTCAGGTTAACTCGTGGGTTGACAACCTTGCCATATCTGTTTGTAAGTCTGCAAAGAAGACAGAGGCCCATCCAAAGCTCAGTAGCTTCTATCTGACTAGGCATTAACTAGCTCAATTGTCTTTGGGCTTAAAATATAAAAGGGCCCCTGGAGGCCCAATTATCCCAACTCCAACCATTTCTGTTTTTTTTTTTTTTTTTACAAAAGATAATCATATGAAAAACAAGGATCATACTCCGACCATTCTGTTCAGACTCCTCATTAGCAAGAATTAAAATATCGTACAGTACCATTGGTTCAATTTGAAAAACCTCCTACAGGAAGCAAAACCGGTAAACAGTATTAGTGGTATAATACAGCTGAACCATGGTTAAACAGCATAAAATACTCTATCGCTGACTTTTCCGATAGGATCTCCAGTACGGTATTTCAATCCTTGCGCATTAGGTACGTACAACTGAGCTGACCCTTTGCTAATAATCCTGAAATATTTTCCATCTCAAGTGGAGGTGGTCTGATTTTCCTCATAGCGCAGCAGACAACAGTAACTTGCTACTCTATATCTAGGTCTTGTTGTCTTTAAAGAGACGACTGTCTGGTTTCTTTCAAGGTTTTTGTAACTGTCTCTATAACCTTTCAGACCTACTCTAGTCTCTGCTGGTACTTAAACACCTGAATATGTCCTGGTTGCTGATAGGGGAACTGCAGATTGTAGCTCTAGATGGTAATGTCTTCTCCGATTCGGAGCCAAGAAGGTGATTTGAGGGAGATTTCAAATGTTAGTAGGCATGGTTCGTCGAATGTAGCATTCAGGCAATACATCTATGTATCTGCCTGCGGTCTGTTGACATCAAGGTTTCCGAAATTCGGATCACCAGTTTACCCCATTCTAGTCGCGTAAAGGGCGTTCCAACCTTCTGTTTACTCGTTGCAGTTGCCATACAAAGTGTTAGGACGATCAATCAGATCATCATCACAATTGGTGCTTAAGCAGAAACTTAAATGTTCTTAAACCCTACGAATCCCTCTTGCAAAACAAGATTCGTATTATTGATTTAAATCCACTGCATCCCTGATAAGCATTAAGCATCTAACATTACTATCAATGGTGCATCAAACCTACCATAAGCTTCTCCCTACTACATTCATCTAGCACAAAAATAAGAAAAATCAAACTAATGCACAAACGTGGTGGCTCTGAGTACACAGAGCAAAGTTTGATTCGGAGCTTTTACCACGACAACCCAGATCATAGAGTAACTAATGTATCCTTCTCCGTTGAATACATGAAGGTAGAACTGCTCAGATGCATAAAGTTAAAGTAGATAATAGGTGCTGCCTCACCGCACATCTATGCCTGCTTAAGAGTTGTTGCTGATCTTGCCTTCAGATTTAGAAAGATTGCCCTGAAAAGCCAAAGTGATAGAGCAAAGCCAACTCAATTTCAGACGTGGTTTTTACTTAAGAACATCTCACATATACTAAGTTTCATCGAAATTACAGTGATCTACATACAGAGTTAACCAGGTGCAAAAGCAAGAAATTAGAAGTGAAGGAATCATACCAGAGCGCACCCATGAAGCTACCATACACAACCCGGAACTGCAATGGGATATACTGATGATTCACCCAACTAACTATAGGCCAGAACTGCAAATCCACATGGTTCAAGTATTAGTATGTGAACATTTGATCGAACCAGAGTGTTTGTTGGGTTGGTCTCAACTCTCAACACGAATGCGCAGATGAACACACATCAAACTGTCAGACAGATACAATGCAGCTGAAGAATTTGGTTTGCACTGCACACAGGCTCTTACCTTCCAGGCAGCAAACTGAACAGAAGGTAAATCCTTCCGGACTTTACCCTTCACTGAACGCCATGGTTGTCCTGCAAAAATAATGCTAACTGCTGTAAGTAATCAAAGCTTTAATTGATGACCTTAAGTTAGATGTTGGTATAGTATACTAGATTGACTGAACTGTGCATTCATTGACCAGTACTGACATGGGAGTTCCTCAATCCTTGAACAATCGTCCTATAATTATGCTTTAACTATCAATTACTGTACAATGAACATACTGACTACCACTTGAGATGCAAAAAAATTCTTTCTAGTTTTCCAGCATACTAACTTCAGCTAAGGCAACGAGGAGAAGCAACGTTACACTAGCTAAGAATGTTAACATGGCAGCAACGGACCAGCAAACTAGCAGCTTGAAACCAATTATTAAAAAGCAGATGGTGCCAACTGCTTGTCTGTTGCAGAACGTAGTGCTAACTGCTATAAATTGAGATGTGGCTTAGTTAGTGATTTGAACATGCGTACCTTCCATTACCAAGCCATAGTACAGCATAAAAACCATGTTGTTCCATGGAGAAACAATCAATTGTTCAAGGAGCACCTAATCATAGAGAAACAAAATTACAAAACTAAGACAACAGTAGAACAAATGGGTTGCACTCTGCACACATAGCGCTGTAAACATTTCCATACCTTCTTGGCTACGGTTTTGTTATCCTTCTTCCCCCTGAAAAGAGTATCCAATAACTTGTGCAAAAAGTGTGCCAACGGCCCTGCATAACCAAACCCATAAAGCTGCAATCCAGAAGGGAAAGAGTAAAAACATGGTCAACGATCAATCAGATCCATGCCCAGTTGAGGACATGGCATGGCAAAATCAACCCACAAAGAAAAAAAGTCAACTTCGTTTTCCTTACCATGAATAGAACCAATTTCCGGAGTTGAATCTTGGATCCAGAAATTTTCTGAGCGACCAAACTACTGGTTCCAGCCAAGACCCCGGAAGTTATTGCCTGGTAAATGTCAAAACAAAAAAAACCCCACAAAGCATGAAATGTTTGTAGACTTTGGAGCCCACAAAAAATAGTAGAAAGATGGGCAGAAAGAGTATTACGAGACCTTGGTTCGGAGAGGATGGGCTTGGAGCTGAATCAGATACTTCCGCCATGCCTCTTTGCCAACTTCCGACATTCTTTGACAGACTGCCTTCTTCTCTCACCGTCGCCGAGAAAAATTGATTGCCGGAAATGGGTTTTCTCTGGAGAGATTTGAATTGGGCGAGACTGTCGAAAGTGGGAGCGTTGAATCGATCACACAGGTGAGATGGTGTTAGGTAGCGATCATAAAGTTTGGCCGATGCGCCAAATAAATACCCAAATCAAAATGATAGCTCTCCCGCTAGTCGCTACTGACTACGACCGCGACGACTAAGACTGGAATCTTAATAACAATTTAACTCATTTTCATTATTGGGATGACTTTCCTCGAAAATAGATCTTTCATATTTTTATCACAGAAATTTCCTTCGTGTTATGATTGACCTGCGCTGTTGGAGAAGTTTACACGTGATTTCTGCAGAATCAAAATTATATCTCGCTGTTGGAGAAGTTTACACTTGATTTAGCTCTATTTTTTTCTACGACAAAAAAAAATATCGGATCGATTTTTTTTACAGATTATGAATTAAAAGTTAGACACTTCAGAAATTTGGGGAAGATACTACTCAGTAATATATATAATCTTTGGTGTCAAAGTGTGAGTTTCTTATAGTTAAAAAAGAGATGTACAATATTCAAAACATACAAAAAATAGTAAATATTGCAAAGACAAATCTAGTAGGACATTTGACATTGTTTTGCTTCATCATAGTTTGCAACAAAACCTCATTTCATATCAACAAGATGATTTATGTTCGCTCTTCTTGTTTATCACGTTGGTTGGCTGGTAAAAGAATCGAGAAGTGGAACAATGTCTTACTCGACTTCAAGTTCCGCCCCCTCCCCGAACAATACGTGAAGATGTTTTTTTTTTGTGCCCAAGACAAGGCAAGAACATTGACAATGAGTCAATTGGTCCTTTAACTAGGAATACAACTCTATATCTGAATGGAATGATGAACTAAACAAGGGCAGTCGAGCTACCTCATTGCTCTCGGGGCGGTTTGATTGGGGTTCTTTTTTCCCGTCCATTAGAATATCTTGTCGTCAACACCACTTTCTGGCTATTCAGTTATAGAAAGTTAAAGCTATAGAGCTTTATTTTGATTCACCCTTCTTTCGTTTTTTGGTAATTCATCGAAAGCATCCATATCCAGTGCTCAGGCAGGTTTCGAGTGTCGGTTATGTGGCCTGATTGAAACCACCAAACACATTCTCTATGAAAGTTGTTAAGACAAGTATAATTTTTTTTTTTTTTTTTTGTAGGAAGACAAGTAGGAATTAGAGAAAGAGTCATAGAAAAAGCTGCTTCGATATCGATTCAGATATATTATGCGCATATTGGATACACTATATGTTCAAAGTGTACTCTTGGAAAGGTTTATGCCTTTATGGTATCTATACAAAGAAAGAATTGATAACAACTTCAAACAACAACAAAAATGGAGGATTATGAGATTGTTGAACAAGCTAGCTGTTGATTCCGCGCTGGCCGCCTAGCCATAGGATGTGACCTCATTGAGGAATCCACAAATTTGAACATGACTGTCGACTGATGAAGGCCGCCAGCCATAGGGTGTGACCTCACAGAGGAATCCACAAATTTTGAACATGAATGATGAAGGTGTTGACGAGTTCAATGTACAGATTCTGACCATTTAGATATTCCACAATACAAACAATCATACAAAATTGCAATCGTACACTAGTCTCATGATCAAGCAACCATCTCTAACAACACGGCGCCTACGAGTCTCCATTTCCAGAAATCTTTCTAAACACAATCTGAGCTCCATACCGAGGCTGCAAGCTGATCAAAACCATAGGGGCATGAACATAAGTTGGGGACAATACGAAAGAGTAGCTCCTGATGATGGTAGCCAACACTATCTTGGCTTCAACGACGGCCAAATTCTGACCCACACAGTTCCTGGGACCGATTCCAAAGGGGAAGAACGAAGCCATATGCTTTCGAGGCTCCTCGAACCGTGAAGGATTGAACTCATGAGCATCTCCACCCCATATTTCAGAGTCGTAGTGAATGGCTATCACAGGGACGTAGAGTTGTGTTCCTGCAGGAACTTCCAGGCTGCCCAGCTTCACTCTCTTGGTGGCCTCCCTCATTATCATCACTGCTGGAGGGTACATTCTTAGAGTTTCGTTGATTATCAAACTCAACTGCAGACGATGGAAATGTATAGGAAGAGCATATTGTCATTACTTCTTCAAATGGCAATGTTAAGCACCAATCATATCACAAATTCACAATGGATCAGTACTGAGCTCATCATGTAGCGCGTTAAAATGGAACCGATATAATCGTTCAGACACTACATTCAACTGAATCCTGAGTCAGTTGTATATCTACTAGTTGAATGAGCTCTTTACTGATGGTATGTCCATACTGCAGTGATTCAAACAGTCATTCTTAAGAAGTGACTAGTGAGCTTTTTTGCCGCCAAGTTCAAAACTTTCATAGTCTAGACTTAATTTCAGATTTAGGGCAGTGGGACTTACAATCTTAAGCTCCCTCAGATTCTCTGCAACGAGAGGTTGGTCTCTTCTTCCACATACACGAATCAATTCCTCCCGAGCCTTCTCCTGCCATTCCTGATGATTCGCCAACAGGAGCAGAGCAAAAGTCAAGAGATTAGCAGTCGTTTCTTTCCCCGCAAAGTAAAACGTCTTGCATTCGTCTATCACATCGTCCTGATTCCTGTGCGAAGACGTCAGCAAAGTCAGCAGATTTCTGGAATCCCCCAATCCCCTGCCGTTCCCCCAAATCAAAACCCTAATTGAATCCCGAGTCTCCTTCTCCAATCTCCACCTCTCCCTGTTCTTCCTCGTGGGCAGGAACCTGAACCCTGGGACGTAGACGCTTCTCAGGGCGAGAGAGACGAGATCCAGTTGCTGATCCTGGAGGACGAAGATCCGTCTCCCTTCTTCGAAGCTGCTACCGAAGGCAGTTCTTGAGATGATATCGGCCGACAGGTTGTGGGCTTCTTTGTGGACGTCGATCTCGAACTCTTCCCTTTCTCCTCTTATGAATTCCCATTTCTCCAGCACTTTCCCGGCGCTGGACGCAATCTCCGGCACCCATTCCTGCCACCGGAACGACCAAATAAGGAACCAACTACGGCGAGCTAAAGTAAAGTGAGTAAAAAAAATTTCTTTTTCTTTTTCTTTTGGTACCTTAACTCTCTCCATGTTGAAGGCCTGGTTTGTGATCCGTCTATGAAGGGCCCATTTATCACCCGCGAGCCCAATAAGCCCCTCGCCGAACAGCAGCTTGGACAGCGGGTTCAACCGGACCTTCCCAAACGACCCGCCCGTGTTCAACAGCACCTCCTTGATCACTTCCGGGCTCGTCACGGCCAATCTGGGCCTGAGCCCAAACCAGTACAGAAAACTTTTCCCGTACGCGCGCGACCACTCGTGGTAGAATGGGGACACCCTGGCGACGACGTCGCGGTGGTGGAAGAATCCTGCTGCCGCCGCCGCCGCCGCCGGCGTTGACTTGGGCTTTGACCGAGCTGCTCGGGCAAAGAGGCTGCGGATCTCGGCCGAATTCCCGGCGATCGGACGGTAACCGGGGCCGTAAATTCCTTGGTTTTTGAAGTGGCGCTGGATCGCGAAGGGAACCCAGATGACGGAGTGGGCGAATTTCAGGAGGAAGCAAGTGGAGACGGCGAGAAGCGAGAGGAGGAGAAGGTGAAGAAAATCCATTGCTGCTGACTAAACGAATACGCAGTTGAAAATGTAGCTGGTGAGGGTGATAATTCGTGGGCATGGAGAGCAAGCTCGGGAGCAGAAAGGGGGATACGGAATTTGTTTTGTGGTTCTGGTCTCTCCGTACGAATGGAGTGGGTGGCTGCAGGGGAGGACAATTGGCCATGGAGAGTAAAGCTCGGGGAAGAGAAGTGGTAAAAAGGAATCTGTTGTGTCTCCTACTAAATGACAAGATCAGTTTTGTTGTAAACGGGAAAGTTAACAAATTGGAGATGAGCACCAATGGAAACACAACTTACCAAACAATTGGGAAAGAAGATGCCTCACATACACAGCATAAATCCAGCACATATATAACATAAAATTGAGATCATACCCCACATACACAAGTTGAGCCGAAACAAGGAGATGCCTCAAACGACTAGTTTGCTTTGCACTACCACCAATGGCAATGACCCACCACCGGAAGGTCCGCCGAACGTCACCAAATCGGGGGTGTTCAAATGATTACCAGGGTTTTAATCAGACTATTTAAGTCTGTATTCTATTAACCGTTGACTCCGCATATATGTATGGATAAGGATGCGCAATGTGTGGGTCAACCACTAAGCTCACTTAATTCACCAGATTGTAACCCATCCAATACGATATTTGGATGGATATGGTGGATGAGTGTGGATCATTGTTTTTTTTTTTGTGATAAATAAAATTTGTGTGGGTGGTGAGTGAGTCATTGAATCACAAAACCACATTGTATATTTTATCACTAATTTATATTTTATAATAATACACATATTATTCTATCTCCAAAATATAAACACACAATAATTATTTAACAACATGATAACTGTCCGTACAAATATTTTGTTCACAAATGAGATTATTGATGTTAAATTTGCAATTTATTATGCTTGATGATTATCCATTTTCTTGAATTTTTTAGTTTGTTTTTATATTTAATTGACTTGTTGTAAGCTTTTATTATCCAATTTTTCAACACACGTTTTTCTAGTTAGTTGTCGATTAGGCAAAGTTTTCACGTTGACTAGGACTTACCTTAAAGGGTTTTCACCTTAACCCACATTTTTCAACCGTCAATTAGGCAAGTCTCTCCTTTCGCTAGGACTTACGTTAAAGCTTTTTGATCCTTCTCCCACTTTTATAGAGTAATTAGTTATATGTATCATTCGCAGTTACTTTGCTTAATATGAACTAACCATGGTAGTAAATGACAAATCATGAAGTAGGACAAGGTTTTCATGGATGCATCTATGTGGTTTTATGCATGCATTAGCATGGTGAGTACCTTGATAGACGTTTAATTATATTTGTCGAGTGATTAAGATTGTCTTTCAACTAAATTTCGAGTATGTTGGCTGACAATTTTTTTTACAGCATAGAGTAAGGATGATGAATGTTTTTTCCTATCGATTTTAATACTGCATTGTTTATAATATTTTAAAGATAGATTTTGATATATATATATATATATATATATATATGCATTATATTTCACGTAAAGATAAATAAATATTGGCTAAAGGTCATGATTATGTTTTATTATGATTTGTCAAACAAGTTTTGTTTGTTATGTATTTTTATTAAATTGAGCTCTAGTTCGCCAAATGGAAGTTTTTCTTCTACATCTTTGAAAGCCGTATCCTCGTATGTGGGTTTGTCTCAACTTGGATGAGTTTGTTTTCCTTTGTTCAGGTTACGTAACAGTCATACATAACGATGTCTCGTGACTTTCGCTTTGAACTTAGATTCCCATTCTACAACCCATGTCGATTTGAGGATAACTGTAGAAGGGTTCAGCTTACTTGTGATGCGAGCGGTATGCGAGATTGTGTGTGTTTGAGCCTGATATGTTACAGGCGGAAGCCGGGACACTCTCCGACGACATTTAATGTTGTGTCAATGCTGACGTTATGTTTGCAAGTTAAATGACTCGTCGGACAAGTAGGCTTTGCGAGGGCCAGCATTGCTGTTTGGGCCTTCTTTGTCGGGCTTTGCCGGCGATGTGGGCCTTAGGTCAAATAGGCTTGCGGCCTAGCCCAACGGTGTCCAGCTCAACTCTGTGCAACTGTTCCATAACACAAGTTTCGATGAGATGAAGGTAGGCAGACTCCAGCCAGAGGTGGAAGGTAAGGAGTTTAGCTTAAGAATCTTCAAATTGAGCCATTATGGCTTTTAATTCATCAAAAGGATTCGGTTTCTGGGGATCAACTGGCCTTGCCGTTGTTCAGAGTAAAGACAACAAGAACAAAGAAGATAATGGAATAGACTGGAATAAGGGAAGCAAAATTCCTAAAGTCGGGAGAGGAAACGGATATAGCGCCGACACCATAATCAGGTTATCATTTCGAGAAGATTAGAGGTAGAGAGAGAATAAACGATTGCAGAAATTGCTCATAGTGAGCTTCTTTCAGGAATTTGGTAGGAATGATCGAATTGAAGGCGTGAATTAATCACTCTACCTAATAGAGGCTTTTATTAGGCAAACCACCTCCCATGAGTCTCTTCAACCAAAATCTGATGCATCGACTTACATAGATTTATGTATTTATAAAATAGAAAAGAAGAACGAGAAGAAGAAGAAGAACTTTTTCCTGTGAAAAAGAATCATGACAGTCATTTGTTTATACTTGTGAAAACTGAAAGTTACTTTCATCTAATCGCTACTATCATCTAATCATTGCGGTACACCGTACACGTGTACTAAACAGTAAAAATCAATGCTAAGTTATAGACCATAAAACGCTGCGTCGCAAGCTCATGACGCAGCGGTGAATATTATTGGCATATGGCAGGAATTGGAAAGAAAAGGAAATTCCTTCATCAGACTCGGACGGCTCAATGAGATTATATAAATAATATATATGGTGGTACTAGGGCACATTGAAGAATCCAAACTAATAACAACAAAACAGAACCTATAATTTCAATGTACAGAGGGAAATCCCAATGACAACTAGGCAAAAATCACAATCTCCCTTCAATTAACTAATCAATCAAATAACATTTATGCTAGGGCGGAGAATCTTATATAGTACAATGCCCCCTTGTTGTTGTGAAGAAAACAATGTCAATTTGGGTTTGATCTGGACAAAGATTTGTCAGGTTCAATTGGGGCCAACACCAGTTTGTATTCCTGGAATAATACACAAAATTCAACATTATGTCCGTCTACTTAAAAAAGAATCATATACCAAATAAACCAAAGATGAGTAGGTAATTATTCCTCAAGTTTTCCCCTCGCCCATACATCTTTATTTTGTTACTTTCCCGAAAGATAATTTCATCAGGAAGACGAATGACAATGAGTTAGGTTGGGTTAGATATCTCGAGTTCTCGACATTATTGTTTTTATCTCGTGAAAATTAGGCTAGATGAATGGTGTAGCCAGACTTGAATTTGAGTGCGGTACCAGGCAAGTGATAGACGTGGGAGCCAAGGTGCAGATACATGATGAGTTTTTAGTATGTTGAGTGAGATCATTCACTTTGCGATCGTTAATTCGATTCACTATGCATCTAGACTTTTTCAGCTTATAAGTATTCTAAAGTGGGGTTCTGGGGACCCCAATCTTTAGCCTTCACTCCGTTGCTAGATCATATATGACATATGTCATCTCCGTGTTCTGGTTTGAACATGTCAACTCATTGAATGCGCATTAAAAAGAATTAACAAATCAATTCTTTTGTTAGAAAGTTAAGAAACAATCTTTGCTTGGACAGTATAATATGATGAATTAGGGGAGATTTTTCAGAAATCAAAACCTCTTAATTAACTTGAATAACTAATTTTTTTTTTATCAAAATTAGACAAACGGATCGAGAATAGAACGAATTAATATGAGACCAGATGATCGTCATAAGATTACTCGTATTAAGTATATGCACTACCCACTCGAAACAAACCAGAATAGGTCGAATCTGATCAAAAATTGTGATACCAATATTTTTTGGGTTGTTGCTAGGGATGGCAATGGGTCGGGTTGGGTCGGGTTTTGCCAAACCCAAACCCAAACCCATGGGTTTATCTTTGAAAAAAAACCGGGGTAAAACCCACCGGGTTTGAAAAACTCAAACCTAACCCAACCCGTTGGGTATCCGCGGGTTCATGGGTACCCACGGGTTTTGTTGTAAAAAATTTACAATTACAAGTTCTTATCAAAATTAAAGTCAAATATCAATCTCTCAATATAAATTATCCATATATAAAACACCATTCTAGAAAATTCAAGCAAATCACAAATTAACTATACAAATTGTTCAACACCAATCTAGAAAACTCATGAAAATTGAAGCAAATCACAAATTATCCATAAATAACATGTTTAATTGAAAGCTTCTTTCTTTCAATTAAGTTTCTTTAGTCTCCACTCCATAACATCAACTTCATTCTACACAATTAAAAAGAAAAAATTAGACATGACTCCACAAACATAAATAAGAATAGTTGTTTAGAATATTAAATATATCGAAAAAATTAATTATATGAGTGGGCGGGTACCCACGGGCCGGGTTTACCTAAACCCAAACCCAACCCAACCCGGTGAATAGTGAACGGGTTTAAACCCAAACCCGGCCCAAAACCTGTCAACACGAATTTTACCCGCGTTGACCGGGTTGGGTCGGGTGGGTACCCATGGGTTCAGGTTTTGTTGCCATCCCTAGTTGTTGCGGCAAACATTCCCTGGTTGTCAATTGTCATCGAATCGGGCCTCCGACGGCCAATGGTATACGCGTGGCCCGCCCGCCACCCGCTTTCCTTCCTACATATAAAAAAAAAAACTAAACTGAACTCCCAAAAGAAAATAAGAACTCCCAAAAAACAACCAATTCCCACCTTCCCTCTCCATACTCCATAGCCCATCGACTCGAGAAACCTCCAACGAGAATCAAAGCGACGAATTTGTGGTTCCCCGATCGCTGATTTGATTCTCCGGCGCTTCATTTTGGCGCCGGCTCGTATATGGCGGACGATGTCCCCTGCTGCGGAACTCAATTCTCGCTCTACGTCCTGGCGGTCATCGGATTGGTGATCTTCGCCGGTCTAATGGCCGGGCTCACTCTCGGCCTCATGTCGCTGGGCCTCGTCGACCTCGAAGTCCTCATCAAGTCCGGCCGCCCCCAGGATCGCATCCACGCCGGTAACGTTAATTAGCCTCTCTCTCTCCTTCCGATGTTCAGTTATACGGCATTAATTTGCTCGACGAACGAACGAATTCCTTAGTCTTGGCGAGCTACTTAAATCTGTTTCGTGGTTATGGATTCGTTGAGATAGAACTGGTTTCGGCGTACTGCTGCAATCAATTTGGACGAAGTTTTGATTGTGTTCGTGAGGGGATGAAATTGGGTTGAATTTGATTCTAGTATGCTCTATTGGCCTTTTTTTTTTTATACAATTCTCTTCCAATGGAGGTTGGGGCTTTGATTGATCGAGCTTGCATAAGCTTGTTGAGATTATAGACTGTGGGTGATGATGATGGATGAAAGAAGAAGGTGGCCTACTGAGCTGTTCATTTACAGTGATTTTGATTGTTCGAGGTGTCAGTTCATTGCATCTGGGCATTTAATTTTTTTTCTTGTCTTCTCTGTTTTAATCGAATGTTTTAAAGCGAGTTAACCCAACGAGTCAGGACCCTAACTCGTGAGTCTGTCTATTAGATTAGTTAACTAGTTGACAGTAGGGCAATCTTCTTCCCCCACTTCGGTCGATTTGGAGAATTTCAGTTTCTCCAAGTGAGGACATTTGGGGAATCAGATTCCTTCTTTGTTTTTGGGTAGAAATATTCCTTCCTTTTTAACTTTAACATCTAGTCCAAATTGATGCATCCGTGTGGTCTGTCTGGACTGGAGTATGTTATGAGACTTTACTGTTCTGAATTATATTGTTCATCGTTGCAGCCAAGATATTTCCAGTGGTAAAGAATCAACACCTTTTGTTGTGTACCCTTTTGATCGGCAATGCTCTTGCCATGGAGGTAAATGAATTTGTGGAATCCTTTTTGTGTTCCTTCATAATAATGTTTTCTCTCGAGAACTTAAAGAGGCTTATAGGAGTATCATGTGTTTCCATTTGTTCTTGTGGAATCCCAGGCTCTGCCTATATGCTTGGACAAGCTTGCACCTCCTTACATTGCGGTCTTGGTGTCAGTCACCCTTGTTTTGTTGTTTGGGGAGGTGTGTGTTTAGAAGCTCTCTCTTTGGCTTTATCCAGATTCATTTTGGTATCAACCGGACTTTTTGGTCCTTACGTGCTCCCTCCGATAACAGATATTGCCACAAGCAATCTGCACGCGTTATGGGTTGACAGTCGGAGCAACTATGGCTCCCCTTGTCCGTGGACTTGTTGTTCTCTTCTACCCTATTGCATATCCAATCAGTAAGGTATTATCAATCATGATTCTCTTAGTTATTTGTAAGTGATGTATTTTATGCATGCAAGTTGGCCTCTTTGATACAGATTTGTAGATTTAGTTATTTTGTATTTCCAATTTTCCATAAGTTATTCATTCCCCTTTCACAACACTGTTTTATGCGGCAGGTCTTGGATTGGATGTTGGGCAAGGGGCATGCAGCTCTATTGCGGAGAGCAGAACTGAAGACTTTTGTCAACTTTCATGCCAATGAGGTACTCGATTTGACTTAAAATCTTCCAAGTATTTTACTGAATGCATCAGAAGCAAAATGATTTTAAGTCCGGCATTTTACCTGTTCGGATTTGCTAATGGATCGTTTTCGATGTTATGCTGTCACATAGGCAGGGAAAGGTGGTGATTTGACACATGATGAGGCTACTATAATCACTGGAGCGCTTGATTTGACTGAAAAGACCGCTAAAGACGCCATGACTCCCATATCAAAGGCGTTTTCCCTTGATCTGGATGCAGTTCTTAATTTGTGGGTTTGTGGTTCTGGTTAACTCTTGCCATTGGTCATTTTGGTAGTGCCCTTCTTGTCTCCTAAATCTATTCCTTCTGCACATTTTTAGGGAGACATTGAATGCAATCATGACAATGGGTCATAGCAGAGTCCCAGTTTATTCGGGAAGTCCATCAAATATAATTGGACTCATCCTGGTATTTGTTTTTCTTTTTCTAAGAACTTATTCTGACGCCATTTTTTCTCCTGTTTTATGTTAATCTTCCTTTATACACCCTGTAACATGCAAGGAATCGGATAAATCCTTCACCTTTTAGCTCTTACTTTCTATTATATGATCTACAGGTGAAAAATCTCTTGACAGTTGATTCCAGAGATTCAGTCCCAGTGAGAAAGATGACCATAAGGAAAATAACTAGGTATGATCTCCCTTTCATTTTTGTATGTTGCTAAAAGATACCAAGCGTAAGTGTTTCCATTTTACTTATCTGCTCCTTCTGCAGGGTTTCTGAAGACATACCTCTATATGATATTCTAAATGAGTTCCAGAAGGGTCATAGCCACATTGCTGTTGTTTATAAAGATTTGAATTCAAACAAAAGTGATAGCGAAGAACTCGACTTTAAAGAGAGCTGCAAGAAGAGCAATAAATCTGAGACATCGCATACAAAAGGTTCGGACATGAAAAACAAATTCTCGTATAATATATAAAGGCATAGTGTTTTCTTAAGTTGTGGTATCTTCTAGTATTTTGTTACTCTATCCCTTAGTTGTGTGTATGTGAATCTTAATAAGTCTGTTTTTGATTGCCAGATGACAATATTATTGGCCCCTCCATTACTACTGAAAACCCGACCGTTGATACAACTCAATCGAACAAGAAGAATTTGCCTCCGGTGATCCCTGCCTTCAAGAAGCATCATAGAGGATGTTCATATTGCATATTGGATATTGAAAATGGTCCTATCCCGGAATTCTCATCTAATGAAGAAGTGGTTGGTGTGATCACAATGGAGGATGTAATTGAAGAGCTCCTGCAGGTAAAATTATCTTAACTCTTAGGAGCTCTCAATACATTCTTAGAGGATACATGGAATAGAAGACGCATGACAACTTGTGTTTAATCTTACCATTCTTTCTCGAAGACTAATCTTGTGGAATGCATTCTATGATTTTACTTTTTAGGAAGAGATATTGGATGAAACAGATGAATACGTCAACCTCCATAACAGGTAAGTGAAATCTTCTAGTAAAAAAATGGTAATAAATATTGAAAATCACTAGAAGATTTCTAAGAATGAGACTAGTAGCATAACAATGGGTGTATCTTCTGAAAATATTGCAGGATCAAAATCAACATGAATGCATCTCCCTTGCATCGAGAGACTTCCGGAGAGAACCCCACGTCTGTCACCGATGCCGGAACTCCATCGACGTCCATGTTGTCGACCGGACCATCACTGACGGTCTCTTTCTCGACGGGCAGTTCCTCGGGGACCTCGCCTGCTGCAACGAATAACCATCAAGCTCATGATGAGAAAGTGTCGAACAATCAAGGAGGGGTATAGTTAGTACCCGTCCTGTCGTTTTGAGGTCAGATCTCTATACATGGATCCTGTAAACTAAAGTCACAAGCAAGACAATAATCGCACCAGCGGAAGCACAAAATGTAAAATCTTTAGGTGCTTAATATGCTGTCTTTTCTATAGGAATTTATACTGGCAACGTTGATTTGTATGATAAATAGGGTAGCCTATGGAAGAAACGAGCTACATATGCTAAGGAGGAAGCTCAGGCGTACGTATATTCACGAATTAGAAATGTATTGTAGTAATTTTTTGGTGTCGCTTTTTTGATCTTTTGCTCACTTAGGCGTTACTTGTATGTATCGAGCATGAGTTCGTATACTTTGGTTTTTCTCAATTTAATCAAGTTCAGGTCATTGTAACATGGTTTAAAAGGCTGTGCTTACTCTTAAATTTAGACATGCGTAGATGTAAGGTAACATCAAAATGTCTCGTTCAGAGATTCGTATTGCTTTGGTTTTTCGCAACTTAATCAAGTTAAGGTTGGTGTAACATCGTTTATAACGGAGTACTTATTCTTGCGTTTAGATGTGCCTAAATGTTAGCCAACATCAAAACGCCTCATTTAAAGATTCATATTGCTTTGCGTTTTTTCTCAATCTAATCAAGTTCAGGTCATTGTAAGATGGTTTAAAAGTGTGTTTTTCATCTTATGTTTAGATGTGCCTAGTCGTTAGGCAACATCAAAACGTCTCCTCTAGAGATTTCAAGGGGAGTAAGGTATCGAGAACACGACACATAAGCGAAGCTACGTGTCGACCGGATGTAATTAGGTGGAATTTGGAAGCCGATATGAAATGAGAAATTAACATCATGTACAAGCTCAATCTGCTCTCAATTTTTTCAATAGTTTAAGAACTTTGAGAGCTATGAAGCTATTATTAGATGAACTTGTAAGTTATTTTCCGTGTTTTCCATTTGCTCTGAAACGGAAAAATGTCTTAAATCGCTATTTCATTCATCATGCATTACAAACTGTCATTTCTAGTTCTTGTGCCAAGATACGCGTAGGCGTAGCCTACACCTAAACAACCTAGGCACTAAGTAACACCACAACACCGACCTTACACACCTAACATCTTCTTCAACCTTCACATTTGTATACCTATTATAATGAGTTTTACCGCTAGCGTTTCCTAAAATAACCGGCAGGGATATCGCCGACCAGCAGCGGCTGTGCTCGAGCTTAGTTTCTAATTATCAGAGCTTGGTCAAGGAGACGGTCAGATTGATGTAGTTCGTTTTTTCTCTGGCCATCCGATCAGAGAGAACAACACCAAACCTCCTGAAAATCTCGACGACGACTCCAGACGGCGGACCCAATTGACGGACGAACAACGGCTCCAGCACAGCTCTCATCCCTTTCGCCACATTGCAGCCACGATCCTGTAGGGCCTCCGGCAGGTTTGGTTCCCCGTCGTAAGCATTCCAGCTCGACTCCCAAACCTTCAACCGATCAATCACGAAGCAGCCGTTCTCACGGACTTGATCCTTCACTTCCGTGGGGGACGGCATGTAAACCGGAATGTTGAAGGAATCCCATTTCTCCTGATCGATCCGCCCCTCGGATGCCATTTGATTGAGGACAATGGAGATGAGCTCCCAAAAGTAGCAGCACTCTCTGCTCGATGGGTCCTCGCTTCGCCTCCCGAGCAATGTCAGAACCATACGCCCGCCTTGCACCAGTTCCTGTCCCCTGCACCTCAGGAACGACGAGAAGTCGCTCCGAAACTGCGCGGTGTACGCCTTCAGGACGCTCGGCGGGCTGTTTCCCGCCATGAAAATGTTTCCCCTGTTTTGGTTCAGCCCTTCAGGAACCTGAGACAGCCAGTGCAGGCTGTAGGAGGAGTGGATGAAGTGCAGGCTTTCCGCGGCGAAAAGCCTGCCGTAGAATGACCCTGGAACCCCGTTGAAGAACACCAGTGATTCGGAATTAGAAGAATTGTGCAGTGACTTGAAAACCTGGTTGAAATCGTTGCCAGGGAGGTCGTTGAGGAAAACCTGAAACTCAGGGGATTTCCTGCCGAGCTCTCTGCTGACCCTTTCGGCGGCTTTGACGATTGCTGACACGGGTAGAAGTGAGTTGGGTCCTGAAGCGCAGCCTAGATCGGCAATGGCCAAGCTTCTTATGGGGAACTTCCAGCTGCTTATCAGTCCTGCAATGGCTTCCTCTGTTATGGGTTGAGTCCTTGACAAGACCTTCCGCTGCAAAAATGTAAGGAGAAGAAGAAGACACTCAGAAAATCTGAATTGGAATTTGAATGGATGTAATGTAATGTAATGTAATGTGAATTTACCTGAAGCAAGGAGTTGTGAGCATAGCTAGTCTCTTCTTCCATCCCGGAGTTCATATGAAGCACTTGTTCCACCTTCATCTCTGGTTTTTTCTCTGTAAACTTGGAGCTCTACCTTTTGATGGGTATTAGCGGAAGTAGCGGTAATTTAGGATCAATACAAAGAAAACATTTGGTGTTTAATCACTCAATTTAGAAAAACACATAATCAAACAATGCCTTATACTTTTGGCCATTGTTTTACATACACTCACACGCAGAAGCTTTGCTTCTTTCCTTTTTAGTTTTGTTTACAAACTTTCTCACACACCACTCCCATTCCATACGTCCAATACATATATATAATTCAAATTGAAGACTTTCACTAGCCACTAGTGGATCCCTCCATGATAATGCAGCATTTATCTCCATGTGATGTGTTTGTCTATCATAATTCATAAACATCATTTAGTTTATGCATTATTATTTTGTCTTCACATATTTATTGTATTGTAGATAAGTGATAGTTGTTTTGAAAACTAGTTCCAATTCCAACTGCCAAAGTAATGAACTTGTTATTAGAGGTGGCATTTAGGATCCAAATCCATGAATCCAATCCAATCCATCCACCAAATTATCCACTTAGGGGTCGTTTGCTTCAAGGATTTGGATGTGGGATTTGGTTCTCAAATCCCACACATGAAGGATATGTCCAAAAGCCATTGTTTGTTTAGCCAAAATGGAGGGTACCAAATCCGTGGGCCCCACGGATTTGTAAATCCCACCTCATACCCTGGGATTTGGAGACAAGGTGAAAAACCATCAAATTCATGATAAAAATAGCTCAACAAACAAAAGATTTCCTCAAATCCATAATGCCCAAAATCCCTAATAAATCCCAAGGTTTTTAATTAGCAAATCCATGACAAAACCCTCGTTATAAAATCCTTGAAGCAAACGACCCCTTAATCCAATCCATTTAAATCCAATCCATTTGATCCAAATCCAATTGGATTGGTGGATTCATGGATCAATCCATTTTGGTACCTATATTTTTTATATTTTACATTTTTGGTACCTAAAATTTATATTTTTATACGAAAAATATCACTGGAAAATTACATTTTGGTACCTAAAAATTTTCATTATAACATTTTTGTACCAAAACTTTTCAAATTTTACATTTTGGTCCAAGCCTTGGATGTTATTTGGATTTATAGATCAATCCATTGGATCCAATCCATTTAATCTATGGATCCACCAATCCAATCCATGAATCCACGAATCCGATCCAATTGCCACCTCTACTTGTTATGATTGTGGTGGGCTTTGATGGTAATAATTGCAAATTACCATTTGACACCTTTTCTTGCGCTGGAGTGTATTGGCTCTGGGATCAATTTATGCAGAAGGAAAAGGAACCGTTGAATTTGCTGCTACCATAAATGGGCAGACTGAAAATGAATATGGGTTGTAGGCTGGCCCAGAAACTGCAGCCTGACGCCTGGCGTTTAGGGTTTGTAACACATTTTTTTTTCATTCTTGTTCTTACTAACCTACTTTTTCCTTATCTACATCCCTCCTCGTTTTGTCATTGTCATACTCCATCAATGAAGATGAGAAGAGTGAAGAAGAAGAAGATGACATAGACAGCTCCAGTTGCAGCACCAGGGAAAGAAATACAGAGTGACAAATGAAGAAGAAAAGGGTAGACGAAGCAGGATCGAACTCTGACCAATTCGCCACCGTTGCGAAGAAGGAAAAAGGAGGAAATAAAGTGGCGTGACAATTAGCTGCACAAATTAGTTTAGTTTATTGTTAGTCAATAACTGCGACACTTGTCACATAGATAATAGACAAGACCGTTAGTGACCGTTTTGTCCTGTAACTTCAATTTTTCCTGTATATACTCTTACAACTAGCTCAGCTGCCAGTGATTGCTAAGGAAAAAATTTGACCACCAAACATTGTATTTTCCTTCTATTATTCTCACACCTTGTGATATGACCTTGGGGTGTATAATATCAAAGTCACGCAGCTAACGACTCAATCGAAGGATCGATTGAGCTTGAATAAAAAATGAAACGTTCTTAATACGAACTGGGATAAAACGGAACCCAAAGTGCAATTCCACACCTGGGGAAAGGCTCGATTGGTGTAATGATAGATGCCCGACCATGATTGAAGTGAGTATTCAATCGATACAGAGCTCAACGAGCTTGGAATCCACCAAACCTCACACAAGTGCGCAAACTTGCAAAAACCCAAAGGTTTCAATTTAATTCATAAAAGTTTGAATTTTACAACGAAAAAGAACGGTATTTAAAGGCAAATAAAACCTAATACAATCATTATAGAACTAGGAAACAATTAAGGTAAAAGACTGCACTTAATAGGACACAAAACAATCCAAAAACAGTTTTCGTACTAACTTCGCACCTTTTGTTCGAGGCATTCCAGAACTCCAATCTTTCATCAAATTCCTTCCCTTGGTATATAAACATACCTATTTTCATTTTGTAGAAGCCTTTTGACTTGAGTTAGATCCATGCTCCGCAAATTGAGCTCCAAAGTAGGCTTCATGAACATAGATTTATACTTGACAATTTCCTCGCAGTTTTCCAGTTTTGAGGTAGCAAATTTGAGGCCTTGGAAAACAACCTGAATGACATCTTCTGGATCCAAAATGTATACCATTGGAAATATGGCAACTTTATCTTCAAAACAAGACATTGATCTCCAATTTTCATTGAGCCATTTGTGAGATACATGCTTCCAAAGTAGGTACCCTGAACACGGATTTTGACTTGGCCAAATCCTGCTCTCCTTCCCAACTTCGATAGCTTCTTCGTCAAGTAATTTAAGCGTGTATAGTTGACCATTCGGAATCATATCACCTTGAAGAAAGGGTAACATTGTTATGTATGTTGTATGCAGCATAATTGGTGTTATTTTTCAGAGTTTTTGAGTAGGGTTGATTTCGATTTGATTCGAGGATATATTTGATTTGTGCATTCATCTTGTATGATATTACCCACCCATAGAGGAAAATGAGGTGATTTGAGTGGGTATCAATCCATGGCTTAATTTGTGTTTTCATTCTTAAGTAATTTAATGTTTCATATATTTTCCACATTTTATTTCACAAACGATATTTTATCAGGTTGATACAATATATTAAACCACTATTTAAATATTTGATATCATTTCAAATTTAAGGGGAGCTATAGCCCCTCCTACCTTCAACCTAACTCATCCACTGCTATGTTGTTTTACATATCTGTCAACCAGACGACGACTTCACCTGGATACGTGCATAGATGCTAGAGGTGGCAAATGGATTGATCCATGGATTGGTGGATTGGATTGATGGATTGATGGATCAAATGGATTGGATCTAATGGATTGATGGATTGGATCAAGTAGATTGGTGGATTATCCATGAATCCAAATGACATCCTCAACCAAGAACCAATTTGCAAAATGTGAAAAGTTTAGGTACTAAAATGTCATAATGAAAAATTTAGGTACCAAAACGTAATTTTCCAATGATATTTTCCGTATAAAAAATTAAATTTTGGGTACCAAAATGTAAAATATAAAAATTATAGGTACCAACCCATAATTTGCCAATCCAGTTGGATTTGGATCAAATGGATTGGATTTAATTGGATTGGATTAGGTGGATATTTTTAATGGGTTGGTGGATTGGATTGAGAATTGCCACCTCTAATAGATGCACAATGACAAATGTCAAGATGATAATAGTACAGTGCTTTCTTAGAAAATTGATGGATCGACCATATTGTCGAACTATTGTACCCTAGTCGGGGCCATATTCCATATATGTTATATTCCCCTATGTCTTCATCCACGATAAAAGTTCCAGACACAAGCCCACAAAGACTTGCGAGTTTTGGCGTTGCCCTTTTGTGTGGCTTTCTAGCTGGTTTCAGGTGTACTATTATGTAACAACCGGAACTGCATCCCTTTGTGTGGTTTGAATGAATCATCCCTTTATCCTCGTACAAACGTCATCATCATTGATTGTTGTAATTTTCTCACCATGTGGATTGTACTCGCCTTTCAAGTAAATACATAAGCTTAACATCCATCATCCATGTTAAGCTTATGCATTTACTTTAATGAAAGTCTCGGTGTATGTCTAGCTCGAATACCGCAAAATTCTACAATATTGTTAATATTCAGGCTCATGTACGGACATGGAATCAATGTCATCACTCTCATCACTAGGTTTGGATTTCTAGTATATTTTTTTTTCGCGGGTTCCACCATTCGCAATCCCAGAGGAGGGAGCTTGTTATTCGATTAGGACGAGGAGCCCAGAGCAGGGACAAAGACAGGGAGCTTGAAATCTCATTCATGTTCCATAGATCTTGCCACGAGGTGCTTGTTGTTCGGTCGAGAAGAGAAGATCGGGATGGCAAAAGTGGCCAAAGGAAAGCAGCAACGACGGGTGCGAGAGAGGGTCGTCAGCGCTGGAGAAAGACGATAAGAATGGTCAATAATGTCTTTTTTTATTTTTCATCAATTAATTGTTTATTTATTATTAATTTTTAATTGTCATGTCAGGCATTTAACGGTCAACTATTAGAGTGGACTGTCACATCATATAAAGTTAACGGAAAGTAACTAAACGTGAACCGTTTTACTAATTCAAATGATCAAAATTGATATTAATTTTTTCCAGTGATTAAACATGATACATTTTAATACACCTAGCGATAATCTTAGCATTTACCCCAAATTTTAAGTGAAAACCTTATTCAAACCATAAGGAAAAGAGGATGAAAACGGGTCCAACTAAAAAACAGAAGAGTAAAAGCCTATACCTCATATTGCACTTCAGCTACTTGGGCTTTAGCTATTGATCCGGCCTATTGGGCTAATAAGGCTCTAATTAAGGCCTAAAACTACAGAGACACGTTGAACAAAAGCCCATGGGTTTTGCAAAATAACGAAATGGCCCACCGGCTGTGCAAAGTGCAAACTACCTCTGGCGCCAGTCACTACCGCCGCCGCTGCCGCCGTCTTCGTATGCTTCTTCTTCTTCCTCCTCCCTCTTCCCGTCGCAAACTCTCGTCTTCAACAAACGTATCCCATGATCGCGCCATTCCCAATTTTCCATCTCACCGGCGCCTGGTCATTCGGGCTCTGCTCATTATCCGATATATAAAATAATCTTATCAAAGTTTTTCCCGCCATGTCTTTCTCTTCAACTCCAGCTCGACTAACGCTGCTCGCTCTCCTGTCCGCCACCACCGTGTACTGCTTCTACAGGTCTCGCCGTCTCAAGCTACTCAAGCTCTCCACAAACCCTAACCCTAATCCCCGTTCCAATGGCGAACCTGCGGTTTCCATCAAGAGAGGGAAGCTCTTCTTCGTCTCCCAAACCGGGACTTCCAAAACCCTAGCTCGCCAGCTCCACGATCTCTTGAACTCGAACGGGCTCTCGTTCGAGCTCGTCGACGTGAAAAGCTACGAGCCGGAGGATCTAGCTAAGGAGAGTCTGGTTCTGATTATTGCTTCCACTTGGGAAGACGGGAAGCCGCCGGCGGGTGCCGAATTCTTTGCTAATTGGCTCGCGGAGAGCGCCGATGATTTCAGAGTCGGGTCGCTGCTGCTTTCGAAATGCAGATTCGCGGTGTTTGGTGTTGGAAGCAGAGGTTATGGAGATTCCTTCAATGCGGTGGCTAGAGATTTTAGCAGACGGTTGAGAGGATTAGGTGGGAATGAGATTTTGCCGGTTGGGGAAGGTGATGTTGATGGCGGGGAGCTGGATGGTGTTTTTGAGGAATGGAGCAGGGAGATTGTTAAGGCATTGAAGGTGAGTGGGTTGGAGAATGGGATCAGTGTTGAACAGAGCTTGAATGTTGGTACTGGGGATGAATTCTACAGTGACGAAGATGATGATAATGAGGATGACATGGAATCGGTGGTCGTTGATTTAGAGGATATAGCAGGGAAAGCCCCATTTAGGAAATTAGGTGGTGCAACTGCTGAAACTAATGGGAAACTGAGTAATGGTCCTAAAGAAATGGTGACTCCTGTGATTAGAGCAAACTTGGAAAAACAGGTGAGATTTCTTTGAAAAGATTGCTTTTTTAACCTTGATTTAGCAGCTGTGAATGCTTTTGCTATCTAGCTTCCTGGTTTCAGCTAGCTTTTTCCATTTGCAGGGTTACAAAATCCTTGGCTCGCATAGTGGTGTTAAGATCTGTAGATGGACTAAATCTCAGCTTAGAGGTCGTGGAGGTTGCTACAAGCATTCCTTCTATGGGATAGAGAGTCATAGGTATTGTGCATTTGCTAGTTGCAGTTTGAATTCCTTGTACTTGCGTCGGGATTATTGTTTCTAATTATTTTTATCTCTTCTTGATTCTCATTCTCGTCTTTAGAATGTATGGTTCTCTGCATTTGTTCTAAATTTTGCATTGAATAGGTGTATGGAGGCCACTCCAAGTTTGGCTTGTGCCAACAAGTGTGTTTTCTGTTGGAGGCACCACACAAATCCCGTAGGAAAGAGCTGGCAGTGGAAAATGGACGATGCCTTGGAAATTGTTAATTCTGCCTTAGATCAGCATAAAAAGATGATCAAGCAAATGAAAGGAGTCCCTGGTCGGTGTGATATTGAAAAACAAAGTAGCACATTTTTCACCGTGGAAATTCTGTACTTTTTATTCATCTCCTGATTATTATCCTTGCAGGTGTTACCCAGGAACGATTAGCTGAAGGTCTCTCCCCTAGACATTGTGCTTTATCACTAGTTGGGGAACCTATAATGTACCCGGAGATTAATACACTTGTTGATGAACTACATACTAGGAGAATATCAACTTTCCTAGTTACAAATGCCCAGTTCCCAGACAAAATAAAAATGCTCAAACCTATCACTCAGGTTTGATAACTTAATAGTTAGTTCCTATCATGTAATGTATTCAATCTTGTCTTGAAACTGAGAACTAACTTGATTGATAATGTGTGCAGTTATATGTAAGTGTAGATGCTGCAACAAAGGAAAGTCTGAAAGCAGTTGATAGACCACTCTTTGGAGACTTCTGGGAGCGGTTCACAGTATGTACTTGACTATTGCCAACTCTGCATCACTTTAAGATGATTGATCTGTTATAGCACTGTTCCATTGCGGATTAGCTTCTGGGAGCGGTTCACAATCTGACTCATTTTTGGAAAACTACTGCTAGGATTCATTGACAGCTCTGAGGGATAAACATCAACGAACTGTGTACCGTTTGACACTTGTCAAAGGGTGGAACACAGAGGAGTTAGATGCTTATTTTGAGCTATTCAGCCTCGGGCAGCCTGATTTTGTCGAAATCAAAGGAGTCACTTACTGTGGATCGTAAGTTAATTCTTCCCGGACACACAGTTTCAATCATACCAACACTTGTATCTGATAATTCTCCATCACCACTGACCAGGTCAGCAACATCAAAATTGACGATGGAGAATGTACCGTGGCATGCTGATGTGAAGGCCTTCTCAGAGGCAATAGCGCTGAAGAGCAAAGGGGAGTATGAAGTTGCTTGTGAGCACGCCCACTCATGCTGTGTCCTGCTGGCGAAAACTGACAAGTTCAAAGTGAATGGCCAGTGGTTTACCTGGATAGACTATGAGAAGTTCCACGATCTGGTTAGCAATAGTAAACTGTTAATAGTTCCAAGTTACCCCCAGCATAAGCGGCTTGACCTAAGAGGATAAAGAACTAAAGGGCATCCCTTTTCCTCCCGAACTCTTTTGCAGGTTGCTTCTGGGAAATCCTTTGACAGTACGGATTATATGGCTGCAACACCTTTGTGGGCTGTGTATGGAGCTGAAGAAGGAGGGTTTGATCCTGTTCAAGCTCGATATAGGAAAGAGCGGAATCATAGACCAAAGCCCTGAGTCCTGACTGATCAGGTTTGAGAGTCGGGTCCCTGTTTTTATATCTTTGTCTTTCCTTCGGTCAGCTAAACTATAACAGAACTACAAACTGAGCCAGGAAGCAAACAGGGGACTCGAGCAAGCCGTTGTGGCAGTGAGTTGAGTAAAGATTGAATGATTAGAAATATACAACATCCTGTTTTACACAGTTTTGATGCGGAGATCATATATTCTGTTGTGGTCTGTAGTAAGACTCTTTCTGTGATCATAGCTTAGTAAGAATACTTTCAAGTGGCATGTAGACTCTACAATGCCCGTGCACACATCAGCTACCCATGGAACGGAAATTTTGCATTTTTGGTGTTTCTGCCTGAAGTTGAGGGTGTCAGACATGATAGATTTGTTCAAATTGGACTAAATTTGAGGCAGGGAAGCTGCTGACAGATTTCAGCCATGCTTTTGGTCGCCATGCATGTTGTCACTTTTCTTGGCTTGTTCTATTGATTCCTCAAGTTCTGTCTCTCCAGTTTCCACCATCCTCACCTTCAAGGAAAAGTAATGATAGTGATGTGGATTAAGGGTATTTTATGGCCTTTGAACTGTGCCAAGTTTATGAAGGGTATTACAAGGTTTAAACGAAGATTCACAAATCCGTATTGGAGGTTGTACCGAAAAAATCAGCAATATAGTATTTTATGTTGAAATTGTAGTTTAATTGTGGTTCAACAGTTTTATATCACTATATACCGCCTACTAATTTAGTTTCTGATAGGAGATATTTTCTGGTAGAATTGGCAGTACGATACCATTTTGGTTTGAGCAACCATGCAAGTAGGGTTGTTAATGAACCGAGCTATTCGTGAGCGGCCCAGTCTTTAACTCGATAAAAGCTCGTTCGATTAAAATAAAAGCTCGGCTCGTTAATAAACGAGTCGAGTTTGAGCTCTACCTTGTTCGGCTCGTGAAGTTCGTGAACTAGCTCGATTAGGTGGCTCGTTGAATACAACTCATGAACTGTCTCGTTCTGAGCTTATGAGATGTCTCAACATTGTGACTAGAGAACCAACTTGACTACTACGACTTATGAGAAAATCAATAGATATCTTATGAGTTGGTTTGTTACTGATGCATATAATTATTAAATTGTATATATCACCTCATATTAATTTGTATATATGAAACGTATATGTAAACAAATACGTCTCATATATGTCATAACATTAGGTAATCACATGTATCACATATGACATATAAATATTAGGGTATTTATATTATAAATTATCTTAGAGTTGAGCTCGAGCCGAACTTTCGATCTTAATGATGTGTCAAGATTTAATAAATAAGCTGTCTTATGTTCGACTCGACTCGTTTATAAACGAGCCGAGGAACATGAACGAGACAAACCTCAACTCGGCTCGACTCATTAACCTAACAAAAGCCACCTTCTTGACGCCTTCTCACAATCCTTGCCTCTGTAGCTTTTGCTCGTTTCCTTCGCTCATTAGTCATTACCAAAGTGTCATCAACCAAAAGGGAAGGGGAAACCAATTAGAGGGCAGAAATTCCAGCAGCGGGTCTCTCGGCATATTGGGGTAGGGACTAGCGGCGGATAATGGATGGGTCACCCTATCCATCTGTTGTCCCACTCAGCAAGCAATTGGCCTTTCCCAGTTGGCTAAAGCAAAACCTCTCGCCGTCGCAGGCTGTCCCTTCTTCTTCCTCCCTGGCAATCGGGTCGGGTTTTTGTACGTTCTTCCTCCTGTATTGAGTTTCCGGGTCGACCCAAATAGCTCAGCCAAAGAAAAAAAAAGACTTCCCCTTTCCTGACCTTTCCGCCGCCAGCTAGCTCCTCTGTTTTTGCTAAACATTCATACCAGTACCCTGTTTCTAAATGTCACCCTGCCGTGAGAAATAAATTGTAAGGAGACAAAGATAAGCAAATCCAGAATCCATCTTCTCTTCAATTTTTGCTGCTACATGGACCTACTAATTCACAGATGACCACCACAGCAAAAGAAAAAAAAGAAAGCAAAACAGATTTGTGTTTGTTTGTTTTTTTTTTTTTTGGGTGGTGTTGTGATATTACATATCAGCTGCTCTTTCTGGGTTTGCTCTTCCTGCGCCTGCTTCTCCTAACAGCAGCAGTAGCTTTTTGTTCCACTTCTAATCCAGCTTCTCCTTTCTTCTCGCTGACAACTTTGAGCCGCTTAGTCGACTCTCCTTCTCCTTCTCCTTCTCCTGGGTCATTACTATTGTTGGCGGCTGTTGTTTGCTCAGCAGCAACAAAAAATTTGCGTGGCCTGCCTCTCTTTCTGGGAGCTGGAGACTGAGGCGGCGAAGAAACAGCTGCTGCTTCTTCTGCTCCCTCTTGTGGTTGATGATGTTGCTGCTCTGCATCCTCTGCTATGGCTACTGATAATTCCTTGGTCTTCTGTGCCTTCTTCTTCACCATCTTTCCTCCTCAACCTTCTATGCATATACAAAAGAACCCAGAAACCCTTCCCCCCGCCACTTCTCCTCTCAGTCTAATTAGTCCTACTAACGACAACAGTTTAGGTATAGAAGTAACACAGACCAAAAAATGAAAAACAGAGGAAGAAGAAGCACAAGAAACAAACAATCAGCTACTTCTCCTTCAAATTAGATTTTTGAGTATCTAATAACGATTGCAGACGAACTGTGAACAGAAAACCCGACTCCAGCTTTGCATAAATTTTTAGACAAAGTTGACAGGAAAAAAGGATGAAAGGGGAGAAGCAAGGAAAAGAAAGAGAGAGAGGATGAAAGAGGGAGGAGGAGTGCTAATAGTGGATAGGGCTAACCATGGTTAAAGGCGAAGAAACAGAGTGTGCGGGACAGAGGGCGCTAAGTGGCTGAGGCTCTCGGCAAAAACGGAAGAACGCTGACCCTACAGCCATTTTCTTTGCCCTTTCTTCTTCCCTCGGGTGGCCCCACTCCCCTGTTTCTATAAGATTTCCGCGGCTATTTGCTAAAGTTTCATTTGACTGGAATTGTAAATGAAAAGAAAGGCTTTTTTTTTGCGTATAATAGGATTTCGAGAATTTGTGTATTTTATGGGGTAGGATTGTAAGAATCAATGTAGTGATTGACTTATAGAAAATGTGAACATTTTGATTCTATGTAATTTCGTCAGGCACAAAATAGATAACGTTCTAATTAAAATGAAACGAAGAACAAACATTGTGATATTGAAAATATGTATTTTAAAAATGAGTTAATTGATTGCATGCTTGTCAAATTACCTCCCAAAGAATAATTTATCATGTCTTGTCATTTGGGTCACCTCCGATTGACTACAACATAATTGGTTTTAATTCGCCAAGTGCAAGTCAAATTATGCTTCAACTAAACTAGTTAAAACCAAGCATATAACTAGGGTTGTTAAGATCCGGGCGAAGGTTTGTCATGGTTCGGATTCTACTCGTAAAATAATGTCAACTTTGAGCTCGGCTCGAGTTTGACGCAGACTTTAATAGGAAAGATCGAATTCGATTTGTTTACAAAAATAAAAACTTAGACGTCGATTGTTATGTTGATTGTTGTTGATTTTTAGCTTCAATAAATATATATTCGATGCTTTAGTTAGTTCCTTCACTTTTCATGCGCCAACTACGTGTTATTTTAATTATCCACAAGTAGACCTCTCCATTATCTAATGTCACCTTGACACTTTTGTCCAACCAACTTCACTCATAGAAAGGCCATCCCTGCCAAAAAGAAGGGGGAAATACAATAATAATGCGGATCATTCTTTAAAAAAAAAAAAAAAGTCGGTCCATTAGGCCAAAAGACCCCAATACTGAAATAGATAGGCAGAAGGCCCAAACTATTAGAGCCCACTCGATTATCCATAGAAGTTACATTTTTAGCCCATCAAAGTTTTCTAAGTCATCCAATTGTGGCGCGTGGTGGCTGATTGTGTTTCAGTGTGAGATTATCTTATAACACTTGAAAAATAATGCTTGTCATATTGTTATTTTTTAAATTTCACTATCTAGATGCATCTTTAGTATTTATACTATCTTTTGTTTATTTGTGTATTTCACTATTTTGTATATAATTTCGTATTTTATGATATTCAAATTGTCATTCATCACATTATTGTTAACCTTGTTTTCCATGAACGTACTAAGCACGTCGAGATTAATTGTTATTCTCTTTGTGAGCACGATGTTTCAGGTGATATCTCCTCTCAAATGATTGGCACACATTAGCAGCTACCTATATTTTTTTTACCACTCTTTGGGTACAACTCAATTTCACCTATTGTCCAACCTTAACATTTTGTGACCTTCATGCTCCAGTTCGAAAGAGTGGTGAAATACGACCTCTGTTATACGTTGTTCTTTTTTAGAGGTGTTTATCGCAATAAATTTTTTTGACAGAATTAATTGCGCGAACATTCAAATTCTCCAAAGATCGACCGTCAAAACTCAATTAAACCGATTCAATATTTGCTGAGAATCTCTTCTCCGCCGAGTAAGTTCATTCCACGTTTGAGTCGATTTTACAAATTTCACCAGACCACTTCTTGATTCACCTACAATATTCACCGTCCAAAGTAAATGTAATTAACTTAGGAATCCATAATTTTTACAGCACACATGGGGAGTAGATGGAGCAGCAGGCAGAAGGGACGAACAAGAACGTGAGAGCGACAGCATTTGTCCTCGTAAGATGCAAACAATTCAAAGAAAAAAAATGAATTAAAAAGAAAAAAAAATTGAGAAATTCCCATCTCCTCACAGGTCTCATGGCTGCCTGTCTCCCTCCCAATCCGATCTTATCGTACCATTGAAATCAGTTCCCTTCCCCCATTTCTCCACCTGCCCAACGAAAGCGAAAACGATTAAAAATACAGCACCCGGGAAAACGTCAAACCATCTGGCCATTCCCCGAAAGTTTCCCGAGAAATCGAGTGGACAGCTTCTTTCTAGTCCGCCGGAAAGGGACAGCCATTGAAGAAAACTGGAGGAGGAGAGGGCTTCTTGATTTGCCTTGGTGGAGCCTTGGAGGAGATTTTTCCGCTTTCCCCCCCGCGTTCAAGCTGAAATCGTTGATCCCAGGCCACGAGTTTGCGTATGGTAATCAAAAGCTCTAATCTTGGAGGAGGGGCCGGAACCGGGTCAAATCGCTAATCGCACACCATCTGTTCGAGGATATGTCTCAACCGGGGAAAAGATTGTTCTGTTGGTGAATTTTTCCCCGTTTTTCGTGGCTCTGGTATCGTTCTGGAATTGTAGAGAGAAAGGGACGGAGGAAGAGGGGCTCCTTTTGGCGGTTTGTGTGACGTGGTTTGCTATTTGCTGTGAGAGTTAACCGGGCACATTTCTTTTCCCTTCTCTGCTTACTGAAACGCGCCTTTTGTTTTCTTTCGTTCTCCTCTATATCTTTTCCTCTTCTTCCTTCTGTTTCCTTTTCTTTGTTTTTCCATCTTCCTGCTCTCTGCCCACCAACTGCTTGAACAAATTCCTCAATGAATAGCATCGTTCATTGGAAGTGGGAAAGTGAAGGCACGGAACAGAAGTGAATTGGGTTTTTGTTGGGGAAGCCCTGTTACCATAGATTTGATAAGGAATCGATACAATCAAAGCGATCGCCTGATCCGCGTAAGTTTTTGTGCTTTCATTCCCTTCCTATTTATTCTTCTTGTTCTTACTTCTTAGACAGAAATTTCATTTGTTGTTGTGGTGGGGGATTGCTTGAGTTCTGAATCTCTTGATTTTGCTTATTAGTTCGTATCTTGTCATTAACAGTTCACAAGGGAGAAAATATCAAAATACTGTTGCTTTGAGTCAGAGGTCAGTGGACACTTGGATCACTCCTAGGGCTGATGATGGATATTTTAACCTTATCTTAGTTTCCAGAATTTCTGGCAACTGGGTTGACTATCTTGTTCTGCCCTTTATCTTCTCGGATCTTCCTTTTCAATCAACTTCCTTCTTTCAAAATTCTTTTTGAACTTCATTACTGTGTGGGCTCGAGCCTCGATTCCCTGTTAGTGTTTCTTATTCTCCAGGTTTTTTTCCTATGGTTCCCCAGATGAAACAAATCTCATCTAACTTGGGAGTGCCTTTCTGAACTTCAGGCTTGTAGAATCAAATCATGGATGGTCCTTACGATGATCAAGATGAAGGACGAACCAACTCCAATCTCCAGATAATCAAGTACTCACCATTCCAGCCCTCCAGATACTCATCACCATGGCTGGAACTCAGAGTCTTTTACGTCAGAATCAGCAACTTCCAGGTCGATGGCACAACACCAGAGTTCCTCACAATCAACCACATCCCTCTAAGCCCGGACACCCTCCTCGAAGTCAATGGTGTTAGAAGCAGTATCTACTCCGATGGCGCCCCATTGCTGCTTCGAAGGGACCGAGTAGACAAGAAATCCGAAGAAGTCACATTTGTTAGCACGGATAGCATCAGAACTACAGGGAGTGTGAAATTCGACGTGTTCGATAAGGATGATCTCGTCCTTTCTGGTACTATGGAGATGTCCAACAGCAATGGCTTCACTGGGGAATGTAAAGGCAGTGTGAAGCGGTGGAGCATGAAGTGTGAATCAGAGGGTGCCACTAGCTTCTTGAGAGGGAAACATGTTAATGGTTCTTCAGAGAATACATCACTCCCGGCCATAGAAGTCTATGTGACCGGGTGCTTCTCCGGGACGCCGATCATATTGACCAAGACTCTGCAGCTTAGTTACAGGAAGAAGCATAACAGGAAGGGGCAATTGGATTCAATTCCTGAGGATGAAACCACTTATCCTCAGAAAGTCGAGTCAGCTCACGATGATGATTTACAGGTAAAAAGATTACTTCTTGACCTCTAGCTATTGTTGCTTCCTGTGTCGAGACATGTTTTGAGTTGGACAAAAAGAGTGCCATGCTTGTTGTGGGATTGATGGTCATGGAGTCTGCAGGTTTATGGAATCTTATCTTTCAGTAGATGGTGACATCGGGTATGGGCGGAGGCACACTTTTCTAGTGACTAGATAGTGTAATCGAGTGCTTGCGTTCTTTCATTTTCCTTTCTTTCGTCCCATTCTTGTCTTGTGTTGTTGTGCTATTTTTATTATCTTCTTCCTTCTGGCAATCCTGACGCTCGTGGGGTTCATGCCACTTCCACGTGGGAGGATGCTTTCCACGTGGCCTCACCTACCTTCTTCTGACATGCATCTGTTCCGTTTTCTTTTTCTCTATTGGCTTGCCCATGCATCAATGTCATTGATCAGGCTGATCAGGCATTAGTATGCTATTATGGATCCATTACCAATGAACTCAATTTATGTAAGAAATGACGGCTTGAATTTGTTCTTAGCTTACACTAATCAATAGAAAAGTTGCAATACAATATATCTCTGTAAATATAAGATAACTAAGACAGAATATGCCTGTTGTTCAGAGTAAATAATAGAATAGGAGATGATGTCCTACACTTCTGCTATGCATTCCACTAGAATAGCAAAATATACACTATACCATCTCATTGAGACTCAATCTGTCTGATTGATTGATCTGCAGGTGGCAGAGTACAGAAGCTACAAACTGGAGAACGAGGAAGATTACAACATGTACTGGAGGAGAACAGAGTTTATGGATGGTGAAGACGGTGAGCTCTCCTGGTTCAATGCCGGTGTTAGGGTTGGTGTCGGTATTGGGCTAGGCATCTGCGTCGGGGTTGGCATTGGGGTCGGTCTGTTGGTACGAACCACCCGCAACTTCAAAAGGAGGCTCCTGTGATTGGACCATTATCCCAAAATGGTTAGCTAGCTAACTTTTCCAATGGTTTGCAAAGATGGTTTGGGTTTTCTTCTGACTGCAAGATTTTGACTAAGAGAGAGTTAGTAGGGCACTGTTTATTTGGCAGCTGACAGAGGAACAGATAAGACTACCACTCCGTATTCGTCTTTGTTTTTTCTTCTCTCATAAGGCCTGTAATATTAAACACCCTTCTGTAAGGTAGGAGAAAGTGTTATATGACAGACAGTAGTAATTAGTGTATGTAAACCCTTGGAATTCCAGTCATTCTAATTTTATACACTGTTCAGAGCTCTGTAAATAAATTCTGGTGTCTTGTCTTTCCAGCAATGTATTAGAGTACTTATATAGCAAAAACATGAGCAACTTGCATCACATGACAGCGTGCAGAATATGCAATTGGGAGCTAATACTGTAATACACTGATGACTGAACCAAATACAGTTACAGCATCACCTGCTGGAATGTGAGTCTCCAGAATCTCATTAGTCCAACATCATCAACTTCAAAAAGATGACATAGTCATCACTGATATCCTCCATCTGATTCGTCAGTCCCCCAAGAACCCTAAAGATCTCCCCTGAATTCTTCTCCTCCAAGCAATCCCCTGCCACGAACTTATGGAACTTCTTCTTCACCTCAATCCAGCTCCGCCCAGCAGCTTTCTTCAACCCTTTACTCCTCGCAGAGGCTCTCTCCTTGGCAGAATCCTCCCACTTACCACTACCTGCATATATATTCATCATCAACGTACAGCTCCAAGGACGCTCAGATACAAGACTTGACATTCGAGACACAACATTCTCTGCAAAAGTCGTGTTAGTATGCATTTTACATGAGTTCAACAGAGCACCCAACACACAATCATTAGGCTCCATCGGCATCTTCTTAACAACTTCGCTTGCCTCTTCAAGGAAACCTGACCGACCCAACAAATCCACTGTGCAAGCATAGTGCTCCATCCCTGGTTCAATTCCATACTTGGAAACCATATTATTAAAAAGCAAACGGCCTTGGTCAACAAGTCCAGCATGACTACAAGCTGAGAGAATCGCAACAAAGGTTATCCCATCCGGCTGATGGCCAGAAGTGATCATACGATCAAACATCTGTAGAGCTTTGATGCCAAGTCCATACATCCCAAATCCTTTGATGATGGAGTTCCATGAAATCACATCTTTACCCTCAGTTCTCTCAAACACTAAATGGCCTTCCTTCAGGTTCCCACATTTCATGTACATATCAACCAAGCTGTTTGAAACAAGAAGCTCGTTGCTCAGGAATGTTCTTATCATGTATCCATGGATTTCCTTCCCGAGATTCAGTGCTGATAACTCTGCACATGCTGACAAAACGCTGCAAATCATGACAGCATTTGCTGTCACGTTGGCGGCACTATGCATTCGTCGGAAGAGATTCAGTGCCTCTTCTTCTCTCTGATTCGTGGCAAAGCCACTTATTACAGCACTCCAGCTAACTATATCAGGTCTCTCCATCTGCGAGAAAATTTCGAAAGCTTCGTCACATAAGCCGGCATCAGCATAAGATGTTATCAAAGCGTTCCAGCTTACTGTGTTCTTGTTTCCAATCTCCTGGAACAAGGTCTGCGCTTCAGTTACATTTCCACTCTTGCCATACAAGCATATCAGGGAATGATTCACGAACAAGTAATCCTGGAAACCATCCTTTATAACATGACAATGAATCGCCTTTCCTATACGAAATGCACCGAGATCGGGACAGACTGACAAGATGACGGCAAGTGCTTCACCATTCACCCCAATTCCCTTCTTCCGCATCGAACTGAACAGCTTCATGGTTTCTAGACTTAACCCGCAACGCGCATGGCTTGATAGGAGAGACGTCCATGTCACGAGATTAGGTTCCAATCCTTCGGTCTCCATCCTTCGAAAGATATCAAGGGCAGCAACAGCATCACAATTGAAGGAATACCCGGAAACCATCATATTCCATGACAGAGTGGTTCTAACACGCATTCTCTCGAACACTTTGCGTGCATCAACCATCCGTCCCAGTTTCGCATACATCCCGATCAACTCATTCGAAACGTGGAGATGGGTTCGGAAACCAGCCTCAATAGCATGAGAATGAACAATCTGACACAGTCTAGAACTCTTGCTGCTTCGACAACCCAGGTTTCTACACGCCCGAATCACCAAAGGGATAGTGAAACCATCGCCTAAATTTCCAAACTTGCGCATTCTAGCATACAAATTGAGAGCGTTTTCATACCACTCACCGGAGACATTAGCTCTGAGAATCGAATTCCAAAGAATCGGGTTGGAAGAGCAATCCGATTGGCTCTGAGAATCAAACACCATCTGGGCATCCAAGAGACGGCCAAAACGAGCGTACGTAGATACCAGTTGGGAAGCCAGGAAACCGGAGCCAGTGCTTCCGGTAACGGTGGCCTGCGCGTGAACCTGCTGGCATTGCTGAACCCTAGAGCAACCTCGAAGAAGGCCGTCCAAGGAATCGAGTGACTCGCTACGGTTGGTGCCGAAATAGCGGGGGGAAGAAGAGACCGAGAGACGGCTGGGTTTGGAAGCATAATGATGAATGAGATGTTGAGAAGAAGCACGGACATGACGCATGGAAGAAGCATGAAGTTCTTTGGAGCAAAAAATTTGTGCCTCCGGCTGAAGTAGGGATGTCAATCCAACCCGTAATCATGGGTACCTACTTGACCGTAACCGGTCAACGAGAGTAATTACCCGCTTTGACAGGTTAAGGGGCGGGTACGGGTAATATCCGGTTTAAAAATAAAGGGTAGGGTACGGGTATGGTAATCGATAATACCCACCTCGCTAACCAAATGGTCAATTTCCCTTGAGAGATTTATTTTTGCTTGAGCTACCATTATTGATGATGAAGATGTAGACGATTATTATGTTTGTGTGGATTGTAGAAGTAAGAACAATTATTATGTGTTTGCTGTTTTTATTTGTGTGGATTGTTGAAACTAGAACAGTTACAAGTATTGAGAATTTTTAATGGACAACATTATGTATTTGCATATGTGTATAAGTTCATAGTTTAGGATTCGTACCCATGGTTACCCGAATACCCGTGGTTACTCGGTGGGTAAGGTATGGTTATATTATTTTCATACCCGGTGGTTATTTGATCGGGTATTTTAGAAAGCTCTACCCGATGGGTTAGGAATTGATATAGGGTAAACCCGCACCCGACCCTACCTCCGGGACAGGGGTAAATTTCGAAGGAACAAAAATCTGTCATATATATGTATATTGGTGATGCAAAACAACGCCTATAAGTAGTATTAGAGTATTTTTGTCACTACAGCACAATTCATTACTTATTCATAAATTGACATAAAAATTAATTTATTATGCTATAAACGAATTCTAATTGCAATAAAGACCTAATCGGATCTCTTTTCTCCTTATGCCTATTCGATTTTTTCCCAACAACCCTGAAATTGTCTAGCAACATCGACAATTCCACTAGTTTTGATTCTACGAATTACAACTGCAAATGTAAAAAGAGCATTTTCAACTTTGAGTTATATTAAGAACAAGTTTCCAAGTCAATTTGGCGACCAATTTGCTAATGCTAATTTAGTGAGATACATTGAAAAAGACTTATTTAATAGTGTAGACGACGAATGTTTTTGCGTTTCTTTCACAATATGAAATCTCTCAGTGGTTGTTAAAAACAATGATTGTATAGTCGGTTATTTTTAATCTATGAATGAATTATGCAGATAGAATTAATTTTAATTATTTCTTATTATATTATTTTTAATTAAATATTTTTATATTTATATTATGAAAAGAGGACAGGGGTGGTTTGAAATGCTGGCTCCCCAAGGGCTGCAAACGAGCCGAGTCGAGTCGAGTTTTTGCTTAGCTTGAGCTCGGCTCGTTTATAAATTTTTTAGCTCGAGCTCGGCTCGAACTCGAATTTTGATCATCCAGCTCGAGCTCGAGCTCGGCTCGATAGAGCCAGTGGCGGATACATGCATGGTTAGGGGTGTCCCGGGACACCCCTAAAATTTGGAAACACGATTATTCAACCTACGATAGTAATTTGCGTATGAGAAAAAAATATTTAAGTGGTAGTGGGACACCTTTAAAATTTGGAAAAATGATTATCCAATCTCCCGTAGTAGTTTGAGTATTGGTATAAATAATATTTAAGTAGTAGTTTATGTGATTTAAATTTGGGACACTGCCACTATTAGTTAATATATTTTCAATTACGCTACAACTCATTTGTTATTGTGTTTTAGATCCAAATATAATAGTAAAATATTATTCTTATCTCAAATTATTTTCAAAACCTAACGATTAAACTCAATTACGGGATATCCTAGTCTAGTAAGATATGTCGAGAGATATTTGTTGAGCAGTATAAACACCAAATGCATTTTATCATTTGATGAAACACGTCTGAACTTTTAATGAAACTTTATTAGTTAGATATTTTCATATTTAATAATTATTTAATTTAATTCTAATATTTAATATAATTTTTTATAGAGGACACCCCTTTGTAGAATCCCTGGATCCGCCACTGGATAGAGCTCGGTAAATGCTCATTAACACAGCTTGTCAAGCTTAGTACAAGCTCGGCTAAAGATAAGCTCGATTTGAAACCATTCTTGCTGAAAAATGTGTACAATAAGAACATTAGAAACTAAAAATGATAAAAAGAACACTAGAAACTAAAAATAACATCTAACTTTCACACACATCCTTATTAACAAGATAATTTTCATGTTCAGAAGAGTAATTAATCCTTCCACAAGCTTTAAACAAGCCAGCTCGCGAGCTTAGCTCGACAAGCCACCGAATCAAGCTAGCTCGCGAGCTTATCAAGCTGAGCATGGTCTAGCTCAGGCTTGGCTCGTTTACTAACGAGTCGGCTCACGAGCCGGCTTGTTACACAACGAGTCGAGTATCGAACGAATTTTTCCGATTCGAACGCCGAGTTGCTCGCTAGACCATGCTCAGCTTGATAAGCTCGCGAGCTAGCTTGATTCGGTGGCTTGTCGAGCTAAGCTCGCGAGCTGCCTTGTTTTGAGCTTGGGGAAGGATGAATTACTCTTTTAAACATGAACATTGTCTTCTAATACAGATGTGTATGAAATTTTGATGTTATTTATAGTTTCTAGTGTTCTTTCTATCCTTTAAATTCTTATGTTTATACATTTTTCCAGCAAAAATGATTTTAAATCGAGTTCATCTTGAGTCGAGCTTGTACTCAGCTTGACAAGCTATGTTAAGGAGAATTTATCGAGCTCTACCGAGTCGAGCTCGAGCTAGTTTATTTTTCTTCAAGCCGAGCTCGAGCTCGAGCTGGATTATCAAAATTCGAGCTCGAGCCGAGCTCGAGCTGAAAAATTAATAAACGAGCCGAGCTCAAGCTAAGCAAAAACTCGACTCGACTCGGCTCGTTTGCAGCCCTAGCAGCCCTTCCCCACCACATGTTCGTTGGAATGACTCAAATCTCTCCATGCACTGAGTGAACGTATAGGAGTCGCCTGTATGTGTGGAGGTGTGGAGTATGTATGAGAATGACGATATTGTGTACTAGCCATTTCCTATTACTCTTTGCAATAGGTAACGGAATTTTTCCAAAATAACAAACAAATTCAAGTTGGATCGCAATGTTACAAGTCATGCCAAAACATAATACAAACCTGGATCAAATGAACTCGAGTTACTGATAAATCTCAATCGGTTTATCGAGTCATACGCCACCTTTCAGTTGGTCAAGTTTAAATCGAATTAGCCAGTTAAATCGTCACATTGGATTGATAAAATTAGATAATGCAAACAGCAATTGGGAAAAGAGAAATGCAATAGCTCGGAGAAAGGGGTCACCCTTCTTCTCTTCTAGACTAGCAAGAAATCAAGCAGGATTAATATATCAACTCAAACAGAGCTGCTTAGCTTAGCTAACAGCTAGACTGCAGTTCTCCCCATTAATCTCATACTCAAGACTCAGTAGGAGCAACCTCAACACCATTCAACTTTGCAGCATCAAGCCCCCAGAAAGAAGCCGTCTTCACATCATCCTGAATCATCATCTTCGAAAACTCGGCATGGTCATACTGCAAGTCACCTTGCCCTCCAAAGTCAGCTGGCAAGTTCTGATCATCAAAGTGCAATCTCATTACCTCGACGCTCTCCTTGTTCTTCTTCGGGTACACGAACTTCACCTTCTGGAACGTCCTGGGATCCAAAAAGTACTTCACCACCTTCCAGAACGCTTCGAAGATCCTCGGAGGGTTGTAGAGGAACGCGACTGCCAGCCTCTCGGGGTAGTGGTTCTGCAGAATCGAGGCGGTCTCGTGCGCTGTCTTGATGGGCACGTTGTTGGTGATCGACCAGCCGGTGAAGTCGATGAGGAAAGACATCTGCTCTTGGCCCTCTGGCAGGTTGAGAACTGCATTCTCAAGCAAGTAAACCAGATGGCGGATTTGGTTCTCGAATGATTTCGTGTTCTGCAAGTACAAGTTTTAGATTGGATTCATTCCCTCCGGGAAAAAAGCTTGAAGAACACTTTGATTCAAACAGTGAGATGAGGGAAACACAAGTTTGAACTCAGTTTTCGATCGGTTTCAAGTTAAGGCACACGGGCCACGGCTACTAACCTGCATTCCAGGCCTGAGAATAAGTACAGACCTTCCTTGTCTGTCACGGAAATTGGCTCTGTATATCTTCCCAGTCTCACCTTCATGTGCAACTTGGGGCTGTAAGTAAAATAACCAAACACAGAATTCAGCTCTCCAATCACATACAGATGGAATCATGGAAAACTCGAGCACAAATGGCATAACAGATATGGGGATTACCCAACGGATTTCTTCGGGCTTATAGCTCGACCTCCACTCGAGAGTTTCCTGCAACATCTTCTTGGCTTTCTCCACACTCCAGTTTCGCGCTACCAGGTACCTTCTGAAGCATGCATCGCTGCAATACTTCAAGCTCGGGCCAGATAAAGGACCTATAGCGGCCTTGAGCTCGTTGATCTGCATAAAAAAACATCCATCCACAGAATTGAAACCCTATACCAATATGAACAGAAACAAAATGCAGTTTCTATCCAATTTTTGGCTTCTTATCCTTTACCTTAGCCTCTTGCTGCTGAGGATCATTCTCAGGATCCTGGTTAGCATTATTAGCCTTCCGACGGAACATCGTGGTATCGACTGATAATCTCTTGAATCTCTCTCGAGCCCTAGGGTTTCAAGTGTCAACCTGTTTTTGACACAAGAGAGGAAAGGAAGAAGTAGGTACAAGGGAAAGCTTATGAGCTAATGAACAACCTAAGGGGAAACCCAAAATTGTCAACTGCCTTCTAGAAGAGGTATGACCAGATGCAATAAATTGAATCCAACCAAATCAAATAAAATAAAATCAAAGGAAACCCTATTCCTAGTCAAATGCCATCCAGCAGACTAGAATTGACTATTCTTGCTTGGAAATTAAATAAAGCAAGAAACAGAACAACAGCTGCTACTAATTGCAGAAGCTTCCTAACACCATCAGCACATGATTCAAGCCCAAATGAAGACATCAATCAAAGGAAAGAAGAAAGAAAAACACGAAATCAGGGGATTCAAATGAAGCTGCCCTCCAATCTGAGCTGAACAGTACAATCAAAATGGCACATGAAAGGGAGAAAGAAGAGAGCTTTTTTCCACCAACTCGCCATACTTTTGCTTGTCACACAGGAATCAAAACCTCCGTTCAACAGCTCGAGTTTCTAACCAAAGTAAAGCCTTACAGTTTTATATAGAGAGAACCCAGATGGGGAATTGAAGGAGGCCATTTGTCCATGGCAGGGAATCAAAGGCCCCCGAGGAGACTGAACTCTTGTTGCTCTAAGCAGAATTCCAAAATAGGTGAGAAAGAATCCAAAGACTTCTCCTTTTTTTTTAAACGAACCTGGTGGCGGCACAAGAGCGAGCTTGGGAAGTCGAGAGATTCGGCGAAATGGCGGGTATTGTTTTAGTTTAGTCTGATTCCTTCTCAAACGGACCCAACAATGGAGACAGATACCAAACGACAAGGAGAAATCAAAGCTTGGAGAACGGACAACAGAATGAAAGAAACGCAGAGGTGTAAAATGGTCTCTGTGGCTTTCTGTGAGAGAGAGAGAGCTGAGCTTGGAAGATACTTGTTTTTGTAGTTCGCGGTAATTGGCCCGTACGGTGTCAGATTGCTGTCTCACTTCCCGGGTTTCCACCTTCGGCGTGACCCGACCCGGCTCAAGTTCCCCCGCCGACGTCGGGTCACCGGAGAGGCAGCACGTGTGTGTTCTTCTGATTGTTGTTTCCATTTTTTTCCCCATCTTTATTTACTCTCTTAAATAAGTTTCTAATTGCACATGAATATAATATAAAATAATTCAAAATAATATAAAATAATTCTAATGTGTGGTCTTACTGACCCAATGCTTGTGGAGTTGATGGCGCTTCGGGAAGCGATCTTGTGGTGTCGGGCGATGGGTATCCAGGATGTCTGCTACCAGGGGGATGCAAAAGTCGTGATTGACAATAGGGCTGGGAAAATAGACCAGACCGTTAGAAAAACCGTGGTCCAAACCGTACCGCACAGTTTGGTCCGGACCGTAGACCGTGAAGTATGGTCTGGTCTGGTCCATGGTCTGTATTATTTTATAATTTGATCTCATGGTCTGGTCTGGTCTAGACCGCGGTTTACCGGACCAAACCGTAGACCCAACTGACTTGTCAATACGTGTTAACAGCCCATTCGACCACTCTCCAAACCCCCACAACGACACCCAAGTCTCAACCTTAATTTTGTGAATCTCTTCCCTCCTTCATTCACAACCACATTTAACCACAGAGTAGAGATAATCGTGTCTCCATATGACATTATGTTAATGTTACAACCACATTTAACCACAGAGTAGAGATAATCGTGTCTTCATATGACATTATGTTAATGTTTATGACATTATGGTGCAAGTTGGGATGCTTTTACTTTGTATCTTTGTTATGTACTAAGATTTAGAGTATCAAAATTATTCATGCATGTTAGGATTAATGTTTTAAGACAAATAACAATTATTTTTCTTGGTTATTGGTTCAATTTTTTGTGTGGTTGACTAAACAAAATTTCCATTTTTCGTTGAGTGTGGTCTATCTGGACCAGACCAGACCGAACCAGACCGCACAGGCGTGGTCTGGACCAGACCGTATAGTCTGTGGTCTGGTCTGTGGTCTATACTTTAGCCTCTCGGTCTGAACCGTAGACCGTATATATGGTCTGGTCTGGACCAGACCGCACCGTTTCCCAGCCCTAATTGACAAAGTGGTGGCGGGGTGTACGTGGGATTCCAGGGGGGGTGCTGTGTTGCAGGAGGTTCAAGGAATGCTGGCAACTGGTTCAGGGGAGAAGCTTCGATTTGTAGGCAGGGATAACAATAGGGTAGCCCATAGGGTGGCTAGGAAAGCCCTTTCTTTGTTTCCCGCTCTTATTGAGGGGTTCGATTTTTGCGTGTGGCTCCATTCGGAGATGTAATCGTTTGTGATCTTGATTTCTTGGTAATGCAAGCTATCTTTTGTTAAAAAAAAAAATAATAATAATAATTCAATGAAAAGAAAATAATAATATATAACTTGATTGGCATATTATCTGGATTTTTGTTTGTACGCGAAAATATTATGTCAAGATTATATTCCATTGCATTGATTGAGGTGTTCCTCTCTCCATTTTAGCAAGGATTTCCAAGATCTAAACAAATTTTTGGTCCACTTGCACGTACTTCTCTGTCCTTTGTTTCAGTACCATATAATTAGTATTGGGATTCAGTGAGGCAGATACACAATTGTTGGACCGATGTGTCGGCTCGCTAGAGCTGTGTCAGTTACAATTATTGAAGTTGTATAAGAGGTTCAAAATTCAAATTTTTTGTACCACTGAAACCTAAATTTCTCACAAAAAAAATTCCTAAATACTTTGGTCATCCCCTGTTTGAGATGGATAGAAATTTATTTTCACAAACCTTTATATCTTATACGAGTTTGCATTAAACTCTATCTGGGGATACTTCGACATTGAGCGAAACCGTGACTCTTTAACATATTAGTTTTAGGGATTTACCCCCAACATGTTGAACTTTGAAGTCGATACATTTCGAATATCTTTATTAATAAACTAAAAAAACAAGTCCTAAAACTACAATTGGCCCCTATTATCGGAAGGTGACATGCGTTTATTTTTACACCCAAGTGGGCACGGCAGCACCACAACATTCCACAATGAAGAAAATATCCCAAAAGAGCCGACTGAAGGCCAGAAATGAAAAAGCCAGCAGGTACAGAGAAATGGGGGAAGCAAACAAGGAAGAAAGTAGTGAATGAAAGCGAAGCCGTAGCCGAAAGCTGAACTCAAAAGAAGCTACAGACTGCGGACTGTCGTTGTCGGAGTAGATGTGGAGAGCACCAACGACTCCAACAATCCGTGATCCGGCGGGCAACAAAGCACCAACAACTCACCTGCCGGCCCGACGAGGGAAGGGAAGAGAACTGAGAACCTCACTTCCCGCCTTCCACTGTCATTCCACTTGCCATTTTGTGTTTCTTCAGTACCACACAGGTGTCCCTTGCTTGCTACCCATTATTGGGACTTGACTTGTCAATCAGCAGATCAAGTTGCTACACAGACAAAAGGAAACCAAAGAAACAGATGAACCACATTGTCAGAAAGCAAACAAACACATACAGAAGAGTAGGGAGAACAGGGAACCAGGTGGATTCGAACCACCATCCTCCCAAAGCCTAAAAAAGTTCAGGCTTTGGACGCTCTATCCATTTTGAGCTAATGGATCCATCACTCGCAAGTCACACAGCACGTTCCCAGATTCATTGACATAAATGTCGCTGTGGTGCTTGCAGAATTTCTTTTTTTGCAACCTGCCCACCTGTGCAACTGATAGGAACATACAACAATCCATCATCTTTGCTCACCTGTGGTTCCAGCACAAGCCAACATCTAACCGCTCCAAAGATTCAGTGTCCTCATCAAATCAGCTTAACTGATCCTCCTCTCTCGAATCACAACTCCTCGACACCATGCCCTCGAATACCGGGGAGAGAACGAGACTCCCATTTTCAGAAATACGAACAAGGAAATGGCACGGGAAAACCAGACTACTGCTACGGGATTCTCAAGAGAGACAATACCAAATTCTAAAATCATTCTAGCATACCAACCAGACAGGCAAACTAATAAAAACACAAATATGGAAGGAAGGACGAGCCAGGAAAACAATGCATTGACCTGGCCGAACAACCAGCTAAGCCTTCAACGTACTTGGAAAGACTGGTACACAATTATAGTCTAGTCTACTGACAATCAGAAACAATGGAATGAACTAATCATCAAGTACAAACAGATGGTAGGTCGAGCTAGGAAAACAATGCATCGACCTGGCCTAACATACAGCTAAAACAAACCCCTGACAATCCTGATGACATCAGTGAGTGGCAGCTTCAACCTGACGTGAAATGGTACACAATTATACTCTAAGTCTACTGACAAAATGAACTGATCATCAAGTAAAAACAGATGGAAGGACGAGCTAGGAAAACAATGCATTGACCTGGCCAAACAACCAGCTAAAACAAGCCCCCCATGACATTAGCGAGTCGCAGTTTCAACCTACTTGAAAAACACTGATACACAAATATACTCTAGTACTGACAATCAGAAACAATGGAGTAAACTAATCATCAACCCACGAGGTAAAATTACTGGAGAAATTTCAGAGAGGAATCTCATCTGAGGGTATATGCTACAACAAGAATGATTCTGGAACATGTGATTTTCCCCGAATTGTGAAGCCAATGAATGGACTAAATAAGACTCACACCCAGCAGGGGTGAAGATTCTGATTTGAAGACTTACAAAGGACTGCCAATACTCATAGATGGACGCATGCCACTAGCAGCTATCTCCAGACTACATGACCGGAGAAGTGAAGTAACATCACTAAATAGACCGCACTTTGATGGGAGACAACCTTGCCAAGAGCTTCAAAACCATCCAGCTCTTACAGATTTGCAGAAAACAGCTTGCCCGTCTGAATTCAAAAATTTATACAATCACAGCAGGAACAATTGCGCTCAGTCGGCATAGATAGTTGGACGCATGCCACTAGCAGATATCTCCGAACCAGATGACCGAAGAACTGAAAGTAAGATGACTAAATACACTACGCTGTGCTGGGAGACAACCTTTCCTAGGGCTTCAAAACCATCCAGCTTTAACAGATTCGTAGACAGCACCTTCGCAGACCGAATTCAAAAGTTCATACGATCAACGGCAAAAAGATTTGCATGCTGTCGGCATTTGATAGTACGATCCGCCGGCTCAGCACAGAAACCAAGTATAGGTCATGTTCCCCTGTGTTGCAATCAAACAAACAATCAGTACATCTGAAATAATTCCATTAACGGCGAAGCAAAGTACTAAGAAGATGAGAATCATAATGAACATCTCACCATAATGACTACAACTGATAGTCTGATACAGATCTCACTTCAGTATCCAGCACCAGCAGCTAAAGGATGCTCCGTACCCAACATGGAGAAGCAGCAGCATCTCCAGTGCCCAAAATCAGTTTGAAATCCCTATTACAACCTAGTTGAACGGGCCTTCAAAAGGCAACCGGTACAAACACATGCACTTTCTTCACTGTGTTGCAATCGAACCGACAATCAGTACATCTGAAATAAATTCCATTAACGGCCAAGCAAAGTACTAAGAAGATGAGAAGCATAATGAACATCTCACCATAATGACTACAACTGAGAGTCTGATACAGATCTCACTTCAGTATCCAGCAGCGGCAGCTAAAAGATCCTCCATACCCAACATGGAGAAGCAGCAGCATCTCGCCAGAGTGCCCAAAACCAGTTTGCAGTCCCTTTTACAACCTAGTTGAACGGGCCTTCAAAAGGCAACCAGTACAAACACATGCACTTTCTTCACCGTGCTACATCACGTCAACTTATAGATATTACAGCTCCCCCCACCCCCAACCACCCATACTAACATTGTAAATGGGGCAGTTAAACTAAATAGCAGAAAAAGTCGAAGCAAAATAAACCGGAGAGATCAATGAAACTGAAGACCAATAGAAAGCAAGAAACCAATGACAGCTATAGCTACTGAAAAGCACCGGTGGTTGAACATTGTTTTGGTGGCACAAGTTCTCTCGTCCATAATTTTGAGCTGGTTTTGGGAAGGTAAGTGGGGGAACTAGTGCAAAGTTGTTGTGGCTCTTCATAGCGGAAACAAATAATCCTGCCGACATCCAACTCAGGTAGGTGTGGATACCATAGGTCAAAGTTGGACGAAAATATGGATGAACCACTGTATCTCAAAATAAGTTCAAATGTAGAAGGTAAGTTTATTCACCCTAACCCGATTGATCAACTACAGCGTCACTTTGCCGGTGTAGAAAGTGAATTTTATCAGCCCAACTCAATGAACTGTGAGGCATAACTAATCCCACAGACATTTCTCAAGGACATCGTAACTAAGATATCTGGAAAATCAATTAAGTCCGGTAAAAAACGTTATCACCTAACACAATACTTGAATTAGAAGATCTGACGTCGATTTGCTAGTTATAAATGAGCTAGAGGTAATTGAAAAATAAGGAGGCAAGGATGAAGAAATCTGTACCTTTAAGGACTATCTTGATTGCTTGCATGCGTATGATGACTGGGTTGCCTAGCGGAGGAGTTTGACAATTCGAGTGCATTGACACAGCAACGTGGCCGGTGGGCAGCAAGCGAAAGGGAGCAAGAAACAGGAAAAGGAGAGAAAAAAGAGAGCAGAGACACACACACACGAGGAGGAGGGAGAGCCGGGGCTGAAGAAACTTCACTAAATAAAAAATACCCCTGTGCCATCTCCCTCCTCCAAAACCCAAAAACCATCTCTTTTATTAAGATTTTGTGACCTGCCATGCGAGCGCACCCATCATGGCAAAGGCCGACTGACACAACATCGCAAGCACAAACAACTAACGCTTCAAACAGCATACCCTAATGTCTTACCGTTCGTGTCATCCATCCTCTTCCCTTCCCAGATAGGGAAGCACCCATAACCAACCACCACATATACCATAAACAGTTCAAACAATAACATACACATAAACGATGTTACCAACCCTTTTACACCGCAATAATCCTCGTGAGGCCATCCAGCTTGACTCGATCCAAGATGGTCGAATTGGACATCAATCAACACATCGCAAGGCAACCACCATCTGAAGAACACGGATCACCCATCTCCGCATAACCCGAGCTCCTTACGCCTCCCTCGAACTTGCCCAGAAGCCAGCGCAGAAGGATGAAGTACTGAAAGATAACAAAAACATATAACCCATCGATCAGCCTGACCATCGCAAATAGAATCAAAGAATAATTCGCATCTCGATGACGAATCCGTATATAGCAACAACAAATAAAAATTGATGAACCATATAATCGACAAGGTAATCTAATTCCGCTCAAATATTCATATCGAATTCGAATGAATCATACACATCGAAGAAGTCTCTTAACGAAAATCAAAACGAACGGACCAATAAACAGGCTAAAAATTCCATAGAAAAGCATACATACCTCAACGGAACAGGCATAAACCAACATCAATAAGTTGAGATCTATGCATCCTTCGCAGAAGCAAGACGACGACGGCGTATCGCCAGCAGATCTACCAGAACTTCGAATCCTGCCGCTGAATCGAACAGGGGGGCTGCAGCTGGAACATTAGCTGAAGGGAAGCCATAGCCAAGAGGTTCATCTGCAGAACTCGGGAGATTCAAACCGAGATCATATTCTGATGAAGGAGAGATTGAAGCTCGGGATAGAGCTATATGGCGCCAGCGGTCGGTAGCGTATATATAAGGAAGAAACATGCCGACATTTGAGATGATAAACGAATGGGATTAGGAGAAGTATTTAAGGGAGGAGAAAAGCTATCCAACGGCTGTTATTGTTTGACTCTGGGAGGAGGCAGATCGTTGGTCAGATTTGAAACGCTATTTTTGGCGAGGAAAGTTGTTTTACAACACGAATCGAGCGGCTGTGGTCTTCAGAGAACATTCTAGAATATAAATATATAGACATTGCTAATTATCGTTCTAACTCCTAATTGCCCTAACATAAAAGTTAATATTATATTTGTATTCTCCTTTGTTCTTTTTATTAGAAATACTTTATTCTAACAAACTAGATATGATATTTTTGTCCTACATCAAGCGCAGAGACGGATGATGCCTTTGGACCCACTTCGGCCCCCTCCGGGGGTGTCTTGGGTGTGCTCCTTTGATGGAGCAGTGCGTCAGGCGTCGCACTCTACCGTAGGGATTGTCCTACAAGGGCCGGATGGGGTGGTGGTTAGAGCTTTGGGAAAGGGATGGGCGGATATTACGGATCCAATGCTGGTGGAGTTGATGGATCTCCGTGAGGCAATCTTGTGGTGTCGGGCGATGGGTGTGCAAGGTGTCTACTACCAGGGGGATGCTAAGGTAGTTATCGACAAGATTTTGGTCGGAAGTACGTGGGATTGCTATGGAGGAGCAGTGTTGCAGGAAGTCCAGGGCTTGTTGGCTGCGGTGAATGTGGATGTTCTCCGATTTATAGGTAGAGATAACAATAGGGTAGCCCATAGGGTGGCTAGGAATGCCCTTTCTTTGTATCCTACTCTTATCGGGGGGTTTGATTTTCGCGTTTGGCTCCATTCGGAGATGTAACCGTTTGTGATCTTTGTTTCTTGGTAATACAAGCTATCTTTTGTATAAAAAAAAAGATATTTTTGTCATACTTTTTTTTTGGAAATATTAGAGCATGGTCCAATCCATTGGTCGAATAGTCTTGGCATCATTGTATCTCTGGTTGAGAGTTGTCGTAGGATGATTGCCTACACATTCGGTAGACAATTAGGTGAGTTACATATGAAATAAGAACGATAAGAGATTTTTCAATAGCTAAAGTTATGAAGAAGTAGAATGAGAAATTTGAAAATGTACATTGCTAACATGCTCGTAATAGAATGGTCTGGATGAATTGCTTTATACAGGATTCATAACTCCAGAAAGATTATTATTTAAGAGAAACCTTTAATTTACTATAGTTGGCTACTATATTTTGTAAACACACTTACATTATGTGATTTTGACGTGGATTGCAAAGCATTTTATGTAAGATACGGTATTTTTCTATACAAATCTTGTTTTGCTGGTATTCCCATTAGACCTATTATGGTTGAACTTTTATGGCGTGGAGTGTTGTCTGCGAGAAAAAAAAATATATCGACTTCTTTTAATTGATATTTTGTCGGGTAAATGACACATTTGGTCACTGAGATTACTAAATCGTGTCATATTTAGTCACTATAAAAGTTTAATATCAATTTTGGTCACTCGAATTACTGACACAGGTCACATTTGGTCACTCTTCTGTATCCTCTGTCCAACTCCGGTCACTCGAATTATTGAAAAATGTCACATTTAGTCACTCGTATTACTGAAACATGTCACATTTAGTCACTCTCCCAAAAGTTTCCGTCCAACTACATTAATGGAGTTGGACGGAAACTGACGGGAGAGTGACTAAATTTGACCAGTTTCGGTAATTCGAGTGACCAAAATTGATATTAATTTTTTCTAGTGACTAAACATGACACAATTTAATAATCTCAGTGACCAAATGTGTCATTTACCCATATTTTGTCTGAAGGCTAAGCTAAAACGATCCAATCATTACATGATTACATCTCCCTGTTATACAGCGAACATAGCTACATGGTCGTCAACGAATACTTGGAATAAACCAAGACCCTCTAGTGGAAGTGTGAAGATATAAGGGGACAACGGCCATCTCCTCGTGTAAGCTCCAACTCGAGCGAAGCTCCTCCGTACAACTCATGTTCTACAATACCTGCAATGATAGTAGATGTTACACATTATACAATCACATGCTCGACTGGGGAAAGAAAGTGTGTCACATGGCAAGGTCTCTCTAATGAACTCCCAACTCATCCTACAACAAACACATGCACAAGGTGGCTAATCGGGCAGAAAAAGCCTAGAGGAGTATGAACCAATGACCGAATACAACGTTACCAAATTAATTCGCAAACGAAACCCCACTAAACTCGAATCATGTACATGCGCCATAGTTGACGACCCTAGCTAATATTTAATAATACTCAACGCATCAACAAGAATCAGATGAAGCAAAGAGATCCTGCAGTAGGATCCAGGCGGATTCGAACCACCATCCTCCCCGAGCCTTAATAGGCTTTGGGCGCTCTAACCTCTTTGAGCTAATGGATCCACCCACCACCACGTCAAACACAGTTAACGTTTCAGCTACTACACATGGATATCGACAAAATCAAATGTAATTTTATCCTCTTATTTTTGTCAGCTCGTGGTTATTAAAAGATGATCCTATTCCTCAACGAGACCTCAATAATTTTACAAACCTTCAACCAATAAGGAATTGCCACCACATCAACGTTACAAAACGGCGACACAGACATCAACATCTACTGTAAACAAATGCATAACGAGCAAGGAAGCCCGGCTAACAAATATGCAGATAGGACAACCACAAGCCACTCCAAACTGAAACGAAGGTAACTTAAATGCCAAGGTACGAGCTGAACCGTATAATCGAACGACCTTATACAGTTATACGTTCTTATGCCATCAAATCCTAGGCCCGAAAACCCGAAAACGAAAAACAGTATAACCACTCAGAACTTCCAACATGCAGAGACGCTATATATTTATCGAGCGAGATTATGTTTTTCGTGGGCATGGCCTAGGGTAGAAGGCAAAATCTAAAACAACCACGAGAAAACTAAACAAGACACCATCATCTCTCGAACAGGGGAAAGAAAGACCAATTCTTCAGTGGTACTGAACAGCAAATAGACTTGGAAAATGTAAACTATTTACTCATGAGTCCAACCCCTTGTAGACTGTGAGGCGTGTTGACAAACAACATGATGTGGGATTGAAAGGAACTTTTTGCTTCTTGGCCGGACACAGCTTTGTTGCAATCAACGACTAGCAACAATGGCTAACGTTGATACAGAACACACAAATCCCAAGGATCATCAGAAGAAACACAGCCAAGGCCATCATTGCTGCAATCCAATCAACAATCAGTACATGTGGCAGCAACAAACACCAAAGTATATCTGATAATTTATTAATGAAGAACATCTCACCACGTATGACTGATAGAGCAGCCAGCTAATACAACATTCTCTTTGGGGTCGAGACGGTATAAGCACAGCAACAGCAGCGTCCTCCAGCTAATACAACATTCTCTTCGGGGTCGGGACGATATAAGAACCGCAACATCAGCGTCCTCCATTCCACATAGAAGCCGGAGAGAGCAGTAACTTTGCGCAAGACCCTCACTTTGATGAACTCCCACAACATCTTCCCTTACATGGAGCCTTTCTCATATCTATCAGAACAGATTTACAAGACAATACAACACAAGCAGTCCTGCTTTACAAGATACTGCAGTACTATGCATCTAATAGCCTATGGCCACCTTCCGACTAATGATATGGTAAGTACGCAGAACAATAGTACTACCGCAAAGTTCAACTGATAACAAATGCCACAATCTTGATCGTAAACTATGATAGTTCGGTAGCTCTTTCGTGAGTGGTTACTTCCTAGAGCCACTGTTGTAAATCGATTTAACGGAGCAAACATGCCAAGGCAAATTGTTTAAATGTGTAGATGATTGCAAAAACTAGACACCACCATCAGCATATGCAGTATCTCAATTCTATGCAAGTGTCAGAGTTAACTTATTCAGGCCAACTCCCACAGAAACCCCTTCAATCTCTCCTAGACCGTATATGATCAATTATTTCGAAGTTATATTAACTGATAGATTCAAATGGTGAAGGATTAACTAGTCGACCATGATGTAATTGTGAAATAAGCATGCAAAGTTGAGGTAATTGGTACCTGGTTGACTGCAAGCATATGATGTCCCGGTTGTCTAGCAGAGGTGTGTGACCATAGAGATGCTTTGATAAAGTAATGGAGGCCAGCAAAGATAAAAGGACGAGAAAGGAAGAGGAGCACTCCGACACACACACACACGCACATGGAGGAGGGAGAGCCAGGGTTCAAAAACCTTCATTAACAGAAAAAAAATTACCCCTCTGTGCCATCTCCCTCCTCCAAACCCAAGAAATCGTTTCTTTTATTAGGGTATTCTGTGACCTGCCATGCGAGCGCACCCAACATGGCAAAGGTCCGTTGATAAACAACAACACCAACACAAACACTTCAAGAAACCATACCCTAATCTCTCCACAGGTTCCTCCATCCTCTACTTCTTCCCAGCAAGATCCTCCATAACCAATGATACCGTAACAAATAGATCAAATAACAGGCATAAATAAATTCACAAACCCTTTGGGCCAAACAATCTTCACGGTGTTGGGATCCAACTGACTCCATGCTAGGAGATTGTATTCGCCATCGATCATCAGATTCTAAGGCCGCCATTGAATTCCCGATCGATCATGGGCGTATCTGATCAGGGTCAGAGCTCCTTCAGCCTCGCTCCATACCTCTCAATTGCCACACAGCCGGAGACGTGACTGGTAGATAACAAAACCAAATAACCAATCGATTAGCCACGAAATCCATGCGCGTACAAATTCATCCCCAACAACCAGCCACGAATACCAATTTGACCCTACGAATCAATCTCCTCGGAAATCTGTACCAGAAACATAATATCGAAACAAGGGCGCAATCCAAATTGATTCAGGGCATCAGAAAATAACGAATCGGATACATAGTCTATATCACACAGCTAAACATATCGAAACGCACAAACCAAGTCGGAAGAAAACAAGTCAACTAGAACAGATCTAGAA